CCTGCGCGTTGACGTTGGCGCCTTTATCAAGCAGCATCTTGACTATCTGCTCGTGCCCTTCCTCTGAAGCTGCCTGCAGTGCGTTGCCGTAGCGTCCACCCTGCGCATTGACCTCTGCCTTGTTGTCCAGCAGCATCTTGACTATCTGCTCGTGGCCTCTAGTTGAAGCTGCCTGCAGTGCGTTGCCGTAGCGTCCACCCTGCGCATTGACGTTGGCGCCTTTGTCCAGCAGCATCTTGACTACCGTATCGTGGCCTTCAGCTGAAGCTGCCTGCAGTGCGTTGCCGTACTTTCCATCCTGCGCGTTGACGTTGGCACCTTTGTTGAGCAGCAGCTTGACTACCGTATCGTGTCCAAAGAAAGACGCAACTGTCAGATGGAAATCGAACTTGAGAGATTGCCAATAACTTTCCTCCCTATGTTGTTTGAACCATTGCCGATAACATCTAGAATCTGGATCAGATACTCTGAACGCGAGATGTGATATATCAGCATCCTTGCCGTTACTAAAACGGGCCTCGCGGAAGTGCAGCGGCCAGAACATGGCAGAATAATTAAAGAAGGTATTACTGTCCATGTAGTGACTACCCTGACCGGTTGTATCCGCGAAAAGACCTGCGTCTGGGTCAAACAAGCTAAGAAAGCGCACACAGCGCTCTGCAAGAACCTTATGTGCATCCGGCATTGCAATAGAGTGTTGCCATTGGATCCCTTGAGGTATTGAAGTAGAAACTGCCAGATCTGTCAGGAGGAACTCGCGAGCGGTCTGGTGAAGAAAGTGGACCTTGCTATGGTATACTGAGACAAACAATCCACACCACGATCTAAGACGTGCTTTAAAATCTTCTTCTCTTTCAAGGTCAAGGTCGTGCAATGATCGCGTTGTTTCGTCTATTTCCATGGCAACGTTCAGCTCTGAGAGTGTCAGTGGTCGGTTTGCAGCCAAGATGATGGCTAAGGCCTTCCGGACTATCGGCTGATCTTTAGACTTAGTCAAGATCTTCTCATATGCCTTGTTAACACTCCTCGGCAACGATTCGGTGGCTGATTTGATCCCCTTTATTGTCTTTTTGAACCCCTCAGTCTTCAAGTATTCGAATACAAGATATACCCAGAGGTAGGTACGGTGTTCGACCCTAAGCAACTGATCTGCTAGACCAGTCTTGATCTTGTTTGGGAGCTCTTTATCTTCCGCCAGTCGTTCGACTCGGTAGTTGATGACTTGGTTTATTTCCTGACTGATGGTTCCAGACTCCTCTTCCCCGGGTATGTGGATGCGCGGAAAAGAGTTTAGTAAACCCTGAAACCTATAGAGAATCTGCTCATACGGACGGCTCGTTAAGAGATACCTTAACTTGCCATGGCTTGAGTGACTGTTGAGCGACTGGTTTTCGATGTTGCGCACTAGATCTTCAAACTCTGATTCGGCACACTCGTCCAAGGCATCCAGGAGGATGATAACAGGTCCAGCCTGGCTGTCTTGCGTGGCATCTCCTAGGATTGTCCAGAGGGACTTTGTTGAGTCAACCATGCCCTCGCCATCCTGCTCGTACTGTCTCATAGCATGTTTGATCAAAGCTGGCTTGTTGAGAAAGAGCTGGTGCAACAGCGCGCAGAGCGCTTGGCGGACTGTGTTCTGGTCCTGATCTTTGAAGAAGAAGTAGCAGACAGTTGCCGACTCTGGCAGAACATGGTCGATCAGGTACTTTGCCAAGACTGACTTCCCACACCCAGGGTCTGCCGAGACCAGCAGCGGCCCCGACTCTTGTTTGACCCATTCTCGGAAGTTGTTGTGTTCGAGGAACCACATGCACGTCCCCTCTACTCGTTCTTCCACGCGATCCTTGTACCACTCGTAGGTAGCATCCTCCGTGCTCCTGGTGAGACGGAACAGATGAAGACAGCTTTTTTGCCGATCAGACAGCTCCTGCTCCCGTACTGTTTGCTGAATTTCAAGCGCCTTTTCTGCAACGCCTAGTCCGTCTTTGGCAATGTCCCGGTGGACCTCTGCAATTCTCTTTAGGCCTTCTGTGATATAGAGATTAGTTCTTATTTATGGAGTAATTACGAAACATCATTAGACTAACCAGACAAGACATCGACGATCTTCTTCTCGGCTTCCACCATGCTTGGCGGAATCACCGACAGCACCTCTTTTGCGTACGCTGCTGCCGTCCCTGCCGCATATGCCTGCCACTGCTTGTTCTTGTGCGAGTCGGCGTAGTCGCAGATGCCGCGGATCACGAGGCATGGGAAGTTGTTCATCAGGCCCGCCGCCTCCATATCAAAGCACAGCACACCGCCAAGCTCTGTGCTGACCCTGTCTCTCTCAGCAGCACTCTTCATCACCCGGTTGCCTGATGCAATCGTGCCGTAGTGCACTACCACTTCCTGCCGTCGTGCCTCGCGAGCTACTGAACGGTCCCGGTTACACTCTCTACACATTGCCCCTCCCTCATGGTCGTACTCTGTTTCGAAAAGAGTGTCCGAGCCAGCAGCTTCGCGCCCAAAGTCGGGCAGGCTGACAAGCTTGGAAAGATACTCCGGCAACCTGCCTCTCCCTCTCATGTGCTTAGCCCGCACTTTCGCAACGGCGTTAAGCAGTATCGTTGGCGGCGAGTTGAGTGACCCTGTTCGCTCAAACCCGCTCGGAGTGGTCTTCCCTGAGTCGTACTGCACCACTCCACCGTGCACCTTGTGCGGTTTGCTGACCACAACATCGCCAAGTCTAACGTCTGCCTCCTCGCTGGGAACGCCGCCTCCGATGCCGACCATGAGACTGAAGCGGGTTGATGTGAAAGTCGACTTCATCTGAACAGCAACTGCTGCGGCCGAGTTGTTGCCCATCTGACCTTCGGGCAGGCAAGCGATCACGACGTTGTGTTCGCCGACCCTTCCGCATGTGTAGATGTTCGTGTCATGGGCATCGCATTGGGGCGTATCGTGCTCTTCATCGAGCATCTCCTCCGCCGCGGCCAGCTCAACCCAGAGGGCGCATACCCATCCTACGGTGTAGTCTTCGCGGTGCAGCTGGGGTGCCATTCGCAGTTGTTACGTGGGAGGAAACAGGCGGTTTGAATGCGCGCTCACGCCGGATCGATGCTCTTAAAGATAAACAAACTTAAGAGTGCAAGAGGGGATGCAGTCATCATGAAGTAGGCTGAGCGACGACACTTGTTACAGCTGAGCCGGCCAGCCTGCGATGCAGTATGCAGGCGGCAGCCTTTGCTATGGGCCGAAATGTGATCGGTTTGGTGGCAAGCGGCGGGCAAAGTTGGGGGCGGAAACGGTAGCGGGGGGCGGATGAAGCCACGCAGCTCGGGGCAGCCTTGGAGAATAAGCTTCTCGAAACCTGCCTCAAGGCGCCACATCTGTGATCGGAAGGCAGGTCTGCGGTGGGCATAGCGTTGATTTAAACATGTTACAATACATTAGACTACAAGCAGAGCGCGCTGCAGTGGGTTGATGCGCGCCAAGATGCAGTAGCGTATCCCGCAATGTCGGTTCGCTTTCAAGGGTCTTCCGCCTCCGTCTCGATAAAGCGATGTGTCTGGAAACGCCCTACCAAAGATGTGACATGTTTGGGGATAGTGTTTGGTAGTATCTCAAAACATTTTTCGTAGCTTCATAAAGTAGACTCGTCTTCGGTCCATGAATTCGTTGGCAGTGCATCTAGAACACTTCGCTATTGTACATCAATGACGTTCGGGAACTCCACGCTACTCCCATTCCCACACGCGTTTATCCTTCACTCAGCTCATCCACAGCCTTACTTCGTGGTGTTCGCGCCCTGACCGCTCTTCCCACCCTGCTTAATAGCCCCAGTGCCCTCCTTCGTCGCCTCATCAGGATTCTCCTTCATTTTCTGCTCCCTCTCCTGCTCGCGCTTCCTCTCTAGCTCCCTGACCTTCTCCGGCGGGCTATCCTCGATGAGATCCGACTCGTTGTTGATACCGCTCCACTTGGGCAACCCGTCAGGAATGTCCATAACGCGCTGGCCGTAAAACATGTGGCAGCGGGGCTTGAAGTACGCCTTGTCCTCGTCGGTCTTGAGGTGGATGAGCGAGGGGAAGAGCAGGATCATGTTGCGGCCCTCGTCCATGATGGGGCTGTGGCAGAACGAGCAGCGCACTTTGCAGGGCAGCTTGTGCTCGATGGATTTCTCGGAGGGATCGTACCATTCAAGGTTGTGGTGGCCATTGGTGAAGTTGATGTCCTCCTTGTGGAAGATGGCTGCCCACTGGAAGGGCGCGGCTGCGGCATGTTAGCATAGCAATTGAGGGAGTGGTGGACCGGTAAAGGACTGACCGTGCTGTGTCTGGCAGGTTGTGCAGTGGCAGAGCTTGCTGTCAAGAGGCTCGCGGCGGCTCAGCTGATACTCGACCTTGCCGCAGTGGCAGTTGGCTGTATATTTGACGTCGAAGTTGTCGACGTTCTTGTCGTGCACGCGGTAGGGAGGTCGCTGCTTCCATTCGGAGATGCCGGTGGTCGACTCGCCGCGGCTCTGGTCCTTATCCATTCTCCTTGATGTGGTGCAGAACTTGAAGAACTGTGGTCGTGTGAGGTGCGCAGCTAGTAGGCGTGCGCGGGGAAGTGCAGTGGAAGATGAAAGCAGTGGTGCGCGACGTAGAGCAATTGCAGATACGGACATGAAGCGGTGAGGTAGAGGAAGGAAGGAGGGATTGAAGATTGTAATTGCGTGGGGAATGCAACGTGTGGTGGTCATTGACATACATTTATGGGAACGCGTCGTGTTGACGTCGTTGACGTCACACCAAAACCGGCGGCACCTGCCTCGATTGGGGTCGAGATCAACACCATTGTTACGCCTCGCGCGTCGCCAAACCGCGCAAAAATCAGCCCCAATTCGCCTGCAATGCAATGCTTTTCATGCGCGCTTCAGCCGTTATTCGTTCTTCAAGTGTTCATAGTGCTCCACGACATCTCTTCTACGCGCTCTTGAGCGCTTGCTGAGCTTCCTTGGCAGACAGCCCAAATACGTTAATCAGATAATCCTGCTCTGCACAATCATTAGATAAGACGCCATGAGCACCGCGGAGCAACTTACTGATATCGTTCGCGATGCGCCTCCTCACAGCTTCGAACTCCACTTCCGCCTTATCTCGTGCAGCTTCTTGTTTCTTCGAGTTGATAGTCTTGACGCGGAACTTGAAGCGTCCGCTGACTGGTCGATGATCAGACACCTTCACGCCGTCGTGTCTCCTGTACTCGAGTTGCTTGATCCTACCCAGGCCTCGGTAGAGCAAACGGTCGCACCAGGCTGGCGAGCGCTTCTTCTCAGATGTGTCGTAGTTGTCGGTGCCGACATCGTACTTGTATGTGGGCGCAAAGTCGATGGGCATCTCATTGAACGCGCGCAGACGGAAGCCGGGGTTGCGCTTGCGAGAGAGTAGCAACTGATCGCGCTCCAAGAGCTTGGCCAGGTTGCCTTGCCGTACGCAGTCGATGACCGTGTTTCGAGGCATCGCATCGATGCGGTAGTTCAAGTCGCCGTTTAGAATACATATCTCATGGTCTAGTATCATCGAGCCGTCACCACCGCCCACAAAGAAGTTCGCGCAATCCGACGGCGAGCGGTTCTTTGGTAGTGGCGCGGCTTCCATAATCGATGCCGCGTCGTTGTTTCGATGTGTGGTCTGGGTCTGACCCGCCGCAAGATGGCAATTGATCAGGCAGAGAGAAGAGTCGTCAAGCAAGAAGCGAACGACGAGCGCGCCTTTGTTCCCCACGCGGCCACTGAAGCCCAGTTTGATCTCGGCAGCGCTCACATCTCGAATGTTGTTACGCTCTGACGACTTGACGAAGACACAGGTGAATAAGCCAACAAGATTGGCAGTGTGCAACAAAACGTAGTTCTCGCGTGGGGCATGCTCGTCCAATACCCGTATCAGGTGGTCTTTCCACGCTCGGTACTGATGCGACATATGTTCGTGTTCGGAGCTTTCCTTCTGTTTCTTCTTTTTGAAGAAGCTCTTGGCGGTAATCTTCTTGTTCTCCAGATCGACTAGTTCCTGAAAGCCGAACACTAGGATATCCGGAGGGTTCTCAGGCTCAACAATATCCCGGAGGAAGTCGCGATCTCCGGACTGGCGTAGGGTGGTCGGCTTCACTGCTCCGGCGTTCCAGGTCATGACTCGTGCAGAGAGCTCTCTGAATTCGCAATACTCGGAGTCGCGTTGTTGCATCAACGTTTCTGGGCATCGTTAGCGTGAGTCTCCATGCATCCGAACTCTTGACTTACCAAGCCAGTCGGTCTTCAGCATCCCGTCCCAGAGGCGCAGCATTGTATCTGTGCCCAACGAAGCGACCTGGAACCTGTCGAGCTTCCAGATACTTGATCGGTCCGCAACGATTCCTGCGATAGGCTTGTCGTGCGCTTTCCAGTCCTTCAAAACTTTCCAAGGCGTGCACGACGTGTCGTACACGTAAATCATTCCAGTGCTGTAGCCCGCCCACAGATAATCGCCAACTCCAACAAGCGCGCTGATCTTGTACAGACTGACATTGACAACACCCAGACACTCGAACCCTTTCTTGGCGTATATCGTCACTTTCCCATCGATATGGCCAAAGTAGATGCGGTCCGGTTGACTGCTGATGATGGCCCCAGACGTTACATCTCCTACGTTAAGTTGTGACAGCTTGCCGTCGCTAAGCTGTTGGAAGTAGTTGTGGTCTCCTGTGCGTTTGTACACTCGTAGCTCCTTGGTGTAAGCGACCCACAATTGCGACCCAGACACGATCGAAAATGTATGCCCTCCCCTGATCTGATAGGTGAGAGGTGCTTGGTGCAGTGATGGCGAGCCAGACTCGTCTGCTGGCCAGATATGGAGCTTCCCTGCGTCATCCAATGACCACATCTCTCCTGCATATCTGAAGATTTTGGTGATCACCGCCCGTGCGTGAGCATTCTTAGTGAACACTACACTTTGCGTGGGTATGTCGATCTCGTGCATCTCGCCCGTGTTCATGCCCAGCCATAACCGCTTGCCTTTGTCCTCTACATCTTTTGTGGGCCTAAAGGCTACTGCTGTGGCTTTCACGGTGTCGCCGTGGCTCAAGCTCATCAATAGTCGCCCACTCAGTACGCTCCATACGTTTGTCACGTAACCTGTTGTACATATGTAGTCACCGGAAACGGCAAAAAGCTTGGTGTCGTATCCTGTGGGTATCCCTCCTATTGTATCTGGAAACGTGGGTGGTCTTCGATTGGCTTGCGACGAGTCGGGATAGTCGGTCAGCGCTGCTGTCGGTTGCTTCTCGAGAGAAGTATCGGACCCATCTGAGTCGTACGATGTGTATGCTTGCGAGGCTTTTCGAGGTGGATGTTGGGGAGGCGGGGTCGGTGTTGGCGTTGGTCTTCTCATCTCTCCAGATTTGCGGGGCGGTGGCGGCTCTGGAGGCCCAAGGGATCTTGGCGGTGTAGTCGAGTTGATCGTTTGCGTCCGCCGCGGTGGAGGCATCATCTTGGCGCTGTCGTCCGTTGCCAGCGATAAGGGTCGCCCCTGGTCAAACGATCTTCGCACTGGCACGTCCGGTGGAGCTGCCCGCTGCAGTTGTACGCTCTTTCTCAGGTCTGTGGTATCCTTCTCGCGTCTCACAGGTAGAGCCGGCCGATCGTCCTGGGTGTCGCCATTCCTGTACGAATTCGCAGCAGGTGGTGACGTGCGCTTGGGCGGTTGATTCGCGATCCTAGAGTCCGTAGAGGGAAGCTTTTCAGCCACTGCGTGGTGTACAGGCGGCGGCGGGAAGTAGCCGTCCTTCAGTATTCCTTTCGGTTTTGAGGCCATGGGTAACGCAGGTGGAGACGGGTCCGGCGCTTTCGCGCTTCCTGCACTGCTGGGAGGTGTGTTGAAAGGAGAAATACGCTCCTCTTCAGACTTCGCAGCTGGTTCCAGCCTCCCCCTCGGCCGTGCCGCAGCATCAACCGACTGTGGTTTGGCTGGTATCTTTGGCTTCCCAGCTCGATTGACAGGCGGAGGCATCGGCGGCGCAGACGCAGTCGGTCGATCATTCTTACGAGCATCGCCTGACACACTAGAGCCCGTGACTGTAGCAGAGAGCGGCTTCGCTTCGAGGCCAGGAGTGCCATTCCTGCTCGCAATCTTGAACAGTTTCGACACTACCGGCGGAGAGGGAGAGTCGAGCGCCGCATGCGAAGTCGGGCGAGAAGGACGGGGAGAGAGGATCGGAGGGGTCATGCTCGCTGATGGGGATCTGGGCGACTGCACCATGACTTTGGGCGGCGACCGTGCGCGCGGCCGCGTAGGTGATCTGGGTGGCGAGAAGGCCACCATGGACGTCGGCCGCGGTTTGGGATTGCTCCATGGCGCTCGCAGTGTGGAAGATCGCGGCGTAGGCCTGCCATTTCCGCTCAAGCCAGCCACACTAGGTGGCGTCCTGTCTATGTGGTCGCGTGGTATGTCGAGCGAGATGCGCCCGTCAGTCCTGCGGTGGTCCTCTGACACAGCGAGGCGGTCTGCGGGGCCTGGCGAGCGCTGGCGCGGGGTCGCAGGGGCTGCGGGAGCTCTGTTCGCGCTGAGGAGGTTCTCGAACTGGGCGCGGAGGGAGGAGACGGGCTTCTTTGGGCTGGGGTCAGCATGAGTACCTAGATGTTGTGTGGGCATGTGTCCGCTGACATACGATGGACTCGGTGTCGTCCGAGTGGTTCTGTGGATCCATGATGGGTTCCTCCTAGTCAGCCAGCACCGGAAGGGGTCCTACAGCTGCTCATCGACGCCTGTGGAGCTGTTCCCATTGGGCGCTGGCGGCGTTGCGGGCGGAGCGGAGCTGGGCCGGGCGGCGGTCATGCAGCGGAGGAGCACATGAGGCGGGTGCAGTGTGGGCAGACGGTGCGTGTAGAGTTGTTTTGGCAGCGAGACGGCGGGCGGGTGGGCGGGCGGTTTGGCAGGAGGTTTGGCAGGAGGGTTTGCCCTGGTCAAGCGACGGTGTCTGTTCGGAGACGCGTATACGGTGTATGCTAAGAATGTTGGCCTGCAAGGATCGCGGGCTGCAGCGTGGGGTCGTGAGCGGGCGCGAGCGGGCGTGAGCGGGCGTGTTTCACGAGTGGCCGTGCAGCGAGACCCGCAGTGACGAGTGATGGAATTGGCCGAGGCCGTGAATGTGTGCGCGCTTGGCTGTGCAGTCTGGGCGTGAGCGTACCTGGACGACTGCCGGGTCACCAGCGGCGGTGTTCGTCAGCTTCTCGCCTGCACATTCCCGAGACGCTTGCGGCCACCCAACGAGCGATCGTCCAGGCACCAAATAATTACCCGACGCGCCCCAACAGAGCCTCCCAGACATCCTGCAGCGACAACCTCGCCCGGCCGCTCTGAGACTGCACGCTCACCACCGCAAACATGTGGTACGCCCGCAACGCTCCCCTCCTCCCCCCCCCCGCCGACCCCGCCGTCCCCGCAAGCGCCGCTGATGCGACTGCAGCAAACACGTCCTCAACGCCCAGGTCGCCATCCGCTCGCCATGCTGCAAGAAGTGGTTCGACTGCGCCGAGTGCCACCAGGAGACGGCTGACCACCCGCTGCTGCAGAGCTTCGAGATGATCTTCATCTGCAAGAAGTGCAAGAAGGCCTTCCGCAAAGACGCACGCGAGTTCGAGGACAGGTGCGCACGGGACACGGATAGACATGGTGGAACGTCTGCTAACGGAGGGGCAGCGACGAGTACTGCCCGCACTGCGACAACCACTTCGTTCTGGACGCCCTCACACCCAAGGCCTCCCTGAATGTCGAGGGAGAGGATGCACGCGTCGACAACAGGATGATCAAGGACGAGCGCCAGAGGCAGAAGGACATGCGCACCATCTTCGACGTCGAGGATGCACCCCACAAGCTCGGGTGAGAGGCAGGAAGGATGCGCCGCACCGCTTCAACCACCACGTCGCACAGACAGCGCCGAGTCGAGCAACGACGCGCGCACTAACAGTAGAAAAGTTGGGAAAGGGAGAGGATATGCTAGACATGCCATGTGATTGAGCGCTAGCGGCCGTGTGCAATGCACGACTTCATGATCATCAGTCTTCCCATCTAGACGCCGTTGCTGTTCGTTTGGTGCCGTCAGTTTGGTGCCGTCGGTTTGGTGCCGTCATTCGTAACTAATCATCTACGCCCCTGTGCCTGAGCCCTCAGCAGGCGTAGGGCGTGTTGGCAGCGCTCCAGTGCCCGCAGGCCTTCCAGGTCTCCTGTTTGCCGCCTCCTCCTGTTTCTCCGTGTTGATGTTCTCCACGTACTTCTCAATGTCCTCCACTGGCAGCATCTCGAGCGCCTTGCCCGGTGCCGAGACGGCGATCTCGATGTTCTTCGCGCCCGTCTGCACCACCTCCAACAGCGACTTGATGGTGAGCTTGATCGTCTCTTCCCGGTCCATGCCCTCCTTGTGGTTGCGCTCGAGGAACTCGCGGACTGTCTTGCTCGATCGCCCGATGGCGTTTGCCTTCCTGCTAAGAGTCAGCATGGTGCCATCATACTCGTATCACGGACTTCTTACCATGCCGAGTAGATACCAGAGGGCTCAGTCTGGTACAGGCGCGGGGTCTTGTCGTTGGGATCGAAGCCAACAATGAGCGTACTGATGCCAAACGGCCTGACACCACCACTCTGTGTGTACCTCTGCTGCACGCCAGCAACGTACTTGGTGATGTACTCTATCGACACGGGGTCCTCGACGGTAAGACGATGTGATTGCGCCTCTAGGCGGGCCTTGTCGACGAGAATGCGGGCATCGGCGTTCAGACCGGCAAAAGCGAGAGCCACGTGGTTGTCTACGAGGCAGATCTTGGAGGGAGTGATGCGTGTGTCCTGCAGCTTCATCGCCGACCTCTTCTCACAGCCAAGCACTACGATGTCAGCGCCCTTGACACCGACGGCGCATGTTCCTGCGGGGCGTTAGTCGTCGATCGCCACCTCATGCAAGTGGTGGCGGCGTACCTCGCTTGACGGCTTCGAGGGCATATTCGACCTGGAAGACGTGGCCGTCCGGACTGAAGACTGCCTGGGTTAGCTACCGCTATTGGTCCTGTACTTGCTGCTTGCTTGTACCTGAGAGCGCGCGGTCGTAGCCTGATGCCATTGTGGAAGTTGTAGAGTTTGATTCGGAGCTTTCGTATGGTATAGCACGGGTTGAAGGCGACGTCGAGGTGATATGGCGGCGGGGAGGTGTTGTGAATGGCGGCAAGTCAATGGTCAGAGCTCTGTGGAGCTTGTCCGCGTCGTTGCTCTTGCCTGATCGCGCCAAGGACCTGGCCCGTGCCTTCTGTCTTATGTCATCGACCATGAATCTTCAACGGAGGCGCATCTCAAAACGTCTCCCCACTCTTCAATCTTTCACTCACTTTTTGCGTTATGGCGACTTCAGCGCGTTTTGTATCGTCTTTGCGACGCAGCGCGCTGTCTTCTCGTGTTGTATCACGAACTCAATGCTTGAGACTGGCACCTCAGGTCCGGAGAATAACTTCAGCGACATCGGAACCTCATCAACCAGATTCGAAAGGTGGTCTGGATGGACCAGCACCCGCGAAAACCATCAAGTTCACCTCAGAGTCGTATGTGGCAAGCGTCGGGAATAAGATTTGAAAACTGATGTCTGACCATCGCCAGGTACCCGGAACTTAAGAGAGATCCAAAATATGCTCAACTTACAGAAGAGCATGTGAAGTACTTCAAAGAGCTTCTGAGCTCGGAATCTGCGTGCATTGATGGAGTTACAAAAGATGCATCCGAAGATATTGAGCCCTTCAACAGTGACTGGATGCGCAAATTCCGTGGCCACACCCAACTTGTCCTGAAGCCCAGCAACAAGGAAGAGCTCAGCAAGATTTTGAAGTACTGCAATGATAATATGATTGCTGTCGTGCCGCAGGGAGGTAACTCTGGTCTCGTCGGTGGCTCCGTACCTGTCTTCGATGAGATTGTCATCAACCTTCAGAAGATGAACAAGATCCGGTCCTTCGACGAAGTCTCTGGTATTTTGGTTGCTGATGCTGGGGTTATTCTCGAGAATGCCGACAACTACTTGGCTGAGCGGAATCACATCTTCCCTCTCGACCTTGGCGCAAAGGGCTCATGCCAGATTGGTGGCAACGTCGCAACCAACGCGGGTGGTCTGCGTCTGCTGAGATACGGCAGTCTTCACGGCAATGTTCTGGGTATCGAGGCAGTCCTCCCGGATGGCACTATCGTCAACGATCTTTGCACTCTTCGTAAGAACAACACTGGATATGATCTGAAGCAACTCTTCATTGGCGCTGAGGGTACTATCGGCATCATTACGGCTGTTTCAATACAATGTGCGGCAAGGTCGCAGGCCGTGAACGTTGCCTACTTCGGTCTGGAGAGCTTCGAGAAGGTGCAAGAGGCCTACCGCACAGCCAAGGGTCAGCTTGCTGAGATTCTGTCTGCCTTCGAGCTTATGGATGGTCGCACACAAAAGTTGGTCAACAAGGTTACCGGAAAGAAGATGCCTCTTGAGGGAGAATACCCCTTCTACTGTTTGGTCGAGACAAGTGGTTCGAACACCGACCACGATGCTGAGGTATGTCAAACTATTCCCAGCATGACCAAGTACCGGCAGCTAACACACTCAGAAACTGCAAGCATTCCTCGAGCACGTCATGGAGACCGAGATCGTTCTCGACGGCACCCTTGCTGACAACCAGACGCAAATCCAGGAGCTCTGGTCGTGGCGCGAGGGTATTACGGAGGTTTTGGGCCACGAGGGTGGCGTGTACAAGTACGACTTGTCGATACCGATCTCAGAGCTGTACGATATCGTCAACGATACCAGGGACCGACTGACTGAGGCTGGTCTTGTTGGCGACGGTCCCGACTACCCTGTTGTTGACGTCGTCGGATACGGCCATATGGGTGATGCGAACTTGCACTTGAACATTCCTACCCGGAGATTCGACAAGGCCGTCGAGAAAAAGCTTGAGCCTTTCGTGTACGAGTGGGTACAGAAGAGGAACGGCAGTATCAGTGCTGAGCATGGTCTCGGTGTCACCAAGAAGCCATACGTCAGCTACAGCAAGAACGAGACCATGATGAAGCTGATGAAGCAGATCAAGGATCTGTATGATCCTGTAAGTTACACTATTCACGAATCATTGACGTACGCTGATGCCACTACAGAAGGGCATCATGAACCCATACAAGTACATATAAGCTTCCGTGTAGTACTATCAGACCATTCTTACTCCTCCCATGCCGTTCTATGTTTTCCCTACTTATCACATATGCGACCCTTCTTACTTGTCCCTTTCCCCTGCAAGCAGTCTCTTTGCGTTCCCCTCGTATATTGCATCTCTCTGTCCTTCGCTAAACAAATGCTCCAACCCGTCCTTCATCCTCTCAGCAAACATCTCCACAAACTCCGTCTGCGTAAATGGGAAATCGCTACCATACAACAGCCTCTCATGACTTATCTCGAACCCCTCGACAAGAGCCCTCAACTGCCCATGACCCCCACTTTCACCATCGAAAACGAAACCAGCCAGATCGAAGTAAAACTGTTTATCCAGCTGCTCCCGCACCTTGTTCGCATCCAACACCCTTCCTCCCGGCACGACGCTGGAGAATTGGATGAAGCGCGTCAATAACGGCGGTAACGCGCCCCCAGAATGGGGGATGATGAAGGTGACGTTCGGACACCGATCCACCGTCCCACTACCAAAAAGATTGACCACCGCACGTGCAGTGTCGAAAAAGAACTCGAAGATCGGCACCGGATACTGCTCTCCGAAAGGCGTAGCATCGATTGTCTGCGCATTCACTCCGTCGCCTTGCTTAATGCAAGGTTTTGTGGGGTGGATAAACACCGTTGCGCCCAATTCATTCAACCTGTCGAAGATTGTGTCAAGCGCAGGACTCCCGACGTACGTCCCGTGATAATTTGTCATCAGCCCGAACCCATCGGCGCCCTCGGAAGACGCTACGTCTATCTCTTGCAACGCTAGTTCGACATCCGGCAGCGGCAGCGACGCCCAGAATCCGAAGCGCTCTGGGTCATCTTTCTTCATGTTTGCGGCGTAGGCGTTGCATTCACGGGTCAAGTGTCGACCGAGCGTACTGTTGCCGACGACGATGTGCGTTCCCGGGGAGGAGATGGAGAGGATGGATTTAGAGACGTTTGCGGTTTTCATCATGGAGAGGTGGGCGTCGATGGACCATGAGGGGATTGCGGGCATACCATCGGGATGAGAGTGGCCGTTTCCTGCGAGGGCGGAGCGGTAGAATGGGGGGAGGAAGTGCGAGTGGACGTCTATTCGCTTGGGGAGGGTCATGGCGGCTGCCGTTGAGCAGGTCAGGAGCAAGGTATAGAAGAGGGTAAGGAGCATACTGGACCGGTTGTGCATTGATATTTTGGCAGAACCTACCTTTGTGGCTTTTGTCACTTGTTGAGTGTTGATCAGAAGTCGCCGAAGTCAAGACAGTACTACACGACCAAGAGGTCTACGTGTGCTGCATATGCACAGCATCGTCATGCCGCATTGAGTGAAGTCTCGGTACCCCGCTCGGAGCCTCTCCAGCTACGATTGAACGACTTCTGATCAGCACTGTCGAAGTCCTGTGTGCTCTCGCGCCCAGGGATTAAACATTGAAGTTGCATTACACTGGGGAGATCAAGTGTACTGGGCTGGGTGAACAGAGCTTGGGAAGCTTCGCTTCATCTTAGATGTCTTTCTCGAGATACTGATTATGTTAGAGCTGCCAGTTGGTGAGTCTCCACTTCCATGCTTGCCCATCCAAAACAGAAACATCGCTTCGACCGCTTGTCAAGCCATGATACTGCTAGGAGAGAGAGGCTTGAGGTTGTGACTGCGGGATGCAGGGGTGGTGAGGGGCACGTGAGGGGCATCGATGTGGGACCAGAATCGCGTGAAGCTCAACAACGCGAACTGAGATACTACCCACCACCCTTTTTGCATCGTACATGCAAGTCATTGTGTGTTGCAGCCATGACTTAGAGGATGAACAAGCATCTCTAGACGGAGCTACATTCATCCTGCCGTTGCTGGGGCTCCTGCCGCTCGATCGAGCAGTAAGATCCCGCCGCCGATCGCGGTTGCCCCACCCGCGCCGCTTTGTCTGCCACAGCTCTGCCCTCGTCCACAATTCCATCATTCGCCGCCATGACCCTGCGCACCTCCCACCACCACTCCTTCTGTGTGAAGACAGCGCATTGCCACGATGGAGAAGATCACGGATAAGATCAACGCCCTGCCTGATGGCGCCAACTACTTCTCGCTCGAGTTCTTCCCGCCCAAGACGGTCATGGTATGCCCCACTGCGCGCGTGCACCCGATGTGGTGTATCGATAGACAGCGCAACACCAGTACTGACAAGCCTGCAGGGCTTCGCCAACCTCCAGACCCGTCTCGAGCGCATGTCCCAGGCCCTACGTCCGCTCTTCGTAACTGTCACTTGGGGCGCCGGCGGCTCCACAGCAGCAAAGTCCCTCGAGCTCGCCGAATTATGTCAGCGCCAATTGGGCCTTACAACATGTCTGCACTTGACATGCACGAACATGGACCGCGTCCTCGTCGACGAAGCCCTCGAACAGGCCAAGGTGCTCGGCATCCGCAACATCCTGGCCCTGCGTGGCGACGCGCCGCGGAGCGAGGAGTACAGAGACGAGGATAGGGCGCCACAGCAGGACTCCAACAAGGACTTCACGTGGGCCATTGACTTGGTCAAGTACATCAGGAAGCAGTATGGCGACTACTTCTGCGTTGGTGTCGCTGCCTATCCAGAAGGGCACTCGGACGAGAGTCATCCTGAGCATCAAAATCCGAGCTACGACATCCCGCATCTTGTGGAGAAGACGCAGGCTGGTGCAGACTTCATCATGACGCAGTTGTTCTACAATGTGGACAAGTACGACAAGTTCGAGAGTATGCTCAGGGAGCATGAGAGTGGCGCGTTCAAGACAATACCGATCATTCCGGGGTTGATGCCGATTCAGAGCTACTCAATCCTGCGGCGGACGACGAAGCTGAGCCATGCGAATCTGCCGGCCGACCTTTTGGCGAGGCTGGACGCGGTGAAGGCCGATGATGAGCTGGTGAAGAAGGTCGGTGTCAAGATTCTAAGCGAAATGGTCGAGCACATCAAGGCGCGGCCGGATACTGTTAGACGAGGATTTCACTTCTACACACTCAATCTGGAGAAGGCAGTATCGCATATCCTGGAAGACACACACCTGATCGGGCAGATCCCCGCGGACGAGGACGAGGACGCGATTGAGACGACTCCAGCCATCAATCTGGAGCCACCATATGGCGTACCATCAAACAAGCAAAGACGCCGACTGTCATCTCTGAACTCGAGTCCACACAACAGAGTTATCATGGAACGATTGTCAGCATCGAAGTCTCATCAGTCCTTCGAGACGTCCGACACAGAAGCCAGCATCCCCCGTGGGCCTATCAGCACACGCGCAAACACACTCGCCATCTCAGAAGGTGAAGGCTCACTCGGACGTGAAGCAACATGGGACGACTTTCCCAACGGGCGCTGGGGTGACGCGCGCTCGCCCGCCTTCGGAGAAATTGACGGCTATGGTCCTACCCTGCATGTTTCCAACGCCTCAGCTCTCAAACTCTGGGGCCACCCCGTGACTCAAGACGACATCTCCAACTTGTTCAAGCGCCATGTCGAAGGCACTCTCGAAGCCCTGCCCTGGAGCGAACAGACACTGAGCGAGGAAACGAAAGCCATCGCCCCCCAGCTCCTTGCCCTGAACGCAAAGGGCTGGTGGACAGTTGCCTCACAACCCGCCGTCAACGGCGTCCGCTCCACCGACCCCGTCTTCGGCTGGGGACCGAAGAACGGTTACGTGTTCCAAAAACCCTTTGTCGAATTCTTCGTCCCCTCTGCCGCCTTCGCTCAGCTCAAGCCCCGTCTCGACGCCCACGAACAGATTACATACTTCGCTGGCAACGCAGCAGGCGACCTCGAAGCGAGCCAAGAGGATGCAGTCAACCCAGTGACATGGGGCACGTTTGCGGGCAAGGAGATTGTCACGCCGACAATTATCGAGGCGGTTAGTTTTAAGAGTTGGAGGGACGAGGCGTTTAGCATTTGGAAGGAGTGGCAGAGGATTTATCCGACGAAGAGTGCGACAGGGAAGCTGTTGAGGGAGACGAGGAATGACGTCTGGTTGGTCAATGTCATCTGGGGAGATTTTGTTGAGGGCAATGGGTTGTGGGAGTTCTTGGGAGCATAAAGCTAAACAGACCGAAGATCTTGACGGACCGTGTAGCATTAGCTAGCAGATAAAGTTGAGTAAAGAAACCTGCGCTTAACAGCCGCGTTGATATGGATCAGTTTCTCGCTTTGCTTGCGCTGATTATGCCCTTCGCTGATAGGTATTGACAACTGTCAATTTCATTGGCTCTCAGTTGCAGTGCAGAAGCGAAGCAATGGAAGAAGCGCGATGATACATCAGACTCACAACATAACGACCCCGCTTACACAACAACAGCGCGAACAGGCGCTTAGCGACTCAAACAGACTGGCTGCTACCTGCAGCCACTTCTCAGGAACGTTGCTGGACTGTTCCGTTGTCCACTTTCGAAATTCGCTTGCATGAATCTCACGGGTGTGACGCAGTGCAACGTTTGGGTCACAGATTGGGCCAAGCCACGCCTCTGCCTGGTCCGTCCTAACCTCTACACTCCCTTCACAGGACCATCCACTAACAGCTCCACTACCTTGGCCCTAGTCAGTTCCAGCATTACCTGTCGACGACCCAGATACCCAGGCCCATGCATTAGCACCAGACACCGGCGAACACGTATGAGGCCGCTCGAGCGGCTTGGGATCAGAAATTCCCCGGTGTACGACAGGTGGAACTAGGGCGAAATGATCCGGAGCCATTCAAAGCTATTCCGGTGTTGGGACATGGTGGCTGTGGGGAAGTTCAAGAGGTTACCATGACGGCTGTGGTTCAACATCTCTTGCTGGAGTTCCGAGACGACTACAGCTTTTTCGATACTTGCTGCTCGTCTAGTAAGTCCAACACTATTCGACATCTGAACTGTAACTAACGCGGAAACAGAGCGACTGGACCCACTGTCTTATGACTTCTATCCGAGACTTGAAGTGGAAAACTTATTCTCATCGAACAATGACTTATACCTTGGGCGACGCTTCCCAAGTAGCTCCAATGCGTTCGGAACAGCGGCCATGGTTGACGTGTCGGGGACAGGACTAACGGCCATCTAGTTGTGAATCGACAGGTTCTGTCGGATCTGAGCGCGAGAAGTCGAAGTGAACGCTCAACAACATGTAAGAGTTAGACGTAACGAGACGGTCGATCTAACAGTGAGGCAGTACAGCACAGTTAAATGGCACGATGACTTCTACATTTCTCTTGCTTATTCTCCAGCAGCCGAGTCCAAAAGACAGACTTTTGATATTAATATCGCACCTTGGTGGATCGCGCCTTGGTGGGTCGGGTATCATACCTGCAGTCAGCGGGCATCAGGCTTCACTGGAGAAAATCAGATCATCATAACATAGGCAAGACGATCCAGTTTAGTACATCTCGGGCCGCGATGTTCTACGAGATACTTGTCAGTCCGCTCACACGGACTGGGTGTATCATTGATCGACATTTCCTGCAATGGGCGCCGCCATGGAAGATCTTCGCCAAGACACATTGTGTCGGACGAGCCCGAGTCTACGCTGCGCCAAGGTCGGATTTGCTCAAGATGATCTACGTAACCGTCTTGGGGATCTTGAGGTCACAGATGATTTGGTCAACCTCGTCTTGGCCCTGCGGACTCCGGTTGCTGTGTTGTGTATGTCCTTGGATAGCTCCAGGATCGACCATGGTGAATTACAAGTACCGCACGTCGACCGTTGGCAGTTACATATACCTCATGGTCTTCACTTGCGACACATGTCACCGTCTTTTTACTCTGATCGGCACCATGAAGTTCACGACCTCCCTCCTCACCATGGTATTTGCAACATTGCGTCTCGGCATTACCACTAGACGTCTCGAAGCGCCAAACCACAACCTGGGTTTACACCTGCCCTCCTTCCTCTTAATTCAAAGCCTTCGACCTTGGCGGTTGCTCAGCCCAACTGTCCTTCACTGAAGACCGCTATGTCGCAATTCAATGGGCTCTCGAAGCCACTTATGCTGACGGCAACACCGCCTCACACACGCCTTTCCATGACTTCGACAGTTTCGTCGTAAGCGACACTTTTCAACCTTTACCTCGGTAAGTACTTCATCGTTCGCTTGCCAGGAAAGCGCGCGTTCACTGCTGTGCGTGAATTTACGGATGTATGCAACATTGGTCAGGCACCGGTGTCGTGACGTTTTTACACTACGAGTGCGGACATTGCATGTTCGGCTGCTGAGAATTGGTATACGACGGGTCAAGTTCAAGTCATTGGCGGTGTCTCTCGCCCAGCAAAGGTCTCCGGGGCGCAGAGCGAACGACGCAGGAGAGTTCCAAGTCAGTTGGGATACTGTTGAGGGCGCGGCTGCATACTCTGTTATTGTTGAGTATCCGACTGGTATGGATGAGGTGGAGAATCCGTATTTGAACGTGAGGGTTGCACGGGTACAGGTGAGTGAAACATATTGTGCGGCGTGAGGTGTGTGGCAGATGCTGACGGCTACAAGATACTTCGACAACGGTTTCAACGACGACGAGGAGACAAGATATGGCGAGAGAGGTCATTGTTCATGCTGTTGATGGGCAAGGAATCTGGTCGTTTACTAATGATGTAAACCGGTCGTTGCTGGCTGGTGAAGCTGTTACGTCTCAAATGGGTTACGAATGTTCTCTTGAGAGGAGGCCACGATGAATAGCACCTCATTGAATAGATGATGAACGGCCTTGCGGAGCGGCTGTGATCACATGACACCTAGTCAAACATACCGTAAAGGTCAAGACAAGACCACCAAAATGAAGGTGATCATGTTTCCATGACATGTGTACGAGTTTATTGGTGTTGTGGTTCGGCCGTTGAAGTAGAACAAGCAAGACAAGACACATTTGTACCGTAGAAGAAAAAGACTCACTTGTGTTCAGGTAGGAAAAAAGCATGAGGAATGTCAGAAAGAATGTCCAGGTCACTCCATCGAGGTACGCATGAAAACATCCGAGCATCCACGCGCGAAAATCAGTTCTTTGGAAAGCCCTGGAGAACCAGAGCCACCACGGAAAGTTTGGCCCATTCATCAAGCGTGCGGACTTGGAGATCAGTCTGCCGGTTGTTCGGGTCTTTGTAGACTGTGAAGACCTTTGACTTCTTGCCGTCGAGATCAAACGCAGTCTGTGGGAAACCTGGTGTCGAATCTCGAGAACCACCAGCCCAGAACGGCTTTTCGCTTGAAGCAAATCGAAGAAGCTCAATGGCGGCATAGAAAGCAGTTGGACCCTAATTTAGTCAGTGTCTTGTCTATGAACACTCCTTTTGGCATATGGCGAAGACTCACCTTTTCGCGGTACAGATTGTCAAGAAGACCACCAAAGAGATTGGCGACCGAGACCCGGTAGTAGTTCTTCCCATCGTACCTGACTCGGATGCCCTCAGTGGGCGCAGGAGTTACCTCTGCTGGCCAGTCTACAAGCGTAGCGCTATTCAAGATCAACCCGTTCTGACCTTTGTTGCCCCAGGTGACAGTACTCAAGAGGTACTCAACGGCCTTCTTCTGTACTTCTGAGGGAAGTTCGGTTGCATCTGGATCGTTGGACCCTGAAGGGGGTGTCTTACGAACCGTCGGGTTTTGGGCTGGCTTTGGAGGCGCGATGTTGGGGTTGAGCAAGGTGATGGTCTGGTAGATGAGGGCGTTAATCGATCGTCCCTGCGAGGCGTTCAGATCTGATGCTCTGGTGACATCCGCTGGTGAAACACCCCCGAGATCAGCTGAGTACTCTGACCACCGCTTCATGAACTCGTTCAGTTCTGTGTAGAGGTAAGTGTCAGCTAGTATCAGTGCAGGTAGATGCAGAGCCTTTGCGTGTGGAACACTTTACTTTCACTGTTGCCTGTGCCCCGAACATCCCGAAACCATGAAGCAATGGTAGTTCGTTGCTTGGATATAACATCTAGAGCCGCTTTGTCTGCGCTGGATGGCGTTGGAGCAAGTACAACATCTATCAAGTTGAACGATTTCTTGGTCGTCTCTTGGAACTGGAAAATTCCTGAGGCCATTGTAACTTTGCGTCGTCGGTAAGTGAAATAAGATAAGTTTTGGGTGTCTAGGACTTTTTGCAGATGAGTGTTCTGACCTGTCTTTATATCTGATGACCATCTCTCAGTACCGTGTAATAGCCACAAAGTCTTGCAACATCAGTTGTTGTTCAGCTCGTCCTAAACGCGACTACGGTAGTAGCTACCCCGCAAGTTGTAAACCTCCATCACGATGCGCTTGACAATACTATGTAGATCCGCAACAGCCAGCCACTTTGTTGTTCTGAAGCAAAAGCTGGTTCTTCAATGTTGCAATTAGTGAGGGTTGAGGGCCACGAGTGACATTGTTTGGTCTCCACGTACGCTTCTCAGCCCGACCGAGCACAGTATGGCTGAATGGCGTATGTGGAGAGCTGAGATCCCGTATAGTTATTCGATCACAGCTTGCCACGCTCTTTGCGGTCGTACATGAGATACATGGTATCGAGAGGTGGGGTTGTCAGAACATCACGCCCTGTCAGCCCAGCTTCCGGCAGCATAACTTTAACAAGCCTGGCCACTGCATCTTGTATGCAAACTCGCGTACTGACACAACAAGTTGGACTGCCTTTCTATCGGATTGGCGACCAACGGTGATAGGTTCGAAATGTTGTGATCGAGCTGAAGCTTCTCACCCGCACGGCAGGCATGTGTCGCTCCAGATTAACGCAGCAGTCCTTGACTCAGCTGCAGCAGCTGAAAGGCACAGCAATAACCGGAACTGTGCAGAGATCACTAAAAAGCGCAAAACAATGATGATTAAAAGGTCTTGGTTCAAAACCTTGAGGAATGAGAGGACATGCTTCGCGGTTCAACGGTTTATCTCTATTGCCTTTGCTCATGGAGCTTTTCGTGCATACCGAAATGCGAGCCCGGTAGTTTGTACTTTGCAGCGGCCCAGTAGTGCATCTGTCAGGGAAAATGTCTTCAACACTTTGCGAGTTCGCAATAAACCTTTAAATGGATCGCAGCTCTCCAAGAACTTGACTGACCCTTCTACCCACAGTTCCTGGCACTTTCATCTACGACTGTAGTCATCACAGTGCCATCACAATGCTCAACCCATCCATACAGTTCCATCTTCTTCAACACAGTACTGAGGGCATCACTACCCCGTCCTAAAATTCAACCGTATACAAACTCCTTCGACCCAAATCAAGATACGAAACCCGAAGCATGCCCACAACATTCCATCTCAGCCAAAAAGCTTCGTGATTCTGCTATTGTTCCACTCCCAAGCTGTGACATCGTCATATCGGCAAGGCGTCGCATCAGTGATGAACTCCTTCAACGGAAGCAGAGAAGCATGGCGGTTAGGCTTGACAAAGTAGGCAACTGAGTAGCGCTCCGGGATCTCGACGTTATCTCCGGCCTTGATGACAGGCGGGTAAGTGACTCTGTGGCACGCTGCTCGGAAAGTGTCGTTGGTCAAACGTTGAAGAGAGTCACCAATGTTGAGAATGATGTCTGTGGGCTTAACCGACTCGACGCTGCGAAACACACCAGGCTGTGTCTGGTCCTCGACCTGGAGTCCGCCCACAGAGTCTTGGAAGAGCATTGTGATGGTGCCAAAATCTGTGTGCTCAGCGATGCGGGTTGCGGTGCCGTCCGCGAGTTCTGAAGCCGGGATGGCCGGGTAGTGGAGCAGACGGAATTCGTTCTCGGCGCGGTTGTGAAGCGCCTTGAAGTGGTCCTCGGAGATGTCAAGCGCAATTGCGAGCGCAGAAAGTAGCTGCATTTCTGTCTTGAAGGCCTTCTCGTAGAAAGACTCCATGAAGCCGCGGAAACCTGGGAGGCTCTCTTCAGGAATCCAGAGGTTGTCAACGAGGTCGTCTTGAGCGCTGCCCATGTCCAGTGTTTCCTATCAAATGTTAGCTAGAGTCGATGTGCCAAGCAGAAACTGCGTATAGACCAACCTTGATGTCACGGGTCTTTCCAGGACCGAGACCCTTCTCATAACCACTGATGTTGGCGACATTCTCCTGGCCGACGAAGCTGTAACCACGGTTGGGATTGGCCTGGGGAGGGTGCTTGGCTTCCATCTTGGCCTCAAGAGGCAGGGCAAAGAATTTGCGGCTCTAGCATTATCCGTAAGCAAATCTAAGATGTCTACATCGAACTGAAATCAGCTTACCATATCGAAAAGCTTGTGAATATCCTCATCCGGAATGCTGTGGTTTTGGATCTTGACGCCTCCCCTCAACTTCAGTAGGCGGAGTAGCTCAGTACAAAAGTACTTCTTCTCTTCAGGGGCTCCGAAGAACAAAGACATGTCGAGAGTGGCACCCTTGTCAGTCATTTTTGCTGATGTGTAAAGAGTAGGTACGTGTCCCGTTCTGAGAAGTTTGGATTATATCAGAGATAGACTGATAGAGAAAGATTAATGTTAAGTAATGGTAGCTTGACGGTCTGTCTGTAGGATCTGGTTAATCGTTGGTCTTCATCAGCGGACTCCAGACATCTTAAATATTATATCAAGTCTACTCTCAACTGCTTCTTCGGATGAGTCTCCCTTCATCATCTGTGTCTCGTGGTTTCGGATCAGTCGGGGTGTCTAGTAGCTCTGCTGTAAAGATTACTCCGCTGTGCTTTCTAATCCGACCCAACTATTATTCCGCTATGTAATTAACTCCGCTGTAGCGAAAGTTGGAATGACGTGCATGCACTGGTGTTTTTGGGCTGTGGGGGCTCGCCCTGTGCTCCTCGGAATCGCCTACCCCATCTGGCTTAACGCAAGGGCCCAGACTACCAGGCTTTCCGTCCTCCCGCAGAACGTTATAGGGATTACCAAAAAGCTGGAACCTATTCTGTCTGCTATTCTTTTCGATGTAACTACAGAAGGTAGGCAGCACTAAACATGACTCTAAAAATCGTGCTACTATCACCGTGCCGAGTGCTTTGCGCCGTGCAACCCCTTCATCCCTTTCAATCCACAATACGAAGTAGAAGTCATAGTGAAACTCTGCCTTAAACTCTCCCCGGTGTACGCAGTCCTCGAATGGATAGCTAAACCTCTTTCTGACTGGACTCATTAACTCCACCCTGCCTTGTAGGTCCCCACTATCATTTTGTATTGGTACAGAGCCTTTGGCTACGCGAATGACTTCAGCCTTCTCACCGGTGGGAATGCCCTGAGTATCACACGCGTTCACGCGAATGGAGCCGGCCCACTTCCCACTCGCAGTCGATATAGGTACATCAAAACGTAGTACTTACCGTTCTTATGGTCGCTGAATCGCCACGGCGAGCCATCTGCTGGCTTTCTAAATGTAAATTAAGCTCGCTGGGTACTAAAGTATAGCTTCTGCCCCTCCGAGTTAATGGATTGATGTCCCGGGGTCGCTGGAAAGGTGGAACCAGATACCTGAATCTCCGATTGGTATCTGTGTGTGATGGTCCGTAGTAGCCAAGTAGGCGTAGAACGATTCGTAGTTGGAGTCGACATCGCCATTGTGCTTCTGCCAGCCGTCTGGAGTGGTTCCAGCACTGACTGTGAAGTAGATGCGCACGAGGTTGTCGACACGACTTGAGGTGCCGTTGAATCGGTCTGTCTTCTTGAAAAAGTTTACCAAAGAAGTTATTGTAGTTTCAACCTCACTAGGCGGCAGCTGAGCATCCGTGTTGCACCGCCACTTCTTAAAGTCCAATTTGCCTGACCACCCGAGCCACGACCAGCTAGGTGCATCCGGCCTCAGGAAAGCGCGGACGAAGACCGCTACCGGGCTGCCAAAGTAGGCAAATAGTGAAGTAGAACTCAGGCAGGCCGCCGTAGAACCCAGCTGGGAAGCCATAGCACATTTCGGTCATGATGCTGAGGAGGACTTTACTACATCCGGGTCGTAACTCAGTTGCCGCGAGTTGTATTGCTCCTATATCGGCATATACCGTGAGCGATGGCTAGTCAACTGCGAAGAGCTCGTCTCTTTGACCATGATGAACTACGTCTTCTGCTTCATCTTCCGCAGGTATAGGCGGCAGCAACCACGGCTCATATCAAGTTGCTGAGTAGCAAGTTTTTCCATGTAAGGTAGTCTCCAAGAGAAAACGTGCTCTAGAAACGTCCAGGCCCGCGTACACCATGTCGTCTCAGCAAGTTTATTTTGTCCCGCAATCTTCCTAGTTTCTCTTATCATAGTTCTTGAACGAAACAGGACCAGATGCTTCCATCGTTCCTCGGTCATTCGACTTGGTCCAGGCAAGCATATCAGCATGGTCCCCATCTGCGGCAACGATTGCAAACTCAACTTTTGCATACGTATCAGCCATGGCCTCGAGGTGCTGCTGTTTACTCTTAAGGTCATCCTGCACAAGATACACACGGTCTATCCAGAGATATCCTTGTCCGACGATCGCGCACAGCTTCATCGCATCCTAAATCGTCGCAGAAGCAGCGTCATTGCTCGAGATTGACAAACTTCCAGGACTGCTCAGGGTGTCGATATTTTCCTTCGTCAATTGCAACGTTTCGCCGGGGCCCCACACTTAACTCAGTACCCCGTAGGGAACATCGTGATCAGGCTTGACGACGCACTCGCGTTCGATGTCAATGAAGTTAGGTGACACTTTTGCCTGTATGGAATAAGCGGCACTCCCGAACGGCATTTCCTGTCATGAGAGTACTAACAGAACCTCGACCATCCTCTGATCTGCGCTAGATCGACTTGCTCTAGATCGAAAAGGTGAGGCGCGCCAGCAAACCACTTTCTTAAGGTGGTCGAAAGCCTGTCGTTCGTCGAAAAGCACCATACAATTGGAAGCTGATCCAGGAACGCTCGCCTCGCGCTCGCAGGCACGGCGGATAATGGGCCAAACTCGACATCGAGGATGGGATTGTCATCCACATGGCGTCTGGAATTCTCCATAGGTGAGCTTGGAGCGTGTAGCTGCAAATTGTTGAGACATGTTCGACAGGGTGGTGATGGAAGTCTTGGAGGGTAAAGCCTTAACATCAGATCACTGTGTTAGGTACTTGATGAGGTGTTCAAGGCGCGTGGTTACTTGTGCGCGCCACGTAATACCTCTTCACCTGGGGTAAACGAAGTGGCGCGCCGTGTTAGCACACCTGGGCATTGCTCATGATAGTTTCTGGGGTCCTGAAGAATTGGCATTGCAAAGTTGTTGTCACCGGATGAAGAGGGCCAGGGCTCTTGAAACGACATACTTCGCAAAGGCGCGATGGACGAGGTCAGAATAGATGGATGGAAAGTTCAGCGCAATAGCGCTATGCTGTAGCTCGATTTAGTCAGCTAGCGTGCCCTACTTCCAAGTCGGGGTGCGGTTGCTTTGCTATAGGAAATGTTGTCAACATCACTCGACGTTACACAGCAATTGCGCCCGCTGCAATTGATCTCATCGCAACAGCTGATTTCAATCATTTGGTGTTACAGTGGCACTTTCACGATATAGGCAAAAGGTACAGTCCGGCTATATAAGCCAAGACCCCGCAGAAGCCGAAGACCCCACTTTAGCTGCAAGGAGCTTTGCGACTGGATGTGATATTTGAACAAGCATGCACTTGCCAGTAGTGTGTATACCTTTACTCGTCGCCTCATCGAACTTGCGGGGAAGCGAAGGCTCAAGTTTCCTCAGTGCACACCGAAAAGCATTCGATCGGGTAGGAACGCCCGATCTGAGAGTGGGCGGAATTGCCTGCAGAACAACGATATCTCTAGATAAAGGGAGCACTGGAACTAAGACATCACATCTTCATCTCCACAGTCCATCCAACTTTTGCCCAGCATCATGGGCATTACAGCAAAGGGAACCTCAGTGCCAAATGCCGCTGCCAATAGCCACACAAGCACACCCCCGATCGAACCTCGAGTATTCTCGACAAGCAAACCCCCATCATTGGACGATTTCAAAATCTTGACCACCGAGTCTGTCCCAATCCACTACCCACTTGCGAAGGACATTGTCAACAACATCCCCATTTACGACCTCTCGGCCTTCTCGTCGTACACCGCAGATCAGCTCTCGGCGCTGCAAGACGAATGGTACCACATTCTCCTGCAAGGGCCAGGTGTCTTCGCTACCAAACACATTTACACTAACCTCAGTCTAATTGACCATGTTAATGATGTCTACTCCTCAATCATTAAGCAAGAGGCGCAACAGTCTGGCAAAAAGGGCGACCACTTCGCAACTTCCGGCTCAAACTCCCGCATCTGGAACTCATTTTCCAAGCATTGTCTTGCAGACCCCACCACCTTCATCGAATACTACTCCAACCCGTGGCTCCCACTCATATTCTCTGCCTGGCTAGGACCGCACCACCGCCTCACTGCGCAAGTCAACATCGTGCGTCCTGGCAGCGCAGCGCAGATCAGCCACCGAGACTACCACATCGGCTTCCAGAGCGCAGAGTCATGCGAGAAGTTCCCCAAAGCTCTGCAGGTTGCAAGTCAATTCCTCACGCTCCAAGGCGCAGTGGCGCACAGTGACATGCCGCTTGAGTCCGGGCCAACGAGGCTGCTGCCGTTCAGCCAGAAGTTTGAGGAGGGGTATATAGCGTATCGGCTTAAGGAGTTCCAGGATTACTTCCTTGACAAACATGTCAGTGTGCCGCTGAAGAAGGGTGACGGGCTGTTTTTCAATCCTGCGCTCTTTCACGCCGCCGGCTCCAACACGTCGGCTGATGTTCAACGCTCTGCAAACCTATTGCAGATCTCGAGTGCATTCGGCAAGCCGATGGAGATGGTTGATAGTCTGCCGTTGGTGGAGAGGACGTGGGAAGCGTTGGCGGACAAGTACGAAAAGGAAAGTTTGAACGATGAGGTTAGGGCTTTCGTGAGCAATGTCGCAGAAGGCTATCCGTTTCCAACAAACCTGGATAGGAGAGTGCCGGAGACGGCAGGCATGGCGCCGGACAGTGAGCAGGACTTGCTGTTAAGGGGGTTGAAGGGAAGATGGGACAAGGACAGAGTGCTGGTCGAGCTGAAGCAGATGAGAGACAACTCAAGGGCGTGAATTTGAAGGGTGTCCTTGTGATCACAGAGCCATGCTCAGAGATACATGCGTCATAGGATGAACTGAGCCGCGGGCAGAATGTGAATGACAAAAACCTATAAGTACCGAAACACATATTCTCAGTCTACATTCCTCTCTCACCACCGTTGTCAATTACAATCGCTACAAGAGGCAAACACAATGACTATACCCCAAACCGGCTTGCCAACACTATGCTACATCCATCCGTCAGTCTTGCGCGGCATGGCTTCAACTCACCACCCCCCACACAATGTACCAACTTCAAAGGTCGACAAGAGAGAAAAGATGCTTGAAGACATCAAATTGAGAGTCGCAGAGGTTCGCCGTCGCATTGAGCTGATGAATGTGGAGGACGAAGACATTGAGAAGATGGTGGGAAAGTTGAAGAACATGGCAGGCGGAGTGGATCAGACTTGACTTTCTAGCTGCACCAATGCATGATTCTAATTTTACCTTCTGCCCCCAGACTTGGTGCAACACCTAGCATGTATCAGAACGGCTTACGCAAAGCGGAACACTGGCCTGGATCATGATTCTTCGTACGATAGTGTAGATGTACCTGTTATGGTATCTCTTTTTCTCTCATTACTCTTCTTTCTGAAACCTATACATGAGGATCGTAATGATCAAAGCTATTCTTTACTCATGACATCTTGCTTCATGATATCCCGCATGAGTGAGATCCTTCGCTTCATCAGCTACAGCTCCCAAATCCTTCATGATGCGCCTCTTCAATTTCGAGTCCGTTATTAATCGTCCTCATCTACCTTTGTCGCAATGTTCTGTGCCCTATTTGCGAAGGAACTGTGAGCTCGAACACTGCGCGCTCAAATGCGTAGATCTGTGGCTGTGCGTACACACCATCGCGTGGGCCATCGATAGCCAGGAGACGCATGTAGTCTTCGTAGCTCTCACGGATGGCGGGGCGGTAGTCTCACGTCTTGTGTTGGCGGGCGAGGTGGTTTGAGGCTGTCGACGAGGATTTTTTCCATACTTGAGGTAATTGAAGCCGCGGCTGCATCTAGGGCATGAGGCGGGGGTGGCTTGGTAGAGCTGGGTGGCGGGATATGGTTGGTGGCATTGTGGTGATTCATTGTTGATCTTAGATGCTGTTCAGCTGTCAGTGTTATCTCAGTGAAGTAATGGTGCTGGATGGTTCAATTATTTTAGGTCCGATGTAGAAAACTGTCGATGCACCGGACTCCTTTTAGACATCAAAAATGTAATACAAACTTCTGCAAAGTGTCGATCAATTGCAACTTACTTGATGCTCACGGTGTTCGCGCGGTCAATCTAGTCAGCTTTGCAAGTTTTACTTCGACTTTCGATGCATTGACAAGATTGTTGATAGGACAGGGCGTTGGCTTATGGAAGCAAATCGTGGATGGATCAAGCGATGTTGCTCTGGTCGACGAAGTGGCTGTCGAGTACTTCGCTGTATGCTTGTGATAGAACCTTTACGAAAAGTTCAGTCAGCCTTGGGCCTTTTGTATCGACCGTGGCGGGTAGTAGCGGACAAGCAGCGAGTTGAGACCCAGAGTGCAGCTGAGCCATGGCGTGAGTTTACAAGGGCCCTCGCGACAGGCTCTACCGCTCCGGAGATCTTGGTCACTACAGCCCGCATGTCAATGTTCACTGCACCGGACGTGTCGACTCCCAGGTCAAGATTCAAGGTGTTGTATCGAGCTCGGAGAGATCGACTCTTATCTGTCTGCCCACCCGCTGGTTCGCGAAAACGTAACATTACTCAAGCGTGACGCGTACGAGGACCAAACGCTTGTCAGCTACATTGTCCCTGAGATGAAACGATGGCAAGGTTGGCTTCAAGAACGTGGCACCAATGAGGCTTCTACAGAGAAACAGACATGGTCTCCATGCTCAAGCGCTTCAAATATCTGCGAGACGACATGCACGAACACCTCAAGAAGAAGCTCCCGCCCTAGTCGAACCAGACTTACTGAGGCTGCGCCTGCGTTTGTGGTGTGAACCAACGACGCAAAGGATTGGAAACTGACTTACAAACGTGACTTCGCAGTCATAGGACACGAAGTCACAGTGTGCTGTGACCTTGCGAGTTTGTGCGGGTCAGCCCTCAGCTCTTGTGTTGTCGACTCTTGTTGGTCGACGTTCACATGTGCCAATGTGATACACGGGTGGTGACGCTGATCTACGAACACAGAGTACTTCCATGCCTGCAACATACTTTACTTGCCCCGGTTCCTCAAAGTGTAGACTTAGACAAGCACAGCTCTGTATTTCTTCCTTCACTCCAACATTGACTTTCGCGCATACACACAACTGCGAGGTCATCTCCAATCGACTGACTATCGTACTACGTACTTGTCCAATCAGCGCTCACAGCATTGAGCCGAGTATTCCAACCTACCACCTTCTAATCAGGCACGATGACAACACCTGACAATCTTCTCGCTCTTGCAGCAGAGCTCGCAAAGCTAGGCGGTGAACTCACTGCTGTCGGTGGCAAGCTCGCAGAGGCAGCTGCTCAACTGGAACAAGAAGCTGCGAATCTGGCCGAGGAACGCGCGAAGCGATGGGGTTTTGAGGTTCAGGTCGCCGTTGGCGTAAAGGGCGGACCAGGCACCGGAGCGAACAACAACACTAGTGTTGTCGAGGTGAAAAAGTGACCGCGGATGCCCTTACGATGTGAGGATGAGACGATCCTGTGGTGCTCTGCATTTGGAAAGAGATGGCGGGTTTCATGTTCGAGAGTAGTTGTAGATCGAACAAATCGAGGTACTGTGTGCACAATCGTTAGCATCGGTGACGTCATACCGCGATGTATTGTAAAACTTTTGAATCCGCGCCTTCATGATCAGCCCTACCTACACTGATCACTTTAACGGAATTCGTGTATCAGATGTCACGACCAAGATCATGAAAGAGAGATAGTGGTTGTGGTGTTAAAGCGCGATTACCCAACCTGTCGGCTACGCTACCGTGTCTGTGCGCGTGCCGACCGGATTCACGTGCCGATCGGGATCACTAAAACACCACCTATACTCAACACAGTAACTTAGCAACCATGATAGGTATCAAAGAAGCGCTTAAAGAGATCGAAAATTTGAAGCCAGGCAAAATACTTGTATACCAGACAATTGCAGATCAACATGGTGTTAATTGCACAACCTTGTTGTAGAAACACAAGGGGATATAAGCTGACCAAGAGACCAAGAACACTATCAAGGCAAGCGCAAGGCCTCACAGCAACAAGGAGCTAGAAAGAAGCAGAATCATGGTGCTGTGGTGATGTGAGTGGTGCTGCTGCCACTGAGCGCTCTCCATCTCTAGCCAAAATCTTCACACGCAGCCACAACATCAGGCTTCCATGTAAATACAGATAGCAAAGGTTTGTTGCATAGGTCTATAGAGTACTCCACCAAGATATCTCATAACAATAGCTATTGTGTGTGGCTCTACAGCCTCATTTTTATATGAGCATCAAGGTGGTGGTTGTGGTCGGCATGCGAATCCGGTCGGCACGCGCACAGACACGGTACTCCTTTCGAGCCTAGTTCGAGACCCCAAATTTGAAGAGCTTCGATCATCCCACCTTCACCAAACCTTCTCCACATTATCAAAATGAGTCCGAAAGCAGTTATTTCAGTTATTGGATCACTCAATGTTGATCTCGTCACCCGCACCTCTCGTGTGCCAGTGGCGGGCGAAACTTTGACCAGCGAATCCTTCGACATTGGTTATGGAGGAAAAGGCGCTAACCAGGCTGTCGCGTGTGCGCGCTTGTCTCGAACACAGCAACAAGCGTCCGAGGGCAAGGCCTCTGATATTGAGGTTCGCATGGTAGGCGCTGTTGGTGACGATGAGTTCCATGAGAGCTTCTTGAAGAGTCTACAGAAGGATGGACTGAAGACAGATGCTATCAAGATTTTGAAGGGGAAGAAGACCGGAGTTGCGGTAATAACGGTTGAGACAAGCACCGGAGAGAACAGGATCATGTTCTGCCCTGGTGCGAACTATGATGTTGAAGTCAAAGACCTGGTCGACGATGACGCGAGCGTTGCTTTGTTTCAACTCGAGCTGCCCATGGAAGTCGTACGTATAACACTTTATTTGAGAGTACGAACTACATCCTGCTAACCAACTCAAGGTATTACATAACATGATGAGTGCGCGCCAGAAAGGCATCGAGACGATCATCAACCCTGCACCAGCCATCCCACTTCCAGCAGAAGCGTACGAGGGACTTGGTCACCTAATCGTCAACGAGACCGAGGCTGCAATCCTCTCTGGTATTGATAACCCAACTTCATGGGACAAAGTTGCAGCTATCTTCATCTCACGCGGCGTGAAGAATGTGATCATCACTCTTGGGGGAGAAGTGAGCCGTTCCCTGCAAGTATCGTGATTTGCCTACTGATAATCCTGCTAGGGTGTATTCTACCAGACTGCTAAGCAACAGGCCGAGTCCAAGAACGGCCGTATAGTTCCAGCACGAAAAGTCAAGGTTGTCGACACAACGGCGGCTGGCGACACATTTGCTGGTGCTTACACCGTTGCTGTAGCTCACTGGAAGTCGATCTCCCAAGGATCGGACTTCGATCTCGATGCGGCAATTTCACACGCCAATCATGCGGCATCTATGACAGTGCAGAAGGCGGGCGCCCAGTCGAGTATTCCTTGGGCTGATGAAGTCCCTAAAGAGTAAGACCACGATGTAAACAAGACTAAACCAATTCAATCATATACATGTCCTCGAACCTAAATTTGAGGACTCGAAGCTCGTCAGAGCCAGAGTTTGATTTCAATGCGTTCCGTTCTATTAGCGTCAACGATCGAGTTGATCTGTGCTTCCTGTCAGAGACCAGGCTTTTGTGCCCGCATCGTTACGTGCAGAGTCAAGAGGCACAATTTGTCCATTCAAATATACCGGCTAACTGATAGCATCGACTCCGTCCCGATTACTAGGTGTACTTTACGAATCTGAGTATCCTAGAGTTGTGCAATCACCTATCGAGGCTGGAGGTATTGGGTGCCTGGAATCATGTTGGACGACTGCGTCTGGTATGGAAGTCCATGACCAGCGGATGTATCATTGCTAGCTTAACCATTGCCGAACTCAGGTTTGATAGTCGTGAGGTGCTGATTGTCACCATGTGATGCCGGTACTGCATAACACGGTGACGCAGTGTTAGCGGTCTGCACTGGTAGGAATGCTTGTGCCCTCGCGCCGATGGGTGGAAGCTTTGTTGGCCTTGTGGCAATGGCTGATAAATCTGATGCGCAGATTGAGTTGGCTGGAGCTTGTGTGGGTTTAATGAGGGCACTTGGGTGTTTTTCTGGTAGAGGTACGCTCCGGGGGAACGCCTTTGATTGTGGACCCATGTTTGAGGGCTAAGATTGTGGAAAGTCGGCGTTCGTCGAAGTGTCAATCCCAGCCCTGAGGCCCTTCTCCGGTCCTTTTTCCAGGGCTGGTCCCGTAGATGTTCTTGAGGTATTTGTTGAAGTCCAGATACACCTTCAGAACTGTATCGAAATACTTCGATCGCAGTACAACTTTGGCATCCATCTCTGGAGCACTCTGTGGTTTTCTCCCTGTGCAGCAAATTTCGCAATTACGAGAGCAGTTTGGCATTCGTTACGGATCTGGCGTCCATTCAGCCCAGTCTTCGAATTCCCTTGCCAGTAGTTCGAGATCTAGAATTCGATATGCTCCTTGTCAATCTCGATCGTCCTCCCAATTTTTTTGAAGTGTTCTCTGATTAGCCGAATGTTTGGATCTAGGATCGTCTGGTATACTCCTCGGTCAACTGTGGATACTCAAGGCTGACGTGGATGCGAGAAGCGAGTGCTTCATCAAAGTCGCCGATTGCGTTGGTCGTCAGGAACAAGATACCCGTATAGTCCTCAAGTACATGGAGGAACATTCTACACAGTTAGCGAGCGAAGTCATGGGTGCACAGATACCTGCCGGCTACAAGTGCGTTCCGATTCAAACCAACACCGGTCACTGCCTATGCTCTGGATGCAAGCGTGTTCCCACAAGACCTCAACCTCAGGACAGCCAGCATAGATCTAGTTGCTACGATCCTAGAGACAGTGGGAACTCTGATAAAGTTCTACAAGAACAGAATTGGCAGAAAAATGCTGGCAGCTTATTTCAAGAGGGAGCAAGCTCACTCAGGGTCTTGAGCACATCAAAGAAAGAAGCGAGAATCTTGCTCGCAAGAGAGTCGACGCTGACATAATAATGACACGTCGAGAAGTGCACACACGAAGCAATTGAGTAGGTGGAACCTTGAACTCACCAGGACAGTAGGTCTACAGGCATCGAACATGGAGAACATTCCCAGCGAAGTCAGAGACAGCCAAGCAGCAATGGCGGACAGTCAAGTAACGATGGCGAATACCATGCATCGCTTCCTCGACGAATGTCAGACGTCGATGGGAGGTTGCAAAGACAATTGAACAATGGTCTTGATAAATCGTAAAGAAATCCGCAGGTTAAGGTTCATTATGAGTGTGAAAACCTGCTCGAGGCTGGTCATCGGTCGTTCGCTGTCTGGTTGTTGTGAGTGCAATCGGTGGATGAGTCTAAACTGCCGCTCGTTGTAGTAGATGTGATCATGATAAGCTCTATAGAATTGTGAACGCATCGAGGACGCGTCTGCGCAGATGAAGAGGCCATTATGTCATGCTTGGTTCGTGCTTTGACGGTCGTGTTCGTTGCCGAAAGCCGACGTGTCGGTATCATGCACAAAGCCGTTCACCCAGCTCGAACTGTGATTACCCTTAAATCACCAGGACGAACGCCCCTGACACCTCTTGGACCACTTCACTGAATCTAAAAAGAACCACGTGGATCACATAAAGCTGCACACCAAACCACTCGCCCCGCCATTCTACGAACCCCACCCCGCCCTACCGGAATTAGTACAACCACTACGCCCCATACCGCACAACTTCACCCAGACCTTCACACGCCATGTCCAACCCAGCAGCAAAGCGCCTCTTTAAAGAATACAAATCGCTCTCCTCCGACCCACCAGAAGGCATAACCGCCGGCCCCGTAACCGAAGATGACATGTTCCTGTGGGAAGCGTTAATCCAAGGGCCAGAAGGCACACCATTCGAAGGTGGCGTGTTCCCCGCCGAGCTCAAGTTCCCCAAGGACTACCCTCTTGCGCCGCCAAAGATGAAGTTCTTGACAGACATGTGGCATCCCAACGGTACGAACACCAACCCACCGCCCTTAGACCTCTGTACAATTGTAGAGGGGTGAGATGTGAAAGATTTGGTGGACAAATGCTGACTGAAACAGTGTACAACAACGGCGAGGTATGCATATCGATCCTGCACCCACCCGGCGACGACCCACACCAGTACGAGCAAGCGTCCGAGCGCTGGTCGCCGATCCAAAGCGTGGAGAAGATCCTGATCAGCGTGATGAGTATGCTAGCTGAACCGAACGACGAGAGTCCGGCGAATATCGATGCGGCGAAGATGTGGAGGAATAAGAGGGAGGAGTATGAGAAGGTTGTGCGGCAGAACGTTAGGAAGAGTCTGGGGCTGTGAGGAGAGGAGACGCTGGAGCACAACGAAGGTTGGGACATAATTTACAAGCATAGCATGGGCGGTGTTTGGGCTTTATAAGAGATCAAGGTATGGCGCAGGATAGAATTAAGAGATATGCAATGCATCGCTATTGAAGGACTAGGGATATTTCCATCACCTGTCCTGCATTCTGCATTGAGCGCGGCATCAAACCACTTCAATGCCTGAAGTCTCGCCCCAGGCATTGTACCCAACACCTCGGAAATTCCACTCCACGCTCTTCTGCTGTGTGTTGCCGCTACCATCCGTTGCTTTGCTGTAAATAGTCAAATCCTTGCCCTTCTCCACCTTGACTCTTGCTTTCCACAAGGTCCAAGCCCACTTCAGATCAGCGTCTTTATCCTCATGACTTTGGTCCAGTTCTGCATCCATCCACGTCTCTCCTCCATCAGCGCTGACCTCGACCCTAGTGATTGGCCCATCAGATCCACTCGGCAGCGCATAGCCTTTGACCTCTATTGTACCGTTCTCATCTCGGTGAACTGTTGAGCCCGTCTTCGGTACGCCAATGACACTATTGATTGGCATGTCCTGCAGTGCGCTGACTCTTCCCCACCATTCTTCTGCCTTCTCCTTGCAATCTGCCTCCGGTGGAAGGATCTTATAATCGTGCTGCTGGTAGTAGCTGCTGCTTTCGCACATCTGCACCGTGATGCGGTCCAGCCACTTGACACTCCTTGCACCAGCGATACCTGGTGTAACGACTCTGACCGGTGCGCCGTGATTGGGTGGTAGAGGCTTGTCGTTCATCTCCAGTGCTATTATGATCGAACTGTTGGCATCCATGGCCCGCGACAAAGGTATGCTGGCACCGTAGTACTCGTCATCCTGGGTCGGCGTCTGGAAGCAAGAGAATGCAACGTGTGCATCGTTCCACTTCTCTTTCTCGACCTTCACGCCGGCTTTTTCGAGGACGTCTTTCAGTAGCGGTCCGGTCCATTTGCAGTTCATGACGGCGCCGTCGAACCAGTCAATGCCGGATACTTCCTTCAGCTTCGTGCGCATGGTGTGACGTCTGTTGCCTGCACATTGTAGTGCGCATATCACACTGTGTTGGGGAAGTGCTTGGAGGTCCTTCACGTGCAAAGAAAGTTCTTTTTTCACAAGGCCGTACACGCAGACTTGGTGTGTAGCCGCGTCGAGGTGTGGGATTGGTCCATGATTGCGATCATATCCGCCCTTTTTTGTAATGAAACTGCGATAAATATTAATTACAGGTCCATCTTGTATCATTCAGATTTATCTTGAGGACCCTGTACCTTGAGACGAGCTCATCGAGCTCCGGCTCTCGATTGAGCGGCTCTTCGACTGAGTATTCGAGCTAGTGGCGTCAGTAGCGCGTTCCACAGTAAATAGACTGCCTCTTATAGTAATTTGTATAGACGAGACGACCAAGAAGGGTGCGTACCTGAACCATGATGCGCGATTGTGGACTGGCGGCGATGGCGTGATTGTTCCACGGAAAGGCTACGCGATGGGGAAAACGGGGTTAAGACTAAGCGACGCGCGGGGTAGCGACGGAATGCACTGCGCAGGGCTGTCGACTGACTTGGATCACGCAAGGGGCAGGTACGGGTGTCGGGGCGGGTAGCTGCGGCTCGTGCTGCAGGTTGATACTTGTACGATTTCTATTTGCGCCTGACGCGCAGCTTCGTGGTATCTCTCAAGACGAAAGCTGATGACGTTTATTAGATAGACGATTGCGACATTTGAAGTGGGCCGCAGAAGAATCGATTCACCTAGAATTCTTCGATTCTTATCGCTCAACAGCCATGCTCTTCTGGTCTGACGGATCAAACTTTTGAAAGAGATGAGGTGTTACGGTATCAGTAGGTCGGTAGGCCTGAAATTGCACACATCAGACTATCCTGGACTAGCATGTTTTAGGTCAGGTATATAGTCGTCTTCTCCTAACTAGATAACAGTTCAGCGTAGTGTTCCATCGTATCCTACCAGCGGCCCCTTGCCGCAACAGAAGGCAGCGATAAATGCTTCAAACGTCGTCTCTCAGGCGTATTTGCATCACCCACCTGCTAGTTAACACAACAACCCTTCGAACGCCCTTTGAGGCTCCGAATAAAGTATTGATGCGATCAAGCCATCGTTGCGCCTCCCTTGCTCACCTCTCCTTGCCCTTGTGGTGTTTGATGATGTACTGCTACATTATAGGCAGGTGGCCCGTCTGTGCTTCCTTCTCCTTCCTCTCCCTCTCCATCTACATCGTCGACCAGCCTTCTCGTTTCATCACCCTGCATCTCAATATCATCTCTTCTCCTTGTCTGGGCCTTAGACGCCAACCATACACTGCTCATCGGTCGACCCATCATCCAAGCGATCGGCCACGCGAATACTCCTTTGATAACAACATATACCAGGAAGAGAGGAATGCATGGCGGCCACGTACATGTCCCACTGATGCCCCCGTCATACACTAAGGCTTGTCCCCACCGCACGAGAAAACAGTCAACAACCGTTCGTACGAGATTGAAGCTTGCAGCGATAAATGGTAGAATATTGAGTAGCGCCACTGCCCACCAGTTTGGTTCTGGGATGCTGCCCTGACCCTTCCAAACGTAACCCTGGCACTCGGGACGGATATAGGGATGGTTAATGTCGTGTATGCGTACGATGAAAGCAGTCAAGGTGACCGCATAGAGAAAGACGGCCACTATGAGACGATTCGCGCGGATGTTCGGTGAGGGATAGGGTAGGCAGCAGGTGCAGCAGTCCGACAGGGGTGGTGGCTTCTTTTGTGCTGACTTAGGAACCTGATCGCTCGCAATCGGTTGAGATGTGGCGACTTGAGGTTCGTCGTCTTGAGGTGCTATCCTTGGACGTGGTTGCTCGTCTACAATTGTCGGTGACAATACCTCATGTGATCTGGTGTTTAGAGATGTGTTGAGTGTGTTGTTGTCGTCGTCATCGTTGATCATGTTGCAGCAGTCCAGGTGGCTATGTGCAACATATTCAAGAAGGAAGGTGAACAACACTATGAGGGCGGTGCAAACAACAGTGTAAGTGTTGGGCGCGTTCGAGTTGTAGTCGAATTCGCATATGATGCTGGTGCTTGAATCTTGCATGTCGAAGTAAGAATGATCATAGACGAACTTGTAAAGAACTAGCGAGGGACTTTGCGGTACTGGAGTATCTGTATGCTGCATCTTGCCTGAGTGTGGCTGTGAACGGGTGACCGGAGGCCCAAGTGGGACGGGTGGCTTGGAAGTAAGCAATGGCACGCCGCATGATGAAGGTGACAAGGACTCGGGTAAACCAAGATCTTGTCATTTGCGAGAAAACATCACAAGGTAGATAAGAATGGCATCGTAATATTAAACCATTGCTACTTGTTACATGGGTATAGAGGAAATTGAACTCTAACCGAACACCTCGATCATAAACCGGTAGTCAATCTTCCTGCCTTCATTCTGGGCTTTGGCGTTCATCTACGAGCACTGATCTGTAATTTGCTGGCCAATGACTGGAGGTCCACAGAAGAAGACCCCAACGTTGATCTCATCCTTCTTCTTTGAGTTCTGAGATCTGTTTTCGCTTTTGTGTGACGTAGGTTCGGGTGCGGATACCGAGATGTGAGCGATCAAGTTCGTTGGCACGAGATACTTCGTTCAGAAGATTGGAGAACCAGAGCAAGTTGTTCTTATCGCGTACCATCCAATGGAAGTCAACGCGTGGGTGGCCCTGGTAAGGTGACGGTCCCTTGCCACTTTCGTAACCGGACCCTGCAGAGTTCTCGCCTGACACCACACGCTCGAGTTCATGATATCGAAGATCAGTCAGAACACCGGAGAAGGGTGTGACACCAATACCGGCTGTATGTTGTGTTAGCATGTATACTCTTCCATGTTCCGCGTCATCGCTTACCCAAGGACCATGCTGTAGTCGTAGTCGTAGAAACATTGCGCAGGTGAGCCAAATGGGCCATCAAGGCCGACCTTGATCGACTGCTTCTTGCCAGTTTTTCTTGGCAATGTCTCGCAGTTCGTTTGTCCAATCACCATCCGCTTTGATGTGCACTTGCATCCGGTTGTTGACGCAGGTTGAGACAGTGAAAGGGTGCCATTGCCAACGAGGCAACTGGGGCACCTGAACCAAAACATATTGGCCAGCCTTGTAGTCCCAAGGCCTCTTGTGGGGAACATTAACAGTAATCATTGTTGTCTCCTCGTCCAATAATTCGAGTTCAGCTTCGATGGGGCGGAAACCAAGAACGACTCGCCAAGTGCGCTCGAAAACGGCGAACAGTGTAGGAACTGCGAGTCAGTAACCGAACATGGGCCACTGAAAAAGACCGGCTGTACCGTGCGCAATCATGAGGCCAACGATGAGGAACATGAGGAGATGACCCATCTGGAAGACTTCGTAACTCCACTTCCGTACCCGCGGCACACTCAAAGCTGTCAACAGGCAACAGCAGCTGATAGCTGTAAGACTTGTCCATCCGGCCAAGGACCTCACATAGTCAATGTAGGAACGCGGAACCGCATCAGCACCAAGCACGACGGCAACACTGTCCTGTCGATGCGCCATGCTGCCGAAGACGAAAGATCTAGCAAGGTGGCCGAGGGCATGCAATTTTGCAAAGAATAGAGCAACAATGGACATCTTGATGTGGAACGACTGCGAAAAATCCCAGTTGATGACACGGGAGATGAAGTAGAAGCGTCGAAGGAAGGTCGACAGCCAGCGCGACATGGTCAGTATGAGGAAGAAGAAGGTCGAGTAAAGCACGCCTACAAACGTCTTCGACACCACCACACCCCAACCGAAAGCTGGAGTGTACTCATCGTATGCGAGGTATTTGACGAGCTGTCACACGCCGAACGCGACCATGAAGGTTGCGACAAGAGTCAATAATGCAATCTCTGGTCCCTTGATAGCCCAATAGGCGCGTGCTCGTCCCCAAATTGACTTCTGCTTCCAGTAGCCGTCTTCCTGTTTTGCTTCCTTCCGATCTTGCTCCAGTGGAGGTATCTCCCATTTCTTCACGCTCTCCGCAAACTTAGACTCGTCGATGTGATCATCGCGAGTTACGATCACGCTTCGAAGAAACTCTTGTCGCGCTTCTGTTCGTGATTCATGGTGAAGGTGGTGTGGTTGTGCTTTCAGTGCGACCTCCTTATGTACTTCGTCGAGTTTGCGTTCTAGTTCCCAGTAGTCAATCTTGCCATTGTTGTCGTGCTTGGCATTCTGTGACGTCAACGCGAGTTGATAACAATCTCATCTACACTTTTCTCGCATCATCAACAACAACAAAAGCTGTCTGCAACACATCTCGCCCTGGGGATACACACATTCCATAACGCGATCTAGCTTCTCGAGAAGGGTCCTCGAGGCACAGATCGCATGCGGACTACCACGATCCGAGGGCGCGTCTTTGACGTCATCACTAACAATGACACGCTCTATCGATGCGTCGATGGCGTTGAATTCGCTAGGAGAGATTAGATCTGCCTGAATCTGCGATTCTGTTGCCCTGCATATCGTCATTTTCCTGTCTTCGTGTGTTTCTATCACTTTTCCATTGATCAAAATATTCAGCAGGCGTAGAGCAACATGCCTGAAATGCATCACTACGCTGCCCACGATGGCCCATCTATCAAAGTCACGGAACGCGATGATCGCACGATGCTCATGAGCGTGCTGATGCACCTTGTACGACTCTTTCGCAAGCAACTCAACGCCAGCGAGCCAAATCATGAGGACGGATCGATTAGACTAAACCCTCCCAAAACACGGCTCAAGCCATGTATAGCCTCGCACCGCACTGTATGCGACATCCACATCTATGACATCATACCACCGAAGCAACCGACGAAGACGCCCTCGAAACGCATCTACTATATCGCAGGAGGAAGTTGGCAGTTGGCACCGTCAGGGCAGCATTGGTGGGTGTGCGCTAAGCTCGCCCAAGTGCTGCCAGACACAATCATCTCGATAATTTCAGTACCGCTGGCGCCCAACAACACAGCATCAAGTTCTTTCCCTTGGTGCTTGAGGCTCTACCGCGAGTTGATGAGAACGGCGGAACATGCAGGCGAAAGAGTCACCTTCATGGGAGACTCATCCGGCGCCAATATCGTCCTCTGTCTGGTCATGGAAGCTTTGCGGCAGGAGGCGGAGAATCCTGAGATGGAGCAAACACCTCGACCTATTTCTCTGATGGTCATCAGTCCATCGACCGATATGACGCGCAACAACCCTGACATCCAAAACTTACGCAAGTTCGATCCCCTTCTCTCGCCCGAGATTATCAAAGCGACGGCGAAAGCATGGCATGCCGATGATGTGGACCCTACAGACCGCATTGTGTCCCCTATCAATGCCGACTTCTCACTGCTTGCCAAGAGTGGCATCAGAGTGCACGGCGTCACCGCTGGATACGATGTGCTCAGCCCTGACGGCATCGTTTTCCGTAACAGACTATCTGAATACGGCATTCAGGGAGAATGGCTACATTGGGAGAAACAGATGCATTGCTTCGTATTGACTGCGCCATACCGTTTGAGTGAGGGCAAGCAAGGGCTCGATTGGGTGTTCGATGTGATTAAGAGAGATGGAATCTGAAAGACAGATATAACTTGAGATACCCAGCTTCAACGTTGATAGAGCCGTAAGCGCTAACTTTAATGCCATTATTCTCACCATATGGAGCTATCGTGCTCGTCAGATAAGCTCAATTTGGAACCTCATTTCAGGACGTGCTCAATACTGTGCATGGTCCACCTCTGTAAATCTAGCTGGCGGTTTCACGAGCATCCACGTCCAGTGAACGAAAAGGCGGACAGTTCGGCTCAGTTGGAGAACAAGACATTCCTACCAGAGGATACGCAACGAACAGCATCCAGGCACCGACATTTCACAGTCCCACCTTTCCCATTCCTTTAACTACATCAACGATAACAACGAAACAGGTAGAGGATATGTCCCGCACGTCTACTATTCCACCTGAGGACAGCCCGTACCACTGGAAGAAGCTGCACTAGACGGCGGCTTCCCCGCGACTAGATATTCCACGTCGTCCCAACTCCTTCTTCGATCACCTCAACCGCGATGTTCGTAACAAGATCTATGCCTACCTCGACTTCTTTCCCATGGAGAAGATGGAAAAGCTATACCGCAAGCCAGGGGGCGTCAATGGCCGTGCTTTCGCTGCTACTTGCCGTCGTGCCAAGCAAGAGGCGGATGAAGAAGCAGAACATCAGTTGCGACATTTTCTGAAGGATTTGGATGATTGTTACACGCAAGAGACAGGGAATAAGTTCCGCCTTCCCACCCGCCTCGCTGTTAGGGACACTCAGGCATGCAGAATCTAGCGCTGATCTTTGCTGGCAACCCGCCCGCTCGCAGAACCCAATGTTCGCACTTGCCAGAAGCGATCAACAAGCTCTTGTGCCTATAATTGCCCAACCTGTTACTTCAACTTCATCGTTAATGACGGGCAGTCTGGTAACGTCGAAATCGTGGCCCTGAAGACTTTCCTTAAGGAAGGACGCTCTTACTATGCTACTCTACAGCAGCCTTCATTTTTCAGAATACCGAGCAAAAGCATCATACGACCATGTGCGACGCCTCACCGTATTGTGGGACTTCCAATTGTCTCAGGAAGGCACTGTCATTTCCGGTAAGCGAGTGGAACTCAGTGACTCTGAAAAGCGCTCTCATCAACATCGTGGTCCGTTCATTCAACACTGGTCAGCTGCTGGCTTTGAACGCAACAAGGAGAATACCGCAGGACAGATGATCTTGGTGGTAAGAAAGGACTGCTTCCTCTCGTCGACTTATTATCTTCTGTGCCAATACCTGGCGGCAAAAGAAACTCTATCCCGGATCATACCCTGATGGGTGCGAGTGGACCGATACATTCAGCACATTTGAGACGATGAAGTAGATGGGGGAGGTATTAAGCAAAGGCCACGATGATAATCACAACTATCAGTTTGTTTCAAATAATACCCATGCAATTTGGGTGTTTCTATTCGCTCTCATGCGCCCGTTGAGATACCCACGGGTCTCTTCAGAGAAACAAGCCTTTCGTAAACAATGACAGGGCATCAGTATTTACCATATAAATGGGCAGATATGGGTGAGGCTTAGGGAAAAAAAAGGAGTTGTAGGCTTCTAGAGCCAAGGTTGTAGAGCTGAGTCGTGCAAGTTCAATGTGGTGCTTCCATTTTATTACGGCGTTGTGGTCGTTAAGTTACTGCTATTGAGAGTCGGGTTGTTGGTGATGGATGGCCCAGTTTGATAAAGCTGTGATGGGCTAGGCCCTGGAGAGCTTGGTAGCATTTTGACATGGATGAGATTCATCTATTCCATTCTTTTTTAGCGTATAAGCAAGACACAGTAAAAACTTGTCGGTGTTTCTCCATAGCTCCTCGTCAGTTCAATCACTGTTCTCAGGTATTTCGGGAAGGCGGAGTAGGATCTCTTTCCAGTCTTTGCAGAAGCGGCTATACAGCACCTCATCATCGAGAACCTATTCCGGGTCCACTACATGCAGACTCCCTGCCTCGTCGATGATCTCTTCGAACGAGGAGGTGAGCGAGGGGAGATAGTACGTGCGTATCCAAATCATCCTCTCATTTTCACCGCTCGCGGCCTACTAGCAGATATTCCGTTCCTGTACTGTCTGGTGCGGGAGGAAAATGCGGTTGATTTGGTCTTGTGTTGCTAAGTGGGCAGCGCCAGGGTAGGAGTTTTCTGATGGGCTGGGGGAGATTTGGGACCGGTATGGCTGATCGAAGATCAGGGTGAAGAGCATGATGGTGATGGTGACGGTGATGGTGATGGTGATGGTGATGGTGAACGTACGTCGTGGTTGATGTGGCTCAATGGTAGCCATCGTTGGGCGAGCGCATTCCATTGCGACTGGTCTTGTTGTTGGGCTTATCGTAGTCCCAAGATTCCTAATACAGCTTGTGAGTATGTTGTACATGAAAAGAGGGGACGGTCTGACCAGAAGAAATCGATCGAAAGGCACGTTGCCATACTCGGCTCCAGGGTTGAGTGCAGCGGCGGTGTTGTGTTGCTGGTGTGTTGGACATCCATCGTGACGGCTGGACAGAGTCAAGAAGAGAGGAAATCAACAAGGGGAACGGATTGTTCATCGTGCGGCGTGGCTGGGTGCCTGGAACGCCGAGTACATCATTACACCCGAGAAGGGAAGGAGGCAGGTAGTCACGTTGAATGGTTCAGCACGTTAAGTCGAGATTCGATTCGTACTCTTCTTCATTTCTCTTTTCATCTCATCAAAATGTAGCCTTAATCACTTCTACTGAGCAGCAGGTGCCGGAGCGCCGCCCCTAGGACCACCTCTTCCTCTGAACCCTCCACGACCACGGCCGCGGCCCCTGCCACGGCCTGCATCCAGACCAGCAGGCGGCGGTACATTCGAGTAGTTCTGAGGACGGAAGTTGGGGTTGTTCTGAACTACACCATCGGTCGGATCGCTGTTGTCTACACTAGTGAACCCACCGCGACCAGCTTTGCTGAATCCACCCCGACCTCGCGGCACAAAGTCAGCGCCACCACGGCTACGACCGCCTCGAGGTGCACCGTTGCCGTTGGGTTGCTGTTGCTGGTCCTGGAATGCATGGTTGTTGGCTTGTCCGCCGCGTGGAGCAAACCCGCCTCGACCGCCGCGTGGTGGGCCGCCATGAAGGGGCATGGTTTGGGGATGCTGGGCGGTCCCGTTTGCAGCAGACGCACCTACACGAGGCGCCATACCGCCGCCGCGGCCGCCCCTAGTGCCGTTTGCACTATTGAATGCTCCACGGTAGGAGCCCTGCAGAGGTGGTGGAGTGTTTGCTGGGACTAGCTGGGGACCACCGGGAGCGCCCAGGCGAGGCATAGAGTAACCCGAGTTTTGAGCTGATCGCTTGGCAGCGGCAGCAGCGGCACCCGCAGTGGAGTAAGAGACAACCTGCTTGTCCGTCAAGTTCAGGACGGCAGTGGAGGGCACAGTCGATCCACGGAACGGAGAGCATCGGTCGCTGAGAGATGTGCCACTCATGAAGGTTGCATCAAAGACTACGTCCAACAAAACATTGCGCGCGGTCCTGGTCTTGCCGATGATGGTACCAGACGATCCGATAGGGACTCGTCCCGAGTCTTGAACGTAGATGACTCGATCACCGATCGCGAACTCTTGATGGCCAAGACGCTGCTCGGCATCAGAAGGCTTCAATATGGCGTTGCGCGGCACCTTGCCGATCTTCTTCATCTCCACGTCCTGCAGCAGCGCGAGATTGGCATCGGCAGCCTGCTCGATGATCTTGACGGTATCAGAGTCAAGCTGCTCCGCATCAAGCGGCACCTTCTCGAAGCTCTTGGTCTGTACCTCCTTGAGCCAAGCTCCAATCTGCTTGACCTTTTGCTTTGCTAGTTCAGGAGGATAGAAATCGGTATCCTCCCATCCGTCTCCTGTTGGGTTGTTGATGATTCCGGCGAAGAATTCAGGGAACTTGATCATATACGAAGCGAGCAATTCGACGGCCTTCTGGCTATACTCCCAGCCATTGGCTGATTTGCGCGAGTAGCCCAAGACCTTCAGCTTCTTAGCCTCGAACTTCAGGTTCAGTCCCAGGTTCAACTTAAGACCACTGGAGTTGACGTTGAATGAGGATGTCAGCTTCGATAGAGCGAGGGGCGGCATATTCAACTGCCGGGCGACGACATAGGATGGCAGGTATGGTGTCGTCTTCTCAGCTTGCATAACGATTTGGCGTCCGAAGTCCGGTTCCGGCTTCTTGAGCCTGGAGACCATGATCGTGGCCTTGTGGTCCGCGTGGCCAATGATCTGCAGAGGGCGACCGTAGGCGTAGTCGCCGAGGTAGAAAGCGCGAGAGCCCTCAGGAAACTCTTCCTCGATCGGTAAGGCGGCCTTTTCCATGAAGCGTTGATCAGGGCTGATGACCTCTTCGACAATGGTCTGAATGGCATACTCGGCTTGCAAACCAGGTACAGGACCGTACTCCTTGATAGTTGCACCTTCATCGGTCTTTTTGAGACCTCTGAGCATTTCTACGTGCACAAGAGACTCAACCTCCCCAGTAATGATACCTAGACGTTTGCTGTAGGTATCTTGGATTCGATTCGCCATCTTCTTCCAGTTGGAGATCTCCGTGGGTCCATGCTCGATCGCAAGGGGAGCTGAAACGCCATCCTCGGACAGCACGTAGTCAAAGAGCTCGTCGGAGACCTTGACTACCTTAGCCTCGTGCAAGAAAGGATATCCTACGTGGACTGCCTTTCCAAGCATCTTCTGTGCATATGTGACCGAAGTCCTCGGCTCGGTTTCTACAAGTGTGACAACCATGCTCTCGTTACGGCTGTCCTGAGAGAAGACGTTGACACCTGCAAACTCGAGCGCACCATGGAACGGCAGAACCTTGAGACTGGGGAAACCCGCCAAAGCCGACGCTCCCAGCTTGGCGCCGTCCATCAAGCCAATGTAGTACTCAAGTCCATCCATCGTGGGGAGATCGAAAATGTTCTCGATACACTTGCAGTTTGGCAGATCCGGGAAGATTCCAGGGAGGGAAGATGGGTAGACGAAATCCACATCCTTGGAGTAGGTGAACTTTAACGAAACGCCGTAAGAGTTGCGAGCCTTCTCATCCTCCGTAAGTAGATGCTCCTTCGTCGCCATCGCCTTGAGGAGCCTGTCCTCTTCGATGAACGGAATCTTGACAACAGCTTCCCAGTCTTGCTTCTTCCCATTCATGTCGAGATTGAAATCGCGTGGGTAGAAGTCGATGATGGGAGAGTCGGTATTCGTCATGAGGGGATGGTAGGCCTCCGGAACGATAGATTTACTGCGGTCGGGCAATACACCCATCAATTGCTGGTAGGGCTTGAAAGGCTGACCAAGCTTGAAATTGATATCGGCCTTCAGACCTCGCTTAACATCGGAGATCATAGGCGAGTAGTGGTAACCGTAAAACCACGGCCAGGATGCCACTCCGCGGTAGTAGTAGTAGAGAACCCATTGCAATCCCTGCACGTAGTTCTCAGTCAACTTGCGGAGCTCTTCCTCGTTGCTTCGATCCCAGTCAAACTTGCTCTTGTAGTAGTCGTTCTTCCACGCATCGAACTTCTCGTCATACTTCGCCTGCATGGCCGACTGGGCCTCTTCAGGGGAGATGTCGACAATCTTGGCTTGATCGTACTTCTGCACAACTCGCACGATCGCCTTCGTGGACTCAGCGTTCGCCTCGTCATCCTCGTCATCTTCGTCGCTCTCGACCAATTTCGGTGGTGCCGAGATCTGTAGGTGGCGGTTGCCGTCGTCGTCTGAAACTGTCTTCCACGGCAAGTGGAGCTTGTCCGCAAGCTCTTCAACGAACTTCCGGTCCTCGGCTCTCAAATCGACAGGAAGGTCAAGAGGAGGTTGCTCAACCTTCTGCAGATGATTGCCAACCCAGCTCTTCACCTTCGTGAACAGCTCCTTCTGCTGGATGGACATCACAACCGTGCCTCGTCGCGCCGTCTTCTCCATTATGTCCTCGCGCTCAAGGCGCTTACCCTTGAACCAGCCTGCGTCCGCATTCTCGGACTCGAAATGGCGGTTCTCGATGTTGGAAAGCTCGTCGAGCAGGAGCGCCAATCGCTCCATATTGATCACACCCTCTTCGTTGATGTAGCCCTTGGCCTTTGGTAGGACCGTCTTGTAAACGTTGAACATGAGAGCCAACGCGCCCTCGTTGATATGCAAATGCGGAAGATTAGGAAGGAAATCGTTACCAACAAAGAAAGCCATAAGGATGAAATCGTCAATGACACGCTCCATGTCGAAGGGGAAGCCGAGAGCGCCAGGCTCTTCTAGTTCTTGGAACTCCAGTTCCAGGTACTCTCGCACAATGCAGAGATGCATCAGGTAGAAGTTCTGATGCTCCAACTCCTTGGACTTGGTCTTGCTTTGACGACCAAACGTCACCTCCTCTCGTAAGAGACAGAAATGAGGGTCGTGACTCAGCAGACCCAACATGATAAGATCAGCGTCGAGACCGTACAGGCAGTGACGACGGTTGGGGTCGTACTCCGGCTGGGCTTTCGCCTGACGAATGTACTCCATGATCTTGTGTTCGCCTTCTCCGGGGACTTCGTGGCCAGACAGGACGACTTCCACACCCTGCCAGTCCAGATCCTCGGAGACCTTCTTGTTGATGAAGTACTTCAACTGCTGGGTGAGCTTCGCCATGAACTCGGTACCGGGGGTAATGCAGTTGCTGTCGAAAGGCGCCTCTTTGGGCATCTCGACACCCTCCTTGATAGCCTTCTCTCGAGCCTTTTCAGCATCGAGAGCGGTTCGGAAGCGGCGAGCGCGCTGCTGGTTCATCTTAGCGCGCGGGGCGACACCATCGATGGCCATGAAGAACAGCTGCTTGGGCTTGATCTTGCCAAACAAATGCTCGATGTAGTTGAAGATGGCGATGAACATTTTGTCTTCAGTCATGCGGGCCGTCGGGCCGTCGGAGTCATTGTGCGTGCAGTTGTGGATGATGCCGTTCATGTCAAGCTGCGTGTTGTGTCAGAGTCACGGCTACAAGGCCAAGTACTTGGGGGCGCGTACGTAGAGACAGTCAAACTCGGGGATGCGATTCTCCGCAATAAGCTGAGAGATGCCCGGGTATCGCTCGGACATCCATCTGAAGAACTTGGGAACACCCATGATTACCGCTGCTTTCTAGCGATGGTGCAGCAATACCTGGAGGCGAGTGGCGCGGGCGCTGAGTGTGCGTCGCGGAAGCGAGCGGTGGATTTGGTGGGCGGTGAAAGAAGAGAGCGCAAGCAGCACCGTGGGCGCAAAGGCAAACAATGGGGGAGGGGGGAGGGGGGAGGGGGGGGAGAGGGGGGATGGTTCTGGACGCTGGGGTCTTCAAAGAGCACGAGGGAGCATCGCAGGCGGCTTGATATGATGCTCCAGCGCCAAGACACGACACACCAGGTGGCGGAGCGGCAATCGATGACCCCTGTCCCGCAGCGCGCAGGCAGGGCGGTCAGACTAGCGCCAACACGACGACGCGATTGCACGCGTTTCTGGCGCCACAGCGTCTTCGAGCTCGCATTTCGGAACCATTGAACATCCCCGTCCTGTAGACGCATTACCCGCGATGGACGAGACAATGAGCGAAGAGCACGGCTCGCGGAGCAACGAGGACCAGCAGGAGGAGGCCGAGCACAAGATCATCAACGAGGAGTACAAGATCTGGAAAAAGAACTCGGTCTTCCTCTATGACATGCTCTACGGGCGCGCGCTCGAGTGGCCTACGCTCACTACGCAGTGGCTGCCGGACAAGAAGCCGTAGGTGACTTTGGCCAACACCACGAGAGAGGAAATGTTGACAAGCGGCAGCGTCGAGGGCACTAACATGAACCAGCACCGCGTCATCCTGGGCACCCACACATCGAGCCAGGCGCAGAACTACCTCCAGATCGCCCACTGCGAGATCCCGGACTTTCGCACCCCCGAGCTGTCCGAGCTCAACGAGGAGCGCGATGAGGTTGGCGGGCACGGCCATGCCAAACGGCCGTTCGACTTCAAGATCGTGCAAAAGATTAACCACCCCGGCGAGGTCAACAAGGCGCGCTACCAGCCTCAGAACCCAGACATCATCGCCACACTGTGCACAGACGGCAGGGCGCTGATCTTCGATCGGACAAAACACCCCCTGCAGCCGAAGGGCGATGCTGTCCAGTTCGAAGCAGAGTGCGTGGGCCACGAGAAAGAGGGCTTTGCGCTGAGCTGGAGCCCCTTCCACGAAGGCCACCTCGCCACCGGTGGAGAAGACACGACGGTCAAGACATGGGACATCAAGAGTGGTTTCTCCAAGTCCAACAAGACCATCAGCCCCACCGCCTCGTACACGATCCACAGCGCAACAGTCAACGACGTGCAATACCACCCTATCCACAACTTCCTCATCGGCTCCGCATCAGACGACCTCACCTGGCAGGTCATCGACACTCGCATGGAGTCACACAAGACTGCGCTTTGGAGGAAGGTCGCACACAGCGATGCTGTCAACAGCATTGCCTTCCACCCTGAGTTTGACTCGTTGTTGGCGACTGGTTCCGCAGACAAGACTATCGGCATCTGGGATCTCCGCAACTTTGAGAAGCCTCTGCACAGCCTGCAAGGCCATCGCAGCGATGTCATCGGCTTGCAGTGGCACCCACAGGACGCTGCTATCCTCGCAAGTTCCAGCTACGATCGCCGTATCTTGTTGTGGGATACAAGCAAGATTGGCGACGAGCAGATGGAGGAGGAGGCTGAGGATGGCCCGCCTGAATTGTAAGCTTCACCCTCTGGAAAACGCGCGAATCGCTGTACTGACACTGCCAGGCTCTACATGCACGGTGGCTTCACAAACAGAATCTGCGACTTCGACTGGAACAAGAACGATCCCTGGGTCATGATGGGCGCGGCAGAAGACAACCAGCTGCAGATTTTCCGTCCTGCCCGCAAGCTCGTCGAGCCAGTCCAGCAGACTGTCCGCCATGGAGAGGTTTCGGACTAGACTCGAGCTGGGTCAGACTTCCTGTGGCTGACGGACAATGGTAGACAGAAGAGAGCATCGCGAACTTGACCGAAGCGGTAGCGGCATCATCTCCAGAGGCATCGCAAGTTATCGAGCAACCAAGACGTCGTCCACGTATGTCCGCGAGAGGGCTAGCAGCTCCACCTTTGCATGCACCGCAGATTGTCAAGGGAGGAAGAGGTCGCCCCACGTAAAGCCCCGTGACCAGGAGATTAGGTGATTGCAGCATCGAACACATGAAGGCGTTTGGCGCACAAAACGGATATCCCAGAGCAGCGTCAGCTCTTCCCAAACGCATTTCAAATCCAATTACTTCATTGTATTCCATTGCATCGATGGATGTCGATATTTACGTGATGCTCGCAACCCTATCGTGGATCGTGCACGCGTCTAACCTCGGAGGCCTTCACGAGTCCGAGCTCAAGCTTGAGCTCCCCGCGTTCGTCACCTCTCGCGCGGCATTCGCGACCCCACCTCCACAAACAGCTCACAAACGCGGTTGCCACAACGGGCACCTCCTCGCCTCTCTGTTCCGGCGATTCGACACTCCGGACTACTCCATCGCCGAACACTCCATCGCCGAACCCGCCACGATGCTCCTCCTCGGCCTCACCGGCTCCATCGCAACCGGCAAGTCCACCGTCTCCTCCCTGCTACGACAAGCACCCTACTCGCTCCCCATCATCGACGCCGACCTCATTGCGCGCCAGGTCGTCGAGCCCGGGACCGCCGGCTACAATGCTATCGTCAAATACTTCCTGCCCAGCACGCCAGACCTTCTCCTCCCCGAGTCGCAAGCCACACCAAAAGGCCGCCCGCTCAACCGCCCCGCGCTGGGGCGTCGCGTCTTCGGCTCTGGCGAGCAGCGGGAGCGAGACAGGAAGGTGCTAAATGGCATCGTGCACCCCGCGGTCAGGAAGGAAATGTACAAGCAGATGATCTGGGCGTACTTGCGCGGGAACTGGGCCGTCGTGCTCGACGTTCCCCTGCTCTTTGAAAGCGGATGGGAGCGGTACTGCGGCAGCATCATCGTCGTCGGTGTCTCAGACCCCGCGATCCAGATCCAGCGCCTGCGCGCCCGGGACGCCCATCTCACGGAGGAAGATGCGCGGAATCGCGTCATGAGCCAGGGCGACATTAGGGAGAAGGCGGAGCGGTGCTTGAGACGCGGGGAAGGGAGGGGCGTCGTAGTGTGGAACGATGGGGATAGAGGGCATTTGGAGAGAGAAGTCAGGCGGGTTATGGATGATGTGAGAGGGAGGAGTCCGTGGTGGTGGGGCAAGTTGCTTTGGGTGCTTCCGCCGCTGGGGCTGGTGAGTGGGCTGTGGAGCTGGTGGAATATGAGGATGATGCAGTTGAGTTGGGAGGAGGCGAAGAAGAAGGAGAAGGCGAAGTTGTAGACGTCTGCTGCGGAGGGGTGTGCCTGGAAGTGGAATTGTGTTTGTTTGTGCGAGTATGATGAGTATGATATCCCTGACAATCAACTGCCCAGACGCTGTATCACGGTAAACAGGTGTTGCATATTGTTGTTTCTGCAGCGCGTTTGTTCGTCTTGAGCTTGCGTAGTACGGGCTCAGTGTTCACCTTCACTTACTCCGCCTCGGTCCACATTCCCTTGTATCCCTCGTCACGCTGCTCCTCTCTGCTTTTTGCCATCCTCCCACTTTCCAACACCCTTCTTCTATCCAACACCCTGCTCGATCCGCACAATGAGCGACATAACGCCACTCTCCTACATAGACGACGGCCACTCCTTCTCGCGCCGCCTCCCCTCCGCCACCTCCCTCGCCAACGTCTCCCGCTGGCTCAACAACACAGCTTCCCCCACAACATCAGCCTACACAGGCAGCTACATCGACGACGGCGCCGACCTTTTCCTACCCACTACATGTGGCTTCGGTCAAGTGGACCCTCGGTTCTACAGGCACAAAAAGCGGCACGAAGGTGCAGCTTCAGGGGCCTGGAACGACGACATTGCCCGCGCAGTCGGCGGTGACATCTCGCACAGTCTAGCAAAATTGAGGGGTGTCGCTAATCTGGACGTGAAGCGTCCCAAGACCAGTTCGAAAGAAGACAAGAAGAGGAGGCAGAAGAGGAAGGGGGTTGTGAGTGTGCCTGCGCCGCTGAAGTGGGGGACGTTTGTTATCAAGGGCGATAATGGGCGGGTGGTTGTTATTGATGAGAAGGGCGAGTTTGATTCTGGTCCTGTGCGGGCTGGGCAAGAGGTGGGAGATGGGGGGAGGAAGGGAGAGGGGAAGAGGTGGGTGAGGGCTGTGAGTAGTGTTGATACGCCGGTCTCTACGCTCCAATGTGCTCGCCAGAAAGATAGGACGAGATCTGGCAAAGACGAGAAATCAACCTCCGCATCACACTCGAAATCGAAGTCGAAATCGAAATCGAAATCGAGGGCGAACTCACACACCACTTCCCGGGGCAAGGAAACACGCAGACCGAAACCACTCACACCCATCCCCGAATCTGTATCCTCTTACTCAGACGACGATCCCGTCAATATCTCCCCCATCGCCTCACCGACAGACTTCTTCATGACCGGCGGCCTAAGCGGATGGCCGTCACGCACACCGTCTCTAGATCCTCCATCAGCTATCGTTCCGCACGCGATTACGTGGGACACGACTTCTCCGCCTCGTTCAACATCTGTGGGCACTAGGATGAAGACATCGAGCCCAGTACGTTCACCACCCGGTGGATGGCCTTCGCCACCTGCGTCAGCTGCAAAGTCCAGCAGCAGCAGCTTCACGAACCTCAAAGACCATGGATCAAGGGAGAGGAGGTCCAAGAGTAGCAGACACTCGTCTGGGCACAGGAAAGAGGGGGAAGAGTTTGACAAGATATCCGCCAAATCGTTCTCGGCTTATAGCACACCCGACATCGTGGAGGTAATCTACGACGAGACGCCGCCAGGCGAAGTGTCTGCTTCACAGATTGGCTCGGGAGCTGAGGAAGCAGCAAGTGCACGGGATTGGAACAACGAGGATGTATTCCAGGCAAAAGCCTGGAGTGGCAGTCACAACGATGGCACCGGCAAGAGCTTCAGAGTCAGCGATCTAGGATGGGGAGGCTCCGCGAAAGGTTCGGGATGGGGCGGGAGTCGAGCTGGCAGCAAGACTGGGAGCTTTCACGGATGGGACGACAACGAGAAGCACTCTCACGACGGCTCCCACGAAGCCTGGGACGGCTTCGAGCGACCAAAAACTACGAGCGAAGTCAGCATCGCAGGAACGGGAAGTGAGCGTAGCTGGCCGGCAAGCCAACACAGCCAACACACTCGTGGAAGCCACCGCAGTCGACGCAGCCACGCCTCCTACCAATCAAACAAAAGGAACAGGCACAGCCAAACTGGCTGGGACAACAAAGCCGCCAGGACCGTTCACTGGGGCGGCAGCGACGCGCAAAGCAAACACAGCTGGTCACAGTCCAAGCACGGCAGCGAGAAGAGCTGGGCAGGAAGCAGTCCTACCAAGTACCAAAACGGGTTCGACGAAGACAACAAGACGTATCTGAACGAGACTTGGGGCGGGATTCCCGTGCGTGTGGCGTCGCGGCGGACGAGTGTTGCGGGGTGGGACTGAAGGACGATGATGATCTGGGGTCGAACAAAGAAAGACGAGGGAACGGTCCGTTATGGAGAAAATACGGTCATCTACCCGCGCGTGCAGCCGTGAGCTGGTGATTGGCAGCAGTCAGTAACATGACGACGTGATGGATCGGAATCGTATGTGAGCCGATAGATGTGAAGTGGTGGTGAGCCAAACGCGTGCATGGGGCGTCGACGCGAACCACAGAGGGGAGCGCACGCATCTCGCGTTGAGACTGCAACACCCCCAGCCGCACTCACCGACTGAATACAAACTAGATGAGGCGATCACCTGTAGCCCCACTCCTCCAGACTCTGTCCAACCGCTCATCTGCACCATCAGATGTAGCAGCTGCACGATCCGGGGTTCACGTCCACGCTGAACGCGAAGTTTCGCATCACTCGCGCGTTCGCGACCAGCATACACCGCATGAGACCCAAGCCAGCCTTGCAGGCACCGGTGCTCTACCGAAACCTGGCACGGATGCCTCCTAGCCAGTCAGCGAGGCCCGCATAAAGAGTGGCGTGCTACAAATCAAGGTTTCGGGAACGGATCCCTGCGCTGGTGCTGAATCTGCGTGTCGGTGGAGCACTTCAGGGACGCGCCTTAGGGCGGACAGGTGTCGCGCTACTCAGAAGGGGAACGCGTCGCCAGGCATTGATTAGAAGCGTGTTCCCGCTCGAGGGAAGATGATTCCTGACTGATTCGGATTCCTGTCGTTCACTTTCTTCGTTGTTGCTGCCTCTTTGTTGTGAAGAGATTGACGAGTTGAAGATCTGCTGTTGCTGTTGTTGTTGCTTGGACGACCGTTGGATCTTGTAGCCGCCAAATCGCGAGACACGTCTGGACCCCCGCTTGTCGTGCATCGTCAGCACGCCCAACTACTTCGACCACCACGGCGTGCGCTTTCGACTTCAATCGCAAATATCGTACTCAAAGGCCTATTCCTTCGACATCACTACCCTTGCTCGCTGTTGATCAGTCGAAATGGCTACTTTCACGCGCCAGCCGTTTGGCGAAATCAGCACGCCTCGCCTGCAGGCACTCGGCAGCTCCAAGAACAGGCAGAACGGTAAGATGAGTCGATAGTCGAGCAGAGACTGTTACTGAACGCGTTGTCCAGCCTTGTCACCCAGCACTCCCAGCTTTGCATGCCCGCTGAAGCCCAGCGCGACATGGTCAATCGGCAAGCGCCAACGCCAGCCTGAGATCTTCGACGAGGAGGACTGCGAGAACACCGACCCGGCTGTCTTCAGCTCACCTACCAAGAAGTCTCGCACCAGCAGTGACGGGTTCGTGAAGCCTGCCCGGTTCTCCATGGTCGCCTCGCCTGCCAGGTCCAGTGTCTCCCTCACCGCCTCTCCAGCCACCTCCATGCCATCCATCCGCAAGTCCCTCTCTTCCCCAAACACAGCCAAGTCGACACCCATCAGCCACAGCCGCGGCTCGCCAAAGAACAAGCGTCTGCATGCTGTCTCCAAGCGCCGCGCATCCAGCTCGCCCTTCCGCCGCGTCGACCCGCCTTCCTTCTCGCAAGGCGCGCTTCCATTCTCCATCGATGCAGCACTCAGCGGCACCATCTCCAACTACACACCCAAGTCCACCGTCACCGCCAGACTAACTCCCGCACCCCAGCGAGCCTCAGCGCTCGAGGAGACTATGCCCAAGAGCTGGTTCTTCGAGATCCACGAAGACACACCTGAGCAAGAAGCCGCCAACCTGATGGAGCACTCTGCTTCCGTACTCGACATCAGCTCTGACGACGACGCTGAGACAAAAGCGAAGAATGAGGAGCTGTCCAAGGGCAAGGAGAACATCCCACCACCTGACTTCGCACTCGTGCAGCCAAGGACAACGTCAGCAAATGCTGTCGATGATGGTGAAGAGACTGAGATCGAAGAGCCCGTCAAGCGCCCACGTCTGCGGAAGATCATCCAAGATGCCATGGACGAAGACCGCAGGCCGCTGGGTGACCTTTCCCCGACTGAATTCTACGGCGAAGGGTGCGATGCCAGCTCGTACGTCACTGTCGACGCTGGGATTGAGAGGCCGTCAAGGCTGTCGAAGGAGGTCGACATGGAGCCGACGTCTGAGAACGTGGATCCAGTGAAGAAGGCAGTCGTCGAGTCTGCACCTGCTGTCGAGGAGACAGTGGCCGCTGCCGTGCACGTGGAGGAGGTCACGGGCGAAGCGGCTATCACATCATCGGAAAAGGAAGCCTCAACAGCTCTCGAGACAACATCACAAGCCGACGAGGCAACAAGTGAACCGCAATGAGAGTTTGTCGGTTTGCTGCATACCTATATACTTGATTCTCGTCACGACGCGATGCTGTTATGATGTTGGCGTTTGGGTAATCAGGCTTGGGCTGTCTACAATGACTGGCGTTTGGTTCATACATACATAGATACCTTTGCTTCTATAGCTGTTGTTGCGCACTGTAGCCTCTTGCTTCAATGCATTATCCTTGCAGTTCTTAATAATTCATCTACAACCTCCTTCTGTCTGCAGTCCCCTTTATTGTTGTTCCGTATTGTCATGCACGTGCTCATTTCCCAGGCTAGCAGGTAGCGCTGCCAGCCTGGTAGCTATGCTACACCTGCAACTTCCCCTCATTGTGCTGGCTAGATTCTACTCGTCAGATGAGGGTGTTGGTTGTACAACGTCTTCCAAGCCCTGCGTTGCCTTTAAGGTCACCCAACAAACGCTTGTCCATGATGCTGCCAAGGCTACACCATTACAGGACCGCAATCACCCCACCTGGACAACTGCACCCATCCTCCTCCTCCTCAGTGACTCTCTCTTACCTTTGGGCTTCAATGCAGACCTGAAAGGCTTCACAGCATTGCGAGAGACTGCGGCTGCTACCAAACTCTACGACCAGTAATCTGAGCATGACCACAGAGCGTCTATTGACCGGCACCTCGCCAATGCAGTTTCTCTGTCTAGGCATCATCGGTGTACGACTTCGCTCCCACCGTACAAAAACAATAATACTAACATACGCTTCAGTACCTGACATACGGTATCTTCCGCGCTCTGTACAACATCTACTTCCATCCACTGTCAAGCTTCCCTGGACCGAAGCTACGCGCTGGATTCTACTTTCCATTCTATTATGATCGACTCACAGGCGATTACATAAACGATTGGCATGAGCTTCATGAGAAGTATGGAGAGGTTGTTCGCATAGCACCTCATATACTATCTACCATCTCCCCCGACGCCTGGCGAGGTATGTAGCCTACTAGGATGCAGGTACTCTGTGCTGGCCAACGTAACAGATATCTATGGACAGGGCAAAGAGCTCCAGAAAGACTGGACATTCTATCATCGCGACCCGGTCGAGAGAGAGAACAGCATGCTAGGTAAAACCTGATCCTTGCATAGTTTCGAAGCGAGTACTCATCAGCCTCAGTGGCCCCCGACAAAGACCACACCCGTATGCGTCGCTCGATAAACCACGCTTTCTCTGAGCAGGCCTTACGTAGCCAAGAAAACATCATCACCGGATACATTACTTTCATGATCTCGAAGCTGCATGCTCGAGCGCAAACACAGACTCCTATCGATGTGACACGTTGGATGAACGCCACAACGTTCGATATCACAGGGGACTTAGCGTTTGGCGAGCCGTTCGGCGCTCTGGAGGCCGACGCGTGTCACTCCTGGATCGAGAATACCTTTGCCGGATTGAAATGGGTTCGGCTCATGGCACCGCTTCGAGCATATCCTATCTTTGGAGTGCCGATATTTGCTTTATTGAGGAGGTGGCCAGCTTTGGAACAGGCGAGGAAGAGGCAGTTTGGGTACCTGGATGAGAAGCTGGAGAGGAGGTTGAGGTCGAAGACTGACCGGAACGACTTCCTCAGGTAATTGCAAGTCCGAGATGAGATGCACTTGCTAACTATGATGCATCCACATACTCAAGCACCAAGAAGACAAAGGCATGACGCCCGGAGAGCTTAGACTAACAAGCGGTCTCCTGATCATAGCAGGCAGCGAAACCTCAGCAACCTGCCTAAGCGGAGCAGTCTACTACCTTCTCAAGAACCCTACTTGGATAACATGCCTGCTCAGCGAGCTTCGATCCGCTTTCAAAAACGAGTCCGAGATGTCTTTCCAATCACTCAGTCACCTCAAAGTCCTCCAAGCCGTCATACAGGAATCCCTTCGTATGTACCCACCCTTGCCAGTCGACATGCCACGCATGACACCCCCCGAGGGCGCTACCGTCTGTGGAGCATACATCCCGCCGCATACAAGTATCAGTATCCCCCATTACCCGGCCTACCATTCACACCTCAACTTCAAGGACCCCGACACTTTTGCCCCAGAGCGCTGGCTCGGCGATGAAAAGTATGCCGATGACAGGCGCTCGGTGCTGCAGCCGTTCTCGATGGGGTCGAGGAACTGCATTGGACAGAATCTTGCGTGGGCGGAGATGAGGAGTATACTTGCCCGATTGGTGTGGAGTTTTGAGATGGAGCTGTTGCCTGAGAGCGAGGGGTGGGATCAGGGGCAGAAGATCTATCTGCTTTGGTTTAAGCCAGCGCTTATGGTCAGGTTGAGGGCGAGGGAGGTGGAATGAAGGGAAGAAATGGAATGGATGCATCGAGGTGTTTGAGTCAGTTCTAGATTCTCTAGGTACTTCGGGCGGTTATGCCAGGAAGACAGTAGGTGGGGTTGACAAAGCAGTGAGGACGTAAAGTATGCTACAAAGATTTAAAGAATAATGCAGAAGGGTTGTTTGGCTACTTTCGCATACGTTGAGTAATATCCTCTCGTTTCTTTAGTTATGCTGAGAGTATCCAGTTTCCTGATCCCGAAAGTGTCACGGTGTGTTTTTATGCAGTCGTCAAGAGCAGAGAGCTGGCATGTGAGATGAGAATATCGTACTTCCTAAGTGTAGCGAGATCCGTTCTCGCTATTTGTTCTTGAGTCGAGCAGTGTAGGTGTGAGGCTTTCGGAGCGAGCGCGCAGACCTGTGAATAATGGTGGTGAAAGTATCGCTCATTGCCAATTTCTGGCTAACAAGGTTGCGATTGGGCGAGGAATGCGGCGAGGGTGAAGTAATGATGTAGCAGAGCTTCAGGTGTGATTCCATGCCGCATGAGCTTAGAGATCATTAGGATAACAGCGCGGTCCAGTGACGTACGAAAAGCCGCACTTGCTTGCTTTGTTTCGAGGCGAAGGAGTTGCGGATCTGGGATGGCTAAGCCTCAGTCTTGAGGGCAATGGACTGCCTTGGAGCGCTCGGAGTTCGAACATAAGAATCAAGTACAACTGGCATTGCATTGTGATTGTCGGCTAGCTTTCGCTCTGCTCAGAAGAGTATGGGCCGTACGGAGAATGCCCATGATGCTTCTCATACGCTCTGTCGTGGCTCTTAACCGCCTGCCAGTTTAGCGCAACCCATCCAAGAACATCATTCTTATTGCTTTGCACCACGTGCTCTGACCACCTGAAGTATTCTGTATGCGGAATTGGACGATCGCCAATCACTGGTCGACAGTTGCTGAACCTGACCCAGCGCTTCAGAGGTTTGACTGCAGACGAGAGGGCCTTATCCTTCGCGGGTATGATGGCCTTCACTTCCAGCCAGAGTTCTTTTTCTGCTTCTTCCGCGTTGTGTGTGGCCATCATGTCGTCATATTTCTTTTGTACGTCGAACGTCTTGGTGGCCGCGCGAAGGACTTCTTGTCGTGTCCAACGGTTGCCAGCGATTCTGGTGGTCTTCGGCATATAGTCCTCCACAAAGTGACGATACATGTGCCTCTTAAGCAGTCTCGACCGATCGGCCGACTTCTCGACCCGATGCTCCAATGTTTCAGATGAGAAGAACCGTCCCGCAGCCACCCAGTCGAATAGATCAGTCTCACTCTTGAAGCCCTCCTTGTACTTCTCGACGTCAAAGCCGTAGAACTGCATCGCCTGGTCTGGGTCTCGCGTTAGGAAGAGAAGAGCCTTCTTCTTATCGTATGGCTCTATCTGCTCCACCCGCACATGAAGGCCTCGGTTGTTGCAGGTCAGACCCAATGGCCGATGTGCGATACCAATGATCTGCAGGAGGTCGGCGTCGCCTTTCATGAACTTCATCCATTCGAAGAGATCGGCCGCACCGATAATACCGTTCCCAGGAGATAGCTCGATATCGATTTGCACGTATGCATTCAGTATGTCTGGATGAGGGACAGCGTAGGATCGAGATTCGCCTCGCTTCTCCACAAATTCAGCTGCAAGGCCGCCTTCAACCAACTTCCAAATATCTTCGTCCGGGACTTGATGAAGTTTGCCTTCTACTAAGAAGTCAATGTCGCCGTGATCTATTTTGTTGGGGGCCTCTCGAGGAACAACAACGTTTCTGAATATAGTCTCGAGTGTTGGCTGGCACTGCGCAATCATCCTTCGGTATAGTTCTGGTGACATGCGAGGCGTTAGAAGCTTCGAATGCTCGAAAACCTTGCCACCCATTGCTGCTACTTCTGGAGGTGTTCAATAATAAATGTATGAATGCTTGCTGTGTATTTAAGCGAAACGATACGTTGGTCAATACGATTGGTTTGTGGAAGTCCGAGGTAGTTGAGGGGGAAAGACTTCGAAGGTGTTAGTGCTGTCTGCCTGCATCACAGGGTCAGAGAGTCGTTGTCGCAATATGACACATCATGAGGGAACAACGGTCGAATCAAGCCTATTTAGCGTCCTGAGAAGCCCAGTACCGTTTGTTTGATGCGCAAGCAGCGCATGATTGCGATCGAGCAACTGGCTTCGTTGTTGTAACCCGTCGAGACGCTAGGCCAGCAATCACCCGCTCACCATGAACGAGCGGTTCACCACCATGCTCTGGGACATGACTCTACTGGGATCTCACGAGCAAGTCTGCTACTCGAGAAGGACAGGACCTCAGGAGATGAAAGCTGCAAGATACATGAGCTGGACCGACCTGGAGTAGTATCCTGACTGTGCGCTTCGACACGCGCTTTCTATCGTGCGGCTCTGACTGAGCGCAATATCATACACGCGAATCCCTGATCACAAGACTGAGCAGCTGCAACTTCCAGGATTGAGCGTCGTTGAGGAGGATGCATGATATTGATAGCGAGCGGGAGCGACATGGGACCCTTATCGATACCGGGTACCCACATCTCATTGGCCCAAACTGACGTAGGACAGACCCTGGTCAAAATTTTGGGTTGGAGAAGCTTTCGAGCTTCTCAACAGCAGACTCTCCGCTTACACACTACTTGCTTATCAGCATCCCTACATATACATAATGTGAGTCGCATACATCTAGCGACTACGCACCATACTGAACCATGCCTTTCCTAGAGACTACAATTGTACACCGCCCTCACAAGATGGCCCACGATCACGCCGAACACGAGCAGACTCCGGAGCAGCTCCAGGTTCAATTCGAGCAGCTCAGCTTGCTTGAGTCGGAATTTGAGGATGCCGAGTCTGAAGTTAGTAAGTAGCGGCATGAAACCCACATTCTTAGCAGGCATTGATCATTTCCAGTCCGCAAGGCCGAAGCTATCAAGGCTCCTCTCTACAAGAAGCGCACCGACTTTGTCGCCAAGGTCCCTCACTTCTGGTCGCTAGTCTTCGAGCAATGCCCACAAGAGGTCGAGAATTTCATCCAACCTACCGACTCCGAAGTCTTTGCAGAGTGCTTTGAGACATTCGAGGTCTCTCGCTTCGAAGTCGACGATCCCAAGGGCTCGCCGCGCAGCTTCTCGCTCAAATTCGGATTCTCAGAGAACGAGTGGTTCGAGGACAAGACATTAGAGAAGAAGTTCTGGTACCGTCACACCAAGGACTGGGATGGTCTCGTCTCGGAGCCAGTTAAGATCCACTGGAAGAAGGGCAAAGACCTGACCAGCGGTCTGACAGACGCGGCGGTCAAGCTCCATGAGGCAAGGCAGAAGACCACAGATAGGAAGAAGGAGGTGTCTCTGCCAGAGTACAAGGAGCTTGCCAAGAAGATTGAGACTGCCGAAGATGCCTCAGTAAGCTTCTTTGGTCTCTTCGCCTTCGTCTCGGGCTACCGATGGGTCAGCGCTGAGGAGTCCGAGACGGCCGTCAAGCATGACAAGGAGCAGCTCGCCAAGATCAGGGCTGGTGAGAAGGTTGACGAGGAAGAGGAAGAAGACGACGAGGATCCTCAGGACTACCAGGAAACCGAGGTCTTCCCCGGAGGCGACGAGGTTGCAACCATCATTGCCGAGGACATGTGGCCCAATGCTCTCAGATACTACAGTGCGTACATCTGACTGAATTCGCAGAGCTATACTGACCAGTCGCAGAGCAGCACTTCGAAGAGGACGGTGGAGAGTTCGACGATGAGGAACTCTCGGATCTCGATGTTGACATGGACGAGGACGACGAGTCCGGCGAGGAAGTCGACATTCGCGCGTTAGTAGGTAAGGGCAAGAAGGGCGATGAACCGCCCGCTAAGAAGCAGCGCAAGGCTTAGAAGGGTCTTGCTTGCGAGACGATGAAGTCCGTTTCCACTGAGATGGTTGTGAGATAATAGGATCTGTGCAAGACGCATACCGCTGTCATATACCAATGCATAGAATCAAACTTCTCAACGGTCTCCTTAGTTCTACGGTGTATTGTGCTTGATGATGAGAGGCATGGGAGAGGCGCTATTGATTGATTGATTGGTTTAACGTCCTATGTGAGTCTGGAACTATAGAGGACGGGAGAAGCTACTGCTCCTTTGGTAATGCAAGGGTTTAGTTACAAGAGGTTGAGTTCTGTGAAAGCACAAGGGATGATGAGGGCTTTTGCCCTAAGCAGAGAAGCGCTATTCGTGCTGTGCGCGCCATCACGGTACCTAGATGTGGTCACAGAATAGCGCAGTCTGTACGCAAATGTCTCTCCAGCCTCCGCTCTTTGAGGTTACGAATAGGCTGCGATGAAATCTCGAACATGTGCATGCACCGCCCATGCGAGCCGCGCTGCCCGCTGCATCTCTATCCAGCACACAGCACGTGGGCGTGGAGCCGTTCGGTATGGTGAATTTTTCACCTTCATGACGCAAGCCCACTTCAATGCCGTCGCAAGCCATCAATCCTCATTCCTTGCTCACCCCCATGCCCTCTTACCCGACGCTTGAAAATTTTCAATTTCGAAGGGGTAATATCGCAGTTTTGAAGGGGTAATACCAAACAGTATCGCAGCACGTGCGGAGTTTTGAGGGGGTAATAGAGTGTAGTTTTGTAGGGGTAATAATATTGGGCCGATAGCGGGTGATTGGTTGGAATGCTCTGTGAGTGTTGTGTCAGGGCTGGGCCGGCCCGATCAGGAAGGCTTCACTTTGAGGCATGTTTTCTCCACAGACTAGATGCAAGCTGCAAGACAGGGTTAAATTTGCAGAGGGACTGCGTTGGCTCAAGATCAAGATCGTGCGACCCGGATAATCTGAGGTTGCTGTTACCCGGTGATTTTTTGTGCGGCTCGCTGCGGTACCGAGCAGTCGACCATAGTTCGGGGAATTTGGGGCAAGCGCGACGCTTCAACTTTGATATCGACCACAATTCTGTTATCAGGCATTCACCTTGCTGTACGCTCTGCCGCCGTTTCGACCAAAAGTATTCTCGACTTGCATTGGATTGAAGAGATAGTTCTGGATCGAAGATAAGGATTGTTTGAGCTATCGAGGCTCTGTTTAGCGAACGCCGAATATGGAGGACAACGAGTTCCTGGAGCTCCAGCTCCCAGAGTCACGAGTCTTGATCATTATCACAGGTAGGCAATATTTTCAGTGTTGCTATAGCTTGGTCAACGAGACGTTTCCAGCTTGCTGAGCGCATGGTCACCAGTCGCGAAGTATCTGTGGCTGTGGCCGGTGAAGCCTGGAAGACTTGAGCAACTGCTAACAACATACAGGCGGCACAATATGCATGCGGAAGTCTAAAGATGGCCTTGTTCCCGCCAAAGGCTTCTTGAAATCAGGCCTTGCACCGCGGCCGGTGTTCAACGATGGCTCTTATCCGGAACCCCTGGAGATTGTGACAGATGCAAAGGGCACACGCAAGGCTGTGCAAAGCTTACGCACACCCGTGAGCACATACGAGCGCCGTATCAGGTACTGTGTACTTGAGTTCGAGAAGTTATTGGACAGCAGCTCGATCAACGCACAGGACTGGGATCAGATCGCACGGACAGTGCATAGGAATTATCAGCTTTTCGATGGATTCGTTATCCTTCATGGAACCGACTCGCTGGCATATACAGCAAGTGCGTTGAGCTTCATGTTTCACAACCTGGGAAAGCCAGTCATCTTGACTGGTAGTCAGGCGCCCATGATGGAGTTGCAAACGGATGCCCAGGACAACCTGCTCAATTCGCTCATCATCGCCGGACACTTCATGATCCCGGAGGTCTGCCTGTTCTTCAATTTCAAGCTCTTCAGAGGCAACCGATCAAAGAAGGTTTCAGCCGAGAGCTTTGATGCATTTGGCAGCCCCAACATGGTACCGTTGGCTACTGTGTCCTCCACTAGGACGAATGTTCTTTGGCACAGAGTTCATCGATCAAGGGATATCAACCCCTTCAGCATACAGGAAAATCTGGACACAGCACATGTCGTCGTTCTCCGTGTCTTCCCAGGTATGACACCTGCTATGGTGGATGCGGTACTCCATCTGGAAGGCCTCAAGGGGCTTATCTTGGAGACTTTCGGAGCCGGCAATGCACCAGCGGGACCAGATGGTGCCATGATACGCGTTCTTGGAGATGCCGTAAAGAGGGGGGTTGTGATTGTCAATGTAACGCAGTGCCTGAGCGGCAACGTCAGCCCAACATATGCGCCAGCAACAATTTTGGGTCGGGCTGGGGTCGTCTTTGGACAGGACTTGACCACAGAAGCGGCTCTCACTAAGCTTGCTTATCTGCTGTCCATTCCTAATGCATCGCCCGGCGATGTTGCAAGGCGGATGATGGTCTCGATCCGTGGTGAGCTGACCGAGGCAACACGGACGCACTTCGAGCATCCCCAGAAAAGCGGCCTGATGACCCCAGAATTGACAAGTCTGACGGCTCTCGGGTACGCAATTCAGAAGGGTGACCTGCAAGAGACAAGGGATATCATTAGGAGCGAGCCTCGATGGCTTCTGAATGACGCAGACTATCAGGGCTGTACCCCAGTTGTAAGTAGAATCTCTCCAGTCAGCTTCCCATACCTATCTCCAGACCTCGTTCGACCTGTCCAGCTGGCGTGACGGTTGAGCGTTCCGCTGTACCTGAGACAGTGTCTCGCATACCGTTGTCGATATCGGAAGAGTCGAGTTGCAGCACAGATGGTAATCTCAGGCTTCCCAATAATATGGTCTTTATCTCTGATAGAGAAGTACTCCGTCGGCACAGGAAATCGGTGAGCCAAACAGCTCGCAGCAACTTGCCAGCTGGGCGGTAATACGGTGCAGTAGCTTATCTTTACCCATTCACATTCCGGATCTGGAGCAACATTGTTCCAGAATGACGTTGCCCCTGCTGACACTATTCGTAGCACCTCGCAGCGACATGCAATAACGTCGAAATCCTTCGCGACTTCCTTGCACAGGGAGCCTCGGTCCATCTTCGCAACCGATCAGGCAACACCCCGCTTTTCTTGGCTGCGGCAGCAGGGTTGAAAGATCACGTACAGACTCTGATTGATGCCGGCGCACATCTTCACTCAGAGGAGCTGAGTGCAGCAAAGCTGCATGCAGCAGAGGGCGACGGCAACGCTGAAGTCTGGAAGCTCGTCATTGGCTGAAGCCCGCGCACGCAGCATGCACGTTGCAGATGCTGGGAACGACGGGTAATTGTGGTTCCTTCTGGTCGCGCCAGGAACTCGTTTTGGACACTGTGATTGACGCATGGCGTCCCAAGATGTCGCCATGTTTGGCGCATCAGTCCCCAGGGTCTGGTGACGCACTACTGGGATCCGCCCGGCGTCGTATCCAACGCCTTCAAGATTGAATCATGGGAGTTACGTGACGGTAACTCGATGGCTTGATCGCGTTGCTATCGACGGCACGCACGGTCGTCGTTGAGTGTTGATATTCCGGGGATGGGTTATGGATCTCGTGGGGAAGGTGACTATTGCTTGCAAAATGATCCTAGATAGCCTTGGGAACCATCCCGAAGTGCTCGAAAGACAGCACAAGGGTTATTGGAATCTCTCGAACCCCCGGGCACCGGGAGTTGTCGTTCGGTTAATCAAGAGAACACCCTGCCAAGTATCGTGATGTCTGCATAGCAATGTATTCCGAGAACTCCATAACCGCCAACAAGGCACCAATTTTGGACATCGGCAGGTAGGCAGTCTCAAGGCGCTTGGTATCGGCTTGTCTCTTCGGTCCGCGCTTCCCTTTGGACTTCCCGGCGGCGCATCATCGTGTCCCTGGTTTTAGCGTGTTCCCCCGCATCATTCACCCATAGCTCCTCTCACCAAGCCCTAAACCCCTCTCGTTTGCATTGCGAGCAGAGTTTTAGGTGGAGCCCATGCCCATCGGCCTAGCGCACTAAGATTCGGTAGATTTCGTGGTGCAGGTTTCTAGCTGTCGCTGGGATGTGATGTTTGCATCTGCGTGTCATGGGCGTGTTCTCATGCTATTCCGGCCAAATCTTTCACGATAGTGCCAGACCGCAGTGGGAAGAGGTCACGAACCAGAATCTGACAGATTGCACCGTTCGAAGCGCGTTCCGCTCAATTTGAGTACTGGCTTAGCCTCACCGCTCTGATCAGGTGCTCACAGGAGCAGCTGTTGGCATGCTAAATGCATACTATTCGTCCCCATAGACCAGCTATTAGGTAATTTCTGGCCAGCGTACCAAATGACGAAGCCAAACCGGGGCCCGGAAAGTCACACAGAGGGCGGCTCGAATTCGCCTTTCTCCTGCATCTCCGACAGCGTGTCATGCCATCTGAGAACGTGGTGTTTAGGGTTCCTTTCCTTTAAGCCTACCATAGCACCCACCTGTGCCGGCACTGCATCCCATCCTTAGGACAAGCACACTAGAGCGACCCTGCCCTGCATACCCACACCATACGAAGCACCCGCGACGCACGTGCAGTTCCGTAGTCAGGGTATTAAAGGTCGATATCAAATCTCTTTGTGCGCCGTGAGCACGTTATTGCCTGCGCGCCGAACAGCGGCATCTTTACACCGACCTGCCGCCGTCACCTCGAGACCTCTCTAACCATCACACTCACACCACCTCTTTTTACTTGATACTGTTTGACAATACCTCGGATTCTGCTTCCGTTTCGTGCTTAGCCAAGTACACCGTTTGTCGGAACCATTGGCTTGTTTGCGCCCTGCAGTACACCTCCAACCTCACTCCGTTCCTTCCATCACCATTGCATGCGAATTGTTATCAATCGTCAGTAAGGAATTCGATTTTGTCACCTTCCACCGTAGATTCGGAATACCTGAATTTTCCTCTCGCATCCACCGAATTCCGAATGCAAAGGACCGTCGTTACCATCAACAGCAATGGCCGCCAATCGGCGAGCTTCATTCGAGTTGCATCGGCGCTGGGGTGGCAGGTGCGCGCGCAGATGAGAGACCTGAACGGCGTCGTGGCGCAAGAGATATCTGAACTGGAGAATGTCACCGTTTACATCGGACGCCTGGAGGACCGCAAGTTTTTGGACGATCTGTTCAAGAGCGCACAATGCGCCTTCATCAACACGACGCATTGGGGCGATGAAGTTGCGATCGGTCGGTCATTGGCCGACGCTGCGAAAAGGGCCGGGATACAACACTACATCTACTCAAGCATGCCAGATCACTCTGTCTTCGGCCAACCTTGGAGGTCACTACCACTATGGGCGCCAAAATTTACCGTCGAGCAGTATATTCGCCAGATAGGGCTACCTGCGACGTTCGTGTACTGTGGTATTTACCATAATAACTTTACCGGCCTGGATTTCCCTTTGTTCCGCATGGAGTGCCAGTATGATGGTAGTTTCGTATGGCAGGCACCTTTCCACCCAGACATGCCACTCCCGTGGCTCGATTCGGAGCACGATGTAGGGCCTGCAATTTTCCAACTATTTAAGGAAGGCCCACGGAAATGGAACGGCAAGCGGTAAGCGTCTTTTGCTTTTGCATGTTTTTCTCCACCTGAAGCGACTATTCCCCACAGTCGTTTCCATTGTTCAACTCGGCTCCATTTCGTTTGAGGCTTCTGCAATAGCAAGGAACTTATAGACCAAATGCTGATGAAGTTACATACTGACAGACCTAGGGTTCCACTAGCATTCGCATCAATGACCCCCAAAGAAGTTTGTAAAGCATTCAGTCAAGGTCTCGGGAGACCCGTCAGGTATAAGCGGGGCCCCGTGGTGATCAACGTGCCAACACCAATCGGCTACCGAGAGCATCTATCCGCACTGGAGTACACGCTCGGCGAGAAGGGCGCTCCGTACTTCGGCCCGGACATCGAACCTGATTGCCCCAGTGCGGCTCTGGAGCTGTGGGAAGGTAATCGTTCCATGGAGGAGTACGCACGAGAAGTGTTCCCCGTGGAGGAGGCCGCCAATGGCCTGACATGGATGGAAGAGGTAGAGACGCCACGCCGAGAGGTCGAACTCGACCTGCACAACGCGATCAACTGCTGACTACTGGACTTGTTCTCGCAGGGTGAACTACAAGCGCAGTACCAGTACCCCAACAGCAACGGCACCTACGGCATCAATGGCATCAGCGGTCTCGCCGACCAGCTCAACCAGGCTCGACTTTGATATTCTGCACTCTGGCACCTTTCTACCTTCCATTTTCGTTGGCGTCAAGCGGCAGCATTGCGGCGGTGTCTTGACCATTCTTCTTATCGGTATCTTCTCCGCAGAGCGAGCATCAGGGATGGGAATAGCGGTGTATGTATGACATGGCATTGCTCATGTGGCACGGATACGGGCAGTGGGGTTTCTCTGGGCCTATCGACCTATCTTGCGTCCAGCATGGAGTTTTGGGTTGCGTTTAAGCATGGGTGGAATACTTGCGGGATTCGGTGTGGATCTGCATTGCATGGAAAAGTTTCGGTTCTTACATATACGACGGAGGAGGCGGTTACTGCATGTGGTGCTTAGATGCGTCTACGATGTTACGTTGCAGCTTAACGTGCAGCGTCGTGCCATGGGCGTGCTCTGCAAACTACGAAACAAAAGCAAGAGATAGAAAACAAAATCAAAAGCACAATGAACAGAACCACGCAACGACAATGCTCAGGTGACTTGAATGTGATGTACTTGTCGATATCTAACGCGCCATCTGAATGCGGAATGACTAAGCAGCATCGCCGAACCGACCTCGAAACTTTCCGTCCATCACGACACGACCTACGACCAGCCCTCACCCAATGTCAGCCGCGATATCTTGCACGAGGGCCGCGGCCCCGCGCCTCGTCATCCGCACATTACGATGCCAGCGATACGCCAGCACTCAGGCCGCCGACGCCATATCGGAGAACCGTGAAATGATCATCGAGACAGCGCCTGTAGCCAAAGTCACGACGCCAACACCAGTCGCCAAGGGCCACAAGAACACAAGGGCGCCCACGCTCGCCGAGCGCATGCACAAGGCGCTGTATCCAGATCTATACGTCAATGGACGGCCAATTGAGGGCGTGGAGCTGCCCAAGGATCGCAAAGCGAAGAACGCCGGCGAGGAGAGAAAGCCAAGGAGTACGTCTACCTTGTCACAACACCATATCTGTACCCAGAGTAGCGATGCTGCTCCGAACCGCTCATCAACCCAAACCAAGCCTCACCGTGAAGCAGCACTAACACCCCCCAGACAAAACCCATGGCCTCAACATCATCGCCCCCGCCCCAGCAATCAAGAAAACCTGCCCCATCCCTGTCGCTACAATCACCGCCGCCTCTCTCAAGACCCTCGACCCAACAGGCGCCCGCACGCGCCTCTTCGACAGACTGAACCCCGAGAGCGCTAAACTCGGCGACATCCTGCTCGTGCGCCAACGCACCGGCGACCCGTTCGCGGGCGTATGCATCAACATCCGTCGGCGGGGTGTCGACACTGCGATCCTGCTCCGCGGGCAGCTGACGCGCGTGGGCGTCGAGATGTGGTACAAGATTTACAGTCCGCTGGTGGAGGGCATTGAGGTTGTGCAGCGGGCGGCAAAGAGAGCGCGCAGGGCGAGGCTGACGTATATGCGCGATGTGAAGCACGACAGGGGGAGTGTGGAGAATGTGGTGCGCCTGTATTTGAGGCAGAAGGCGGCGTTGGGCGCGAGTGAGCAGAAGAAGACGGGCGAGGCGAAGCAGAAGGCTATGCAGGGCGGGAAGAAGAACAAGGGCAAGAATAAGAATAGGCGGTAGAGAATGATTGTTGGAGATTGGAGGGGACAGGGGGTGGTGTATCATATTGTGGAATAAAGGGCTGAGTACGATCAAGAAGTGTGCAGTATATGTACTACGTTGTATGACATGCAGATTGGCGTATCAACATACACTTAATGTCTGCATTGGACACAGCTCGGATGGCAAACGACTGACGCTGTTCTCGCTGATTAACGCCGGATGTCTATGCTCTCCATTGGACCCCTCATAGTGGTCTTTGTGCACAGCCTGAATGAAGAAGCTCAGCCCGTCTTGCCCAGAGGTAGTATCTCACAGACGGGTGCACCTTCGAGGCTTTTGGCCCAGCGCAGACGTCCATGAGTCAACCTCGGCCTACAATTCCTTGGCCGTCAAATCTACTGGCTCTTCCTCCTCGGCTGCTCCCCCCCAACCTCCAACCTATACCCCTCCGCGCCTTTTTCCGTCTTCAGGTCCTTCATATCGACCTTCTTGGCCCCAATTTCCGGGAACTGGAAGACATCGCTCCTCCCGCCCTCAAGCCCCTTCCACACCCCCAGCGTCTGCCAGTTCGTCCACGTCAGCGCACCAACCCACGGCTGCACATTCCAGCCCAGCTCCAGCGTCACATTCTCCCTGTTCTGCAGCTTGCCCGTGATGTCCGTAATCTGGTACTTGGGCCTCTGGCTCTGCAAATGCAACTCGCCGATTGGGTATGGGCTCGCCGGGTTGGACTTCTCAGCGAGTTGTGCCTTCTTGCTCTTCTTGGGCAGCTTCTTGCCTGTGGTGGGGTGGATGTAGTGGTTCTGGTGCCAGGGCGCGGAGGACGAGGCCAGGATGGCGTCCCAGATTATGGCTTCGGAGGAGGGTTCGGAGCGCGTGCCTGGGTACACGGCTTTGAGGTACAGGAAGACTTGTTTTGTGTTCCAGTTGAAGAGGGAAGTCAAGTCTACCCATCACCGTCAGGACACCATTCACTCAAGGCAGACATGCTAGGGGAATGATTTGTGGTAGCACGGGTGTGGAGGAGCATACCGGCGTCCAGGTCAAACTTGATGTGCGCATATTCCTCCTTCTTGTAGCTGTAGTAGTGCGGCCGCCCCTTGACGACCTGCACGTTGCGCACTTGCATCGCGGCATTCGGGCTCTGGGGGGACACGAAGCTGCTGAGTGCGATTACGGCCGCGACGGTGAAGGCGACGGTTGTGAAGAAGCCGAAGGCATTCTGCAGTCGCACCAGTGCAGAGTGCATCTTGTCGGCTGTGTGGGAGTCGTGTTGGTCGCTGCTTGATTGCTGCGCGGAGTAGTTCAAGTGGTCCTAACACGTATGGAGCTTGCGCGGAGGTCGGAGCTCAGCCCTATCGCGCTAGTTTAGCGTGTGGTAATGGGGTTGATGGAGAACAACTCCTCCCTTACGCGCGCTCACCCTTCGGCATTCAGACCGTTCATGTCTCTAGGCGCCAATCGGGAGTTGCATGTCACAGAAATGCTGATGGAAGTAGGCCACGGCAAGAGCTCTATTGTTGACCTTCTCGTCACCGTCCTTTGTATCGTCCACAGAGATTTCGAAGCTTCATCAATCACCTCCAGTTCTGACTTGTGGATCGAACGAAGACACAGCTAGAAGCTACTGTGCTCTTGTCTTTACAGTTCGGCTTTCCGCTCCTCAACAGCCTCTTGCACATCTGTACCGTGCCTGTTGTTTGGAAGCCTCGCTCTGGGAACACTCAACAATATCTACACCATCCTTATCGTCGCATTCCCCGTCTCCTCATGCTCCTTGAACCAGTTCAGAAACTGGAACACACTCGCCTTCGGCGTCCGCTCCAAGCTAGTATAATTCACATACTGCAGTCCAAACCGCACACTCGTGCCCAGGCTCCACTCGAAATTGTCAAAGATCGCCTGCACACTGTCAGTATCTATCTCATCGAAACCATAGCGCAGTGCTCGCAAGCTCGCGCTACCAGAGTACTTACCCAACCCCAAGCCCCAGTAACGTTAACCCCGTCGACATGAATAGCCAACAAGATATTATCGAGGTATTGCTGTAAGTAGTCCGCGCGCCTAAGGTCCCACAATGCTGGAGGGAGTGTAGACCAGGAACCTTCGAATGGTTCAGCGAACCCGAATTCGCTAACTACGATGTCGGGGATGCTGGGGAACAGCTCCGTGGTGATGTGCTTGAGGAATCGTCTTACACCGCTTGGTGCGCTGTACAACCAGCTCATCGCCGGATCCGCCGCAGGCCCAATCGGGAACCCGTTTGGTGCGAGGGATGTCGAGCCAGCACAATCCGGGAACGACGGGTGTGAGCGGTTCGACACGCAAGCGTCCAATCCGCCATCAACTTCGTACGCGAGGAAGGACGAGTACGGATCGATGGCGTAGAAGTCGCAACTGCCCTTGATGAGATCTTTCTCCTCTTGCGTGAAGTTTGGCAATAGGTCTCCCAGTGTCGATTTGAGACTCGCAGGATAATCGCCGTCCGTCCACGGCCCGCCGAACCAGCCGATGCTGAAGTCGAAGTTGCGCTGCCTTGCTTCCTCATCCCCTGGACTTGTGCTATTAGCCTCGTAGTAGTTCCCGCTATTCTTGAATGTAATCCTATGCCGTCCCTTGAACTCGTCGTGGTACCATTTGGCGACCTTGGCGTGCGCCAGCAGCGTGTGGTGGCCGCAGAGGAAGCGCGCGGCGAGACCGCCGGTGATGTTGTTGGGTGCTGGATAGTATTTCCCGGCTGGGTAGTAGGAGTATTGCCAGTTGCAGTACTGGGGCTCGTTGATGGTGAACCACTAGATGCTGTTAGCATGTGCGAAGTGAGGTGGAGGGTAAGGTGAGACGTGCTTCGTCTACGTAGGCGTCATAGCGGGAGATGACGAATTTGGCGTACGCGAAGAAGTGGTCTACGATTTGTCGGTCGGTCCAGGCGCCGTATTCGGTAAAGAGGGCGAGGGGTGTGTCCCAGTGGAAGAGCTGGGGTGGTTAGTGATGCGTGTTGGGGAGCGGATGGAGAGGGACGGGGGATTTACTGTGACGGCGGGTGCGATGCCGTTGGCGTGCATTTCAGAAATCACATCGTCGTAGTGCTGGACTGCTTCTTGGTTTACTGGACCGTGGCCGAAAGGGAAGAAGCGTGGCCAGGAGAAGCTGGGGCTGAATGCTGTAAAGCGTCAGTCATCGGAGTGCGTTCTCAAGGACTGTAAGAATACCTGGCACGCCCAACCCTTTCAGCCTTGCGAAGTCCTGCTTGTAAAGCCAGTACTGACTAGCAACGACATCTCCAGTAGAGTTGTCGCTGACAAAGTTCGGGACCCGATGAGAAAGCAAATCCCAAATACTCGGCCCTTTCCCCTCATCTTTCGCTGCACCCTCAATCTGGTATGCTGAGGAACTGAATCCCCACTTGAACCCGGCAGGCAGCTTCAGGTCCTTTGCTTCAGGATAGCTACTGCTTACCAGTGGGTGGAAGAACTCGCCATCAGGCTGAAGGTACGCCGTGGGCTCTGGGGTGGGAGAAGCGGTACTGGTCAACGGTCCAGTAGCGACGGGGCCTACGAGATCCCACAAGGATGCAAGAGCATTGGGCGAAAAGTCAGTGCGGGTGTATGCGGTAGGTTGGGCAGAGTTGTTGAAGGTGGATGTGGTGTAGCCCGATGGGAGAGTGAAAGATGGCGCTGAGTTGTTGCTGTACTGTGCATGTGCCAGAGGAGCTACGGCTACCAGAAGACCAAGCAAAGAGACTGGTTGAGCCATTGTTGACTCAATTGATAGACGGAAGGTCTATGGGATGGAAGGAATGTGGGACTTGCAGATACTTAACAGCTACACAGGTCCTATTTTCAAGCAAGGCAGGACTGGGGTAGCTCTTGTACAGCCATGTCATTCCGTCGTCTCCGCGCACCTCATCACCCGTTCGTGGTGCGTGTATCTCGGCATGCACAGCTCCCCGCATCTTCCTTGTTCACATCCGGCTTGAAGGATTCTTTGTTGTGGGTCGGGTTGGTTGAGTATTGCAAACGGCCTTGGTGTTTGGCTGGAGCTGTAAAGCTAAGGCGGACCCAAGCCTCACCGCATACGGGTGAATACATAGCTCCGTGTACCGACGTTGAAAAGTTGTGAAGACGTCATGAGCGGAGAGCTGGGCGGAGAATAAACCCCAGCGATGCCCGTGTCGAGAAGGGTATGGCGCAGGTGTCTCGGTGTTGTGATTGGTGGACGTTGAACTTCTGGGAAAGAGCAACACTGCGGGGAAGTCTCGGTAGACACCTGCACGCGAACGCAAGTCGACGACAAGACAAGGTTAAGGAGGTGATATCGTCCTAGCGATTGAAGCTGAGCGATCGGCGAGGGTGAATCGTCGTTCAGCCGGACCGATGTCCGAGAACGCGACTGCAAGACCTGGAAAACAGTGAATAGAGATGGAAAGGAAAGTGCCCACTAGCTGCAAACATTGCGCTGTTGAGCAGTTAGCAACAATCAATGCCATTGCGTGTCTTACACTAAGTGTAGATTGATGTAACATGCATGCAAATATGATCCGTTCCCTGGATGCAACAAGTTCAAAAGATCCAGTTCCATCCTGCCCACCCTGACCTTGAACACCAGAAATCTTTCATGATGCGCCAATAATGCAAATTCAAACCCAACAGGTATACTCAGACTTCTGCAACACTCGCTACCGTCTGTAGCCATTCGAACTGCTGTGGCGGGCTTCCATCAGAGGCGCGCGACTGGGTTTCCAGATCCTGACTTTGTGGTCGTCGCCTGCTGATGCGAATACGCTCGGGTCTTTGGGATGCCATGCAATGCTATTGACACAGCCGGGATGCGCATCGAGAGCTTCGACAAGGAGCCCGTTAGACCGCCAGATGTAGATTCTTGAATCTGGTGAGATGGATTAGCGACATGTTTCATCTAATCTGGTATCTGGGACCCACCTTCGCTACCGCTGACCACGAAGTTCTCATCTGCGCCACCGAATGCTGAGCGTATGATGAATTGCTTCTGCTGGTGTCCTTCAAACTTCTGGATCAAGTCTGCGCTATCGATCTCCATGAGCTCAATCATATCAGGGTTCATGCTGACCAGCATGTGCCGCGAATCTTGGCTAATCGTGATGCTCGTTAGCTTGGAGTCAGGATGCCACTCGCACAATTTCTTGTAGCTGACGAAGTCGTAGACAGCAATCGAGTGCTCGGAGATGATGACGAGACGTTCGCCGTTCGGCGATATCGCGAGGTCGTTCGCACGAAGTTTCGAGCCGTCTTCACAGAAGTTGTGTACCTGGCGACCACTCAGATCCCATATCCCACAGCCTAGTTTGTCGTCCTGCGATCCAATAACGACGTGTCTGCCGTCAGGCGCCCATGCTGCTGTCGTACACGGGTATGTGAAGTCGCTGATGCATAGTATACACGCGCCGGTCTTGACGTCCCATATCCGTGCGGAGTTCTCCGGCTGCGAACAACATGTGATGATTTTGGAATCGTCTGGACTCCACGCTAGATGCGTGACTCCCGAATCTTGATGATCTTCGAGATGGTGTAGGATCTTGTAAGTTGAGGTCTCATAGATGAAGATGGTCGTGTCTTTACTTGTCGATGCCAGTTTTGTGCCGTCGTTCGAGTACTTGAGGTACCACACCTCGTCTGTATGATCCTTGAGGTCCAAGACTGCTTTAGTGGGGAAGTCTTCCCGCTCGCAGTTATGGTCGAGGTAAAGCGAGGGTGAGTCTGTGGTATTGTGATATAGACAATTCCCTATCCAGCTGTCTTTGACTTCGTCTAGGAGAGCAGAAAGTCGATGCTCTGGTATCATGACACTAGGTGATATTGACTCTGTACAATATGAGCGAATGGTTGCCATATGGTCGTGATGGTTCTGATGACTTACTGGACAGATCAGAGAGCAGGTGTGTTCGCGACTCGCCTTGTGCGCCATCCCATTGCGACTGATGTCTCAAGTCCTCGGCGGAAGGGCACATCATAAGACTGAAGTTTGTGAGTGAATGCATCGCCGTTGTTGTGCTGTGACTGCTTACCTGGACAGGGCATGCAGCCGACCGACATCCTGGTGTAGGGGCGTAAGCTCTTGTCGTAGTACAGTCAGTGCGTTGCCCAAATCTCTCCGCTCCAAGAGCTCCAAGTACTTCTGTTGCTTCATCCAAAACAGCATCTCGTCCCTGTTGGCGCCCTCGGCCAGGGTCAGTCCTCCAGAACGCTGTGAATTCGCTCTTGACCGGGTTTTGCCCCAGGACCTCCCATACGAGTCATCCAATCCTACACCCCCTCCAGTATCGTGTATCACAGTACCGAACAACAGCTCTTCTGCCGCGTCCCAGTCGCCGTTGAGGACCGAGCGGCGAAATGACGCCACCGTTGGACCTTCCAGCTGACGCCCACTCTCTTTGCACAGCGCTCCTGCTGCATCATGGTAGCCCAGATCTGTAAGACTCTGTATCAAGATCCGTGTGACCTCGTCCCTGTCGTGTCCAAAGTATGTTGTGGGTATTGGTTTGCCATTTGCTGTCGAGCTCCCGTTCGTGTACGAGCCGTTGCCCTCCGCCCTTGTATGTGAGTCACCATTTGCAACCTTTCCGAGGGGCGACCTAGGTCCTGACGAGCGCGAGGAGCCGTTTGTGAAGCTGTGTGAGGGTGATTGCGGTTGTTTCGATGTATCGTTATCGAGGCGCATCGTCCCGTCTTGCCCGCGCCTGCGCTTTGTTCGATGACGGGATGGCCCTGCTAGATTGTCCTGCTGCTCCGTGCTCTCGGACTCCTCGTCGCTCTCAGGCGCACTGCGTCTGCGCTTAGCTCTGGCAGGCTGTTCGGTTGAGCTCTGGTTCGCGGTTGTGGCGGCGACTGGCTGCTCGGGAGCACTCGCGGGGGTATCGGGGGTAGTAATGTGGGCAGAGGTTACTGGGGAAGAAGGAGCTGGGGGATTCGGCGTGGCTGGGCGGTCGGAGGCGATTAGGGGATTAGGATATGGGGCCGTTCCGTCTGCCAGGACGAACGCTTAGGCAGGTTACCCGCTGAATACGCGAGAGTTGTTGGCGGCAGTGGTGGGACCGCAGATGTGTGCAGGGTGCTAGTCAAGAAGCTGACATTCGTGATTCCAAGACGTGTGGAAGCTGGAGGACTGCGGCTGGAGCGCTGAGAGGGTCTGCGGGGTTGCGTAGAAGCTCGGTCGTCGTGGAAGACAGTGGACGATGTCACAAGCGGAGAGATGGTGGAGGCAGATGTGCGGTCGCTCGGTGCACGGTTGCTGTGTTTGACTACCTCAACGAAGATACGAGGATGTGAGAGCGGTCTGGTCGAAGGCTGTCACCGTCCCTTGTTGTCGACGTGGGCGGTGGCAGAGCAGCTTGCGATTCTCTTGGTGCAGCTGGCTGATTACAGCGATGATGCTAGCATGAAGCTCTATAACTTGGCAGGCACGAGCTGTGAGCGGCCTGCCAACACACGAGCAGTAGCGAAATAGAGCAGAGGAAGTATGTGAACAGGATACGGATAGGTCCAAGCACGCAAGCAGTGTTCAGGCCTTGGAGCATTGCATAAGAGTACAGGCTTCCGCCATTCGGGTGGAGCCGTCACGGGGGAGGTTCCTAATCGCCGCTTATCGCTAGTAAAGAAGCCCATCATCTAATCAATGCGCCCATCAATGCCCCGCTGCACCCACCGTTCGTTTTGCACTTGCTAGGATATGGTCATCTGCTTCGACATCACACCCATCACGTCTTGCGGTACGTGGATTGTCTATGGGTGCAGCTGGCGGGCAAACCGCGGTGAGGTACACACGTCATGTGAAACATCAAGCGCGCTGTCATGCGGAACCACCAACCATCATCGCCGGCGGTACTCAATCTGGGGACTGGCGAAATGGCCAGCAGAGAATCGTATTCTGTCGTGACTGAACGGGCGCTCGAGAAAGGTCCGCAACTGCCAATCCTTCCAACACACTTCGAGCCTTGCCTGCAGATACATGCGCGGGAAGGGATTTGGACAAATCTTAGGTTACAGCGGTTCAGCGATGAAGCTCGAAGCTCGCTTGAGATCGAGCTCGTGTCACGCGCCAAAGGATCGTTCCGCTGGTTGGGAAGAGTCAGATCAGTGCACGCAATGCACGCTGCCCTGAAGACACTTCCGGAAACTCTCATTGAAACTTACGATTGTATGTTACGAAACATCCATGGTGACGATTTCGACTTGGTCGACCGGGTGCTCTGAAGTGCCATATACGCACTGAGCGTCCGCTAAGCCTGGAAGAGCTCGCTGAAGCAATTGTCGTCGATTCCAACGAGAACCATTTGGACAAGTTGGAACGCCTATTGGATCCTGAAGATATCCTGGGTTTTTGTGGAAGCTTGGTGCGGATTGACGAAAACCATGTCATACCAGCCCATACATCGGTAAAGGACACCTTGCTCTCGCATCGTCTCTCGTCACAACAAGACTGCAACATCGCAAAGTTCGCCAAAGAAGAGTCCCTTGACCAGCACCATGTAACAACGTATTTGTTGTCCTACGTGTTTACGCTTGGACTTCACATCCAGGATTTGAAAGATATGCTGCTAGTCGAGGCAAAGCACGCCTTGATCTCTTTCGCACAGAACGCATCTATTGAGCGATACCGCAATTTCCCTGCTATACGCCCTTGGGTTCAAAGACAACTCGCTTCCCAGGAAACTGATCACAGTCAACCTCGTTCGCTGATTGACTACTCGATGCCTCATCCGCTCTATATCGACAACTGCCCGAATGCTTGGCTGGTTGTCATTCCGCTCGCCATCTCCTTCAGTAAGTCATCATGATCCATCACAACATTTCACCAAACTGACCCCAAATAGTGGGATGGCAAGGCTCTGGTGGATCTTCGGTCGCAACAAGCACAATCAACATCTGGTTCGGCGGCGTGCTCCTCTTCATCGCTGGCATTGGCGAGTTCCTGCTCGGCAACACATTTCCCATGATGGTCTTTGCCTACGGAGCTTACTTCTTGTCCTACGCCACCACTGTCGTTCCTGGGTACAACGCCATTGGTTACTTCAACCCTGATGGTTCCGGCGCTGGCAGCCCAGTCCCTCAAAACCAGACTGCGATGTTCGCTGCAAGCTATGGTAAATCAAACGCGTCCCTTCATTAACTACGCCGCAAGACTTACTCTCTACAGCCTTCTATCCAGTGGTTATGTGCATCCTATCGTTCATCTTCCTGCTGGGATCGCTCAGCACGAACCTCGTCTTCGTCATCATCTTCATCTTTGCAACCATCAGCTTCGGTCTCGGTGCTGGTGCATTCTTCTACCTCTCGCGTGGCAACATCGTTGTCGGCACACGGTTGGCGAAGGGGCTGGGAGCCTGCTTCTTCGCAACGAGAGTCTTAGGGTTCTACTTCTTATTGGAACTCGTCGTTGCTATCATGGAGCTGCCCATTTCCGACATTCCCGTTGGCGACATGAGCACCGTCATCAAGGCGAAGCCTAGGGGTGTTGTCAAGGAGGAAAGGGTGTATGATACGAAGAATGAGGAGTCTAACAAAGGCTCAGCTGGAGCGAAATATGGAGCTGAAGGGGTGGAACCATGTACAAATTTGCATCTTGAGTTGTCAGGCTCACTTGTGTGTATATGCTTGAAATTCATTGAAACAAAGTTCCAAACGATTATCCGGGCCCTTGGCTTTCGATGAACTATTGATCACACCTCCACGTCCATCCCTCAATCACCACGGATACTCCCCAGTATTATGGATGAATCTCCCAACCTCACCATCCCTCCTCCCCTCAACAACATCCATCAAGCTCCACACCGTCTCCTTCGCACTCCTCGCCCCATTCTCCTTCGTATTTGCCTCACTCAAATTGCTAACCGTAAACCCCGGATCATACGCAAACACCTTCATTCCCTTTTTACCCTTTTCACTCTCGACTCCAAAATTCAGCCCATACTCGACATGTTGGCACGTCATCAGCATGTTCATCGCCACCTTGCTGGCCCGATACGGCTCCGCTTGAATCTTGTACATGGGTGATGAGGTGGTAAGCCGGCGCCCGATTGAGCCGGCGCCCGAGGATATGTTGATGATGCGCGGGTTGGAGCTCTTCTGGAGGAGGGTGATGAGGGCTTTGGTTAGGAGATACGGGCCGGTGGCGTTAATATCGAATGCTTCTCTAAAAGCCTGACGATCAACTGCCGTGTAGGATGCGACGGCTGCGTTGTTGACGAGGATGTCGAGTTTACCGTGGGTCGCGGTGATCGAGGTCGCTGCGTTGGCAATGGTATCGTCATCTTGCAGGTCGAGATGAAGGAACTCGATGCTTCCAGGTAAGTTGCGTGACTGGAGATCGTTGAGGGCGGCGTTGCCACGCTGGGTTGATCGGGCGCCGAGAAGAACGTGGTAGGTGCCTTTGGCGAGGAGTTGATGTGCGAGCTCGAAGCCGATGCCGCTGTTTGCTGTGTAAGGTCAGTATGTCAATATATTGCGAGATAAATGGGCTTACCTCCGGTCACCAGTACGATCTCTTTTGCTATGGCTGCCATGGTGCCGATGATTAGAGGTTTGAAAACGTCTTCGCTGAAACAATTATTCGGTGTTCTCACGAGTGCTCTCTATGGAGCTCAAAGATTGTGTGTACTCTCCAGTTCATCTTATACCTTTCTGGGTGTCTGTTTGACCCGAGCTAGCATTCGGAGACAGGTGTAGTAGGCGCAAACTCCGCTCTCAGCTGAGGGAGAAAGTGCAACTCTGCGGGCAACACACGATCTGCATCTCGGAGGGCATTTGGTAAAGCTTCTCAGCCAAAAGCCATATTACTGCTATTGGCTCATGTTCTACAACGTCAACATGCGATATATGTTGATCTTGAGACTAGTTTTCAAGTTGCGCAGTTCAAACCTCTCTTTTGCACTTACGAAAACGCTAGTACTAATTGGGCGCCAGAATTGCACTCAAGAAGGACCGATGACATCTTTAACATCACCATTCGAACCGCAATCACTCCTCAGACATCTTCACAGTAGCATAAATAATTATATCTGCAACCAGGCTCATCATCTTTCGTTGTGCCGCGATAAGCCAAGACTGGGGGCTCATAAGTATCTGACACCTTCACGACACCCGTTCCACGGACCTACAAGCCGGTCTGAGCCGGATGAACGGTCGGTCCTTTGCGTTGCACAAAAAGAAAACAAGATACAAGCGTATTACTCTTAACCCTTAAGTAAGGACACTTCAGACATATTCGCGAGAGCTCACGACGCATGAAAGTTTCTTAGCTCTGCCAATGGTGCTTACTCTGTAATGGTCTTGTACGCCAAAGCTCTCCATCTATTACGAGATCCTCGTATGTTCAAACTTACCCATGTCTAGCTCAAGAACTTACTGCAAGTGTCTCTTTTTCTTAAGTTTTTGCTTCAATCTGCGATCTCATTCGTATTCCCGTCTTGTGTCTCTTGGAAAATGACGTATACTTAATTGGCAGCAAAGAAAGGGTATCGATCCTGCCGTATCTGGTTTCGGGCATCCCGCTACGGCCGCGTTTGATCTTTGCGTTTCTCATGGTTGGTAGTGGAATCGTTTTGGGTGTTCGTTGATTCGCATGCATATCTCCGCAGTGAGTATACAAATCGATGGTAGGGTCTGATAATGTGGCGGCGTGGGCCGCTGTAGAATACTGATAGCTACGTCAAACGATAACGTAGGACTATCGGGTAGATGGAATACTGCGCTCAATTGCTATCTAGTGAGGAGAAGACGACTATATACTGACTATGGAACGTGCTAGTCCAGAACAGTCTAAGCAAGGGTAATAAGGTTTTGTATGGACCGACTAATACCGCAACAGATAACGATCTACTTAATCCCACTTCATTACATGACAGTTCTTTGCGCGATCCTCACAGCGAAGAGGCAAACGTCCATACTCGCTTCTCTACTGCTCTCCGTTTTCAACATCTAGTATCGTTACGTTCTGGCCAAATCGTAGCCTTGAAACCCCCAAGGATTCGGGTCACAACGGGTCGGCGGAGGATGTGCATGTAGAGATCTCGTGCTTGTTGCCAGACTGGTCGAGGGAAGTGATATAGCAATGCCGAGTGCGCGGGGCCTGTTGAATGGGGCGATCAAGTTTTACGACAACACCACAAACACGTTGGCTGGGTCAGTACTGAGGCGGTGGGATACAGGGAAGAGCGTTTCGATTGCTGGGCTAGTATTGATGTTTTGTTAGATATCGAGCTGAGGTCTTACGGTTGGTAGCTCTCTGATCCAGCTTGACGATTCTTGCACTACTTCTCGAATCTCACTGCCCTCTCCGGGTCTCTCCACCACTCGCACTGCTTCCTCCTGATAGCATCGCCCTCAACTCTAGTATTGCCAAAAGCCTCAAATCGCAATTGAAGTCCCGGCTTGCCCTCAGCGATATCATCAACGTACTTCGGCCACTTCGGGAGACCCGTCCTATTACGCGCACTTGGGTCACCGTAGACAACGAAGTCGGAGAAGTAAGTATTCAGCTGCTTGCCAACTTCAGGGTACTGGACGCCACCAGTGCCGTTTCCTTCAGCCCATGTGTATTTGGTATCAGCGGTGTGGGGGATACCCTCCCAGGCTGGGAAAGTGTTGTTGACAGTCCAGAGCATCTTGTATACCGGTACGCCGGCAGAAGACATACGGACTGCGGTCTCTTGACCAGCGCAAGCGTACATATAGTCGGTGAGCGCAGCAGAGATGCGATTGTACTGAGTGGAGTTGGGACTGTGGGCGTACGGGGACCAGTCGCCGTTGATGTCGTTGGTGGGATCGGGATACAGTGCCTCCAAGTCAGAGACATCTTGCTCGGAGAGGTAGGGGATGAGATTCTTAAAGAAGTCTAAGAACTCTTCGTTCGTCTCGATGTCGCCAGGGCTGTAGTATTTGGCCTCATCACGGACATTGGTCGTAATAGTTGGGACGCGGAAGAACTGCTCGTTTATCCCGGCTGTGGAACCTGCTTCCTCGAGAAGGGGGCCGCCGCGGGTAGGCTGAAACGGCCAAGCGATGTTGTACTCGGAGTCGGAAAACAACTTGTTACTCGCCTCCTGAATCAGAGTGATGTTTGCTGCACGCAGGCATCCAATAACCTCGTCATCTGTACCGTTTGCAACACCGCCGCATCCTGTCAGCTCAAGATACTGCGAGAATTGCTTTTGATACAATGGGTAGGAAGCGTTGGGAAAGGCACGTGCAGTGACACTTCCAGATTGTAGGATAGCTTGAGAGAACAATGGAGAAGCGCCCTCGGTCTTGTTGTAGTTGTGGAATAAATGGATACCAACGGAGTGTGCACCTGCAGACCGACCACCGATGGTAACACGCTCAGGGTCACCGCCGAAAGCTGAAATGTGCTGCTGCACAAACTCGAAGGCCAACTGCTGGTCTAAAAGACCCAGATTGAGAAGGCCCAGGCGATCGAATACTGGAGAGGGCAGGAAACCAAGAGAGTTAATCTGCATTCCGTTAGTACATTTTCATATTGGCCAATTGCGAAGGCTTACCCTGTAGTTTAAGTTTACGACTATCAAGGGTTCCTCTGAGTTGGCCACAAAAGCCGGACCGTCGAAACTCCTCGCAGAACCAGACACAAAACCTCCTCCATGGATCCAGATGAATACTGGTAGTTTGGCGTTCGACGAGATGTTTTGAGGGCGGAAGACGTTCAGGTTCAGACATGCCTCGTCCTGTGCGTATGGCACCAACGACGCATCTTGGATGCAGGAAAGACCATATTGAGTGGCGTTCTTGATTCCCGAGAAAGCTGCTGGAGGCCCTACAGGGGCGAATCGTAGGTCGTCGACGGGCTGAGAGGCGTAGTCGATACCAAGCCAGGCATCCACTGTAGCTGGTAGAGGCCTTTTGGTCAGGTACTGGCTAACAGTAGTGCCAGCAAAACTACCATACCCGGGCAGAGTGACGGTAGAAGCGCTTCCAGCGCTGGTAAGCACCGCGAAGGCTGTAAGGTAGCGCTGAGCAATGCCGCTGAGACCCATCATGTCGAGATGAAGGACTGAAGACCGCAACAGACTCTCAAGGCATTCGAGCACGAGCATACTTGCCGGAAGTTATATACAAAAGCTGTAAAAGTCTTGGTACGGTCAGGATCGGATCCTTCTTACGACGCCCCGAGTCAAGTACAGCCGGTTATCGCTCCCCACTCTCGTCATTGCCGAGCAAATCTTCGCTAAACTGAAGTAGGGATCCGTCGGAAGTAACATCGGAAGCGATATGAAGGCCGATGCGGAGATATAGTTACATTTTAATCGTGATAAGTCGCAATGTCTTACGGAAAAAGATAGCCATTGGAGTGACCTATGGGCATGATAACGCAGGTACGCGAGCAGATGGTCTCGACACTGGTCGACCGCTGGGTCAACTGCGACGTCAATTCATCGACGGCAGCATTTTTCAGTAGGCTTATTGTCTCAGCTTTAGTGGAGACAGCCTCGCAATAAAACGTTGAGATGGCGTTTGGGTGTCGTGGAGTTGAAAAGATTTGCGGGGTGCGTCTCGGCGGTCCCTGCGAAGTCTCGCGAGTTGTTTTGTCGCCGCAGGCAGCCCGCAACGCGCTTTCCTCCGCAGTTCACCCGTTCTCCACGCTCTCACCAGGTCTTTTCTTCATCTTCTTTGATCTCGAGTCTGAACTGATCCAGAACGGTAATGGACAAGCTGGAGTCTCTACCTTTGGTTCAAGCAAAGAAGATGTACTGGCACAACTCGCTGCAGCATGTAAGATGTTTTCAAGCACTATGGTTCAAAACCGGGTATATTTTACCCAGTCAAGTCCGGATGTCTTAACCACTTTTTGTGCACGTAGAAACCCGTTTTCCTGGGTTATTTAGGTGGGTTATATACCTAGTTTCTGGCCTAATAAGCAAGGATATCCGCCAGTGAGAAAGGATTGATCTGCCTGTCTCCGCTCATCCCTGCCTACCCCCACGCTCCTTCACTGCCCCCCTCCCCTCGCCTGGTATATACCATTGTTGCTGACCTCAAACCAAACTTCTGTGGTTTGGCAGGTTTTAATCCCTTCCTCTTAAGAGCATTGAGGTTTGGCAGAGTGTAAGAGGTAGTGAAGAGAGAGCTTGGCAAGAAACATCAAATTTAGCGGAGAGAAGAGATTCATATTTTCTTTGCAAAATAACCCAGTGAAAACACCAGTTAATGGTATTTATACCCGTTTATGGTATTTATACCCGTTAATGGTATTTATATTCGTTGGTGGCGTTTATACCCATTGAAACGGGGTAAATCTACTATTTCCGGGTGTTTTATCCAGTTTTGGAACCGTAGTGAAGACTTTCCGCGACCGCGCCACGTCAAAGACATGAAATGCAGTCGACTCTAACTACCTCTGTTTCACGTATGACCTATCTCTTATAGTTGCATTCGAGACAACCTGGTCTCGTACAACCTGCCTTACAAGCTCGCCGTAATGCTGATGGTGTATCATCATCAGAGGTTGGTGATTATTTTTGCGGAGGACACGACATTCATCGGTTGGCAACCGAAGCATGCGGTCGCGGCGAGACTCCAGCCACAAGGACTAGTCCAGCAACCAGCTGATATCTAATGCAAAAGGACCAATGAGCCAACATGGCAGTCTCAATCTCAGCCAAGCACTAACACAAGGCGCCCCTCCCTTGACACCTCAGTTCTCGCACGCGCCTTCAGGATGTTCGATATATCATCGGTTGTACGCGCATGATTTCCCCTAGTACCGGATTGCGTTGTGTCTCATCAGTCTCTGCTTTCTGCACAGTTCGTTTTCCAGGGTTGTCTTTCCCAATTATAAGCCATTAGAGACATAGACATGGAGTCCTTCGACCTAGTCATTGTGGGCCTGTTGAACAACGACGTGGATCGTTTCTAGTTCGTGCGGAGCGGCACTATTCGCGTCCACATCGCAGACATTACGAACTCACTCATCAGACCGTGCACTTGTCAAATGGCGATGCGTTGGAGGCCGACATCCTCATATGTGGCACAGGGTGGAAAGACCCTCCACAGATAAACTTTGTGACGAATAGGGAGCTCGGTCTTCCTGGTCACTTACTGTTGACTGCTGAATCATACATTGCGAAAGCAGATTCTGCCATCCTCAAGACTTGCTCAAAGCTTCAGAACCAGCCTCCATCTCGAAAGATGGAGCCAGTGACCAACGACGCCGAGGAGATAACCCCGGAGCCTTAACGCTTATACCACTCTATGGTACCGCCTTCATTCATCGACAGCCACACACTGGCGTTCGTAGGCGCATACCGTAGTCCAGCAACCACTTTCATAGCGCAAACGCAAGCCCTCTGGATCACAGTGTTTTTCGACGGTCACATCCACGAGCTCGAATCTGGATTCATGGCTAATTCCGATCACGTTCCTTACAAGACGGTCTTGCATACACGATTTGGGAAGTAGCGTTACAGTAAAGGATTTGGTGCTCGACACCTTGAGCTTTGGTTTGACTGCCTACCATACGTCGATCTTCTACGTCGGCATCACTAATAACTACACGGCTTTGAGTGCAAGACAATCCATTTCACATTACAAGGATGATTGATTGCGGAGGCCAAACCCCGGGCGCTCTTATTAGGGGATGATACCCACTCTTGGACAGCTTTCCTCCAGTCCTCGTGTGCCAGGAACTACAGAGGCGAACGAAGCCCCCCAACAAAGCCGGACGGTTGGAACCGTCACAAGCTGTCGCTCCAACACATCAGCACACTTGTACGGCACTTTGAAGTGTTTAGGCTGAAGATTGATGTTTGTCCGGTTGCTGTTGTCTGGGTCAATTTGCGAGCGGCGATTCTACAGGTTACCAACTATCGCATCCTCCAAGGCATGTAAGCAGTACTCCAAATTACGGCTGTCCCATGATGATCCAGCGTGACAGACCTGATCATTTCTCCGCCATTCACCTCTCGTCCGTCAATTCAGTCTCGGGCAGGCCCTTCATCTGCGCAATATTAAGCTCCAAGACGCCCGAAACAGATCTCTACAAGACTGGAACTGAACTTCATCGCAATTTGCGCCCGAATCTTCGACAATTCACCCTAAGGTCAACTGGAGGAAACATCAACCTACAAGCAAAGCTCCTATAACGAAAAGCAAACACTCACCAGAACTCCCATTATGATATATACGATGGGCAAGGATCTGGAACTCCCATTCTGTAACCCCGCAAACCGATATTAAGCGGGGTGTTGCGTGTATGCTTGGCTCGTATTACTTCACGAGAACATCATACGCAGTTAAGGAAGAGCTCCAGGAAAACAAACAACCCAAGCCCTACGCCAACAAAGCTTAATGAGTGATACGTCAGATCCGATTTGTGGGCCCCGCATTTGTCTTCACACTGATTGCCTTGGCGCTATATCATAGCGTGTTATTGACTCTACCATACACGGATTATCGACTGTATCCGGAATGCCAAGCGAGGACTCGGGTGAATTACAGATACTTGCGGTCGTACGACCGGTTTTTGAAGATGTACAGAGATGTGATATATTCCTAAGCCGGATATGGAGTCCATCGGTCCGTCGCTTGATAAACCCGAAAATCGATTACTGTTGATGAAAAGGTACTCCAAAATGCTCGGTAGGAAGACTACACTGAATGACTGTGATGAGCCTACGTATCAGTCTGTGCTTTGCACAAAGGGTATAAATGGAGTACATCTTCTCTCTACGGGTCTTCAGACAACCAGCATCGTCATCCGACATCTTTGAACTACAAACATGCCATCACCACTTGCCATGAAAGCTGTTGTAGCCTTCTTTGCCTCGGGCGCCTCTGCCTGGGTCATCGGAACACAGCAAACGGAGAGTCACCCCAAGCTAACCTGGCAGCGCTGCACGGGCAAGGGCGGAACCAGCTGTTCCAACGTCAACGGCGAGATTGTGATCGATGCCAATTGGCGCTGGTAAGCAGTATCAGTATGTGGCCTCACCATCAACTGACCGCCTCTAGGCTCCACGACAAGACCGCCAACAGCTACACCAACTGTTTTGATGGCAACACCTGGAACGAGTCCCTGTGCCCCAACAATGCGGCGTGCGCGACGAACTGTGCGATCGAAGGCTCTGACTATAGCGGCACCTACGGTATCACCACCTCTGGTAACCAGCTCAACCTCAAGTTTGTCACGAAGGGGCAATTCTCCACAAACATTGGCTCTCGTACATACCTTATGCAGGACACAAACAACTATCAGATGTTCAACCTAATTGGTAACGAGTTCAGCTTCGATGTTGATCTTTCTCAACTCCCTTGCGGTCTCAACGGAGCCTTGTACTTCGTGTCTATGCCTCAGAAGGGCCAGGGAACACCTGGTGCCAAGTATGGAACTGGTAAGTTACACTGCCACCAACCATCGAGGACGGTGCTGATGAATCTCCTTATTAAGGATACTGCGACGCACAGTGCGCTCGTGACTTGAAGTTCATTGACGGCAAGGCCAACGCCGAAGGATGGCAACCGTCCAGCAATGATGCGAACGCTGGTGTCGGCAAATTTGGCGCATGTTGGTAAGACACGCTCTCACTCTTCAGACCTTGATGCTGGTCGTGTACTAACATCAGACAGCGCTGAGATGGATGTCTGGGAGGCGAACTCTGTCTCCACTGCTCTGACTCCTCACTCCTGCCAACCTGAGGGCTACAGCGTCTGCGAGGAGTCCGGCTGCGGAGGCACCTACTCACTCGACCGCTACGCCGGATCCTGCGACGCCAACGGCTGCGACTTCAACCCATACCGTGTCGGTGTCAAGGACTTCTACGGTAAGGGCAAGACCGTTGATACCTCCAAGAAGATGACCGTGGTCACTCAGTTCCTTGGCTCTGGCAGCACGCTTAGTGAGCTGAAGCGCTTCTACATCCAGGATGGAAAGGTCATCCCTCAGCCGCAGCCTACCGTTCCCGGTATGACCGGCAACAGCATCACTCAGAAGTGGTGCGACACTCAACAGCAGGTATTCAAGGAGGACGTCTACCCATTCAACAAGTTCGGCGGTATGGCCTCTATGGGCAAGGTATGTGCTCCTCTTCTTCGTCACGCCCGGGTTACTGACGATTCAACAGGCCATGGCAGGAGGCATGACTCTGGTCATGTCGCTTTGGGACGATCACTATGCCAACATGCTCTGGCTTGACTCCTCGTACCCTACGGACAAGGATACCAGCCAGCCTGGTGTTGCCCGTGGTGAATGTCCCACTACATCTGGCAAGCCGTCTGAGGTCGAGTCTCAGTACCCGAATGCTCAGGTCGCTTTCTCGAATATCAAGTTTGGCCCCATTGGCTCGACCTTTGCTCAGCCTTCTGGCACTTGAGCACGTCAGGGGTGTATCTTACCTCGCTTCATAGCGCAGGAAAGTGCTTGTGATCCTTCGTTATCGTGTCGGTCGCTATGCGATGCGGCTCGTCTGTGTAGTTGACCTAGAGTCAACGTTCGTTCGCTACACTGGAATGGAGTGATATTGGACAAAGTCATGGCAATATATTCTTCCGACCTACCTTCATGCATCTATCCCACGTGCGCAATTGCCCAAGATACCAAGCCTTATATCACTGCCATCATGTACGTGCTTGGATGAAACAACATGCTGATCGTGGCAAATAGGATTGCTTGACCTGTCTCACGTTGCGCAAGGCGACGCTGTGATTGGCCTAGGCGACATCGGAGTTCGCGCAGGTACAAACCTCGGCCGGTGTCGACCAGGATGCAACAACACCAACAACATATTAGCATCGAAACAAAATGCTTCCCTCACTCACGGGTAATAATGCATGTGCAGATCAAGGACCGTTAATAGGCCCAGGTCTATCCGCCGTGCGAGAACACGCAGCATGCGCGGCTTCATAAAAGCAAGGAGGTCGCGCCTGCGAAACAATATCATCCAGGCCACGCGTTAATTCTCTGCGATCTCAGCAAGCACCATGAAGATTTTCGCAAGAAGTCTCCCGTGGGCAGCAGCTTTGCTCCCAGCTACATTCGCTCAGAATGCGACCATCACCCTTACTCCAGCAGCTACCGGCTTCGACTCAGACAACGCTGCATTGATCTACGCATCGTCACCAATTCTACTCGCAAACGATGGGAGTGCAGCAGATGGCGGCTTTCGCACTTTCTCAACCTCCAACTCCACAAACTCGACTATATTTACTGAGCGCTCGCATGAGCGATCCGGGCGCACAAAGATCGCTATCCCGGTCTACGACGTTGGTGGTCGGGATGTCATTTTCAACATCCCTTCACCCAACTCAGTCATCAGAGCTTACGACGTCGCGACTGGGAGCGAGATCGCAGGATCACAAAAGTATCAGTTGGGCGACTGGAGTGTAGCGCGGAACTGGCGCAGTCAAACGAGTGGGGAGAACTATGTGTTCCTGTTCGGCAAAAAGATGGTTGTCCAATTCCTCGTCAGGGGTAGCAGTGATGATGCGCAGATTCTCGAGGTACGCCAGGCTGTCTTTATTAATGCTATGCATACTAATTGTGTATCAGGTTCAAACCTTTTCGATCCCCATCGAAGGTGAAACGGCTGCTGTCTTCCCCAACGGACAGGTCTTCTTTTCTGGCGGTGAGGGCGATACATTGTATTCTTTCCAAGCTGCTGAGAGCACCACAGCACCTGAGGTCCGCACTGTCGGCGAGGATCTCAAGATCGAAGGTCTCGGTGCATACCACAGCAACTCAAGTGACTATCTGCTCATTGCACACGACGATATGATAGATGTCTATGATGCAAGCTTCAGTCCGAAGGGTTCAGCCAGTCTGGAGGGCATTGCAGACCTATCGATTGGAGGCGACGTCTCAGTACTGCAGTCTGTGTCCGCCAACTACCCCTCTGGCGCTATTGCATTTGCTTTTGAAGGCGAAGACGACACAGGCATTGCGACTGGATCTCTGGAAAGCACCCTCACATCGCTCGGTATTCAGGCAAACATCAACTTCGACCCTCACACCAAGCTTTGCGGGTACTGTGTGAGCCCTATCTCCGATGCCTGCTCGAACAACGGTTTCTCCCTGGTCAACAGCACCTGCAGCTGCTTGGCTGGCTTTGCCGGCGCAGACTGCTCGCAGATTACGTGTCAGAATGATTGCTCCGGCCATGGCAGCTGTGATGGTCCCAACGTGTGCAAGTGCGAGGCTGGTTGGGCGGGTCCTGATTGCTCATTTGTGGCGGTCAAAGCGAAGTATGAGACCGAGGCCAATGGCGGCGATGGTGACGACCCAGCTATCTGGATTCATGCCACCAAGCCGGATCAGAGCAGGATCATCACCACCACCAAGTCACAAGGTGGGGAGGGTTTTGGCGTGTTCGACCTTGAGGGAAAGCTGCTACAACACTTTATTGCGCAGGAGCCCAACAATGTCGACATTATCTATGGTCTTCCTGTTGGCAACCACAGTGTTGACCTCGCATACGCTGCTTGTCGTGGTGACAACACACTCTGGTAAGATCCCAACCATAGTAGCAACAATCAACACTTCACTAATTTCCATAGCCTGGTAGAAGTTACCAGCGATGGCTCGCTTAAGAACATCACTGGCGGCACACAGACCCTCCCTGAGGACTACGAGCCCTACGGATCCTGCACCTACCTCTCCCCTAAGACCAAAAAACAGTACCTCTTCGTCAACAACAAGAAAGCCGAGTACCTTCAATACGAGCTCTCCGCAACCGCAAACGGCACCCTCCAGACATCCCTCGTCCGCAATTTCACCGGCGGCTCAGGTGGTCAGGTTGAAGGCTGTGTTGCCGACGAAGCTGCTGGCTACATCTTCCTCGGTGAAGAGCCATCCGGTATCTGGCGCTACGAGGCTGAGCCCGACGCTTCCAATGAGGGTTTTCAGTTCGCCAAGGTCGGTGACGATGGGCTACATGCTGATGTTGAGGGCTTGACGCTCGTGACTGCGAAGAATGATACGGGTGGGTTTATTATGGTGAGCAGCCAGGGAATCAGCGCGTATCTTGTGTATGAGCGTGCGCCGCCGCATAAGTATGTTACGACGTTCACGATTGTGGATAACGAGGAGAAGGGCATCGATCATGTTACGAATACGGACGGACTTGCGGCGGTGGCGAATAAACTGAACGCTGATTTCCCGTACGGGCTTGTCGTTACGCATGATGATGCGAACGAGCTTGCGGAGGGTGGCACGAGCGCTGAGGCGAGTTTCAAGTTGACAAGTTTGGTCGATGTGTTGGGAGAGGAGAGGGCGAAGGCGCTGGGGTATTAGACAGGTTGAGCAACAGAACAGCAAGCATAGCCTTGCTTGTTAGACAACTATATCAATCAACGATTGCGTGCGCCATGCACTCTCCGAAAGATGGAAGTATTGCAAATGGCGCTCAAATTCGGTAAAGTTGCTAACGCAGCTCACAGGCACCCAACCAATTCGCGTTATGTCACTTCACTGAAGGTCATCACAACAAACAAAGCAGTGAAAGATAATGTTGACATTCAAACCAAGGTGCGTCCCTAAGTGGAGAGACACACCATGACCCGAGACAGGTCAGCAGTTCGGACCTTCGGCGTCATCACTGTGCAAGACCATAGAGCTGTCGTTCGTACAAGATATTGATGAATCAATCCTCCTTCACGCCAGCAGGCTCCGACCGAGATCTCTGCAATGCTGGTCGTGCTGTCGATCGTTTTGTCGACGGCTTCAAATGACCTCTCAGCGATACCCCCCTGTCCACTCGCGACATTGCGCGTCTCTCTGAATATCGGAGGCCTTAGGAGGGAGAGCAGTTCATGGAGTCTATGTTTCTAGGCTTTGAAGATCACTCAAACGTGGGAGTGAGCTCGCCGAAAGCCCCGAAGAGTTGAGAGGAGAACCCTGAAGCGAGACCCGAGCTGGCGGAACGCGCCAACGAAGCTTGGCCTGCATTAGCGCGTGTGCGAGCTGCTTGTATTCTACTGTAATCAATTGAGCGCTATGCCTACCCTATACAGCTGACAAGTAGGATGTGGCGCAGGTCATCGGCGGTCTCTACTGCATTTAATGTCGTTGAATAAGAGGCATCAACAGTAACTTACACTGCGTACATCTTGTCGTGCACGCTGAAACCACATGCTGGTCTCAGCTGGATGCATCGCTCGAGACGGTCTGCGGAGACGGTGACATATGTCATCGCTTGCTGGCCCGTAGCGGGAGAGCGACACAGTCCCTTAAGCCAGCCTGTCCTTGCGCAACCTACACGCTACACGAACATCCAATGTTGTTTGCACCATAGGCCTGCATGTCGCGCTTTCTGCTCCACCGCAACGCGCCCTTGGAGCAGAGCTGCCTTTCTGCTTTGCATCAATGCAATATCGCGCGATCATGTGTTGTCAGGCCTGCTCGGCCAGCCTCGCGTCACCTGGCAGGCAGGCTGCGCCTCCTACTCTGGCTGTTCGAACCGCAGCCTACCTCAACAAACGGCCTTTGCACTGCAGCACATGAAGACTGCTTCCTTGACCTCTGATTTTGTGAGCCGCTGCCTAGCACCTGCAACGAGCCTGACAGCTACATTCAACGATATTCACGTTCTTCGCGAGCGAGCCGCCTTGCCCAATCGATTCCTTCAGCCTGCTTTTAAGCCCTCCTAGACCCTCTTCTACCGCGCGCGCAAACAGATCCACACGAACCTATGCGACTACTATACACTGCAAACGATGGGAGGCTCAGCTGGACCGACGATTTGGTTGGCAACCAGATCCCCCCCTATGCGATCCTGTCACACACCTGGGATGGGCAGGAGGTAGCCTTTAAGGATCTTCAGAACCACAAAGATATAGAGGGTGTCGATGCAAAGCTCAAAGGGGGGTACCAAAAGATTTTCTTCTGCGCTGAGCAAGCCAAGCGCGATGGTCTGGACCACTTCTGGGTAGACACCTGCTGCATCGACAAGTCAAACAACACAGAGCTATCAGAAGCGATCAACTCCATGTTTCGCTGGTATCAGAACGCAAAGAAGTGTTATGTCTACCTTTCGGACGTTGAGAACAACACCTTGAATGATGAGGGCGAGTCGAAGTTCAAGCGGAGCAGATGGTTTACGCGGGGCTGGACGCTCCAGGAGCTCCTGGCTCCTAAATTGGTCGAGTTCTTCTCTAAAGAAGGAGCGCGACTGGGCGACAAAGAATCGCTGAAACACATCGTTCAGGATGTGACAGGAATACCCGTGGATGCTCTGGCAGGGAGTGACTTGTCCGAGTTTGATGTTGCTGAGCGTTTCTCTTGGGCGGGAAAACGCCAAACGACGCGTGAAGAAGACGGAGCATACTGTCTGCTAGGCATCTTTGGCATCTACATGTCGCTGATATACGGCGAAGGCAAAGATAACGCGATTAAACGGCTGCAAAAAAAGATACAGGAGGCTACCGAGGACATTGCGGGTGTTTCTGTAAGCAACATCAAAATCCACAGCCGGGACCAAGAAGGGAGGCTTGGCAAGATCTGCAGCTGGCTGTCAGCGCCAGACCCGTCCACAAACTACCACAAAGCGCACAAGCAGCGGCAGGCCGAGACTGGACTCTGGCTGCTGGATGGTCTGAAGTTCACAGAATGGAAGGAGCGTGCGGCGTCTCGACTGTGGCTGTATGGGATCCCAGGATGTGGGAAGACCATCCTAAGCTCTACCATCATCGAGCATCTGCTGCAGCACTGCTATGACGACGTCAGTATGGTGACGGCATACTTCTACTTTGACTTCAATGATACACAGAAACAAAACCCGGAGCTGATGCTCCGCTCGCTGCTCTGTCAGCTCCTGCAGCGTTCGTCTACGATATCTAAGGGCGTTGATACACTATTCTCGTCCTGCGAGAACGGACAACGCCAGCCGTCACTGCATGCACTTCTCAAACTGACACCACAGGTGATGCAACAGTTCAAGCATGCCTACATCGTTCTCGATGCGCTTGACGAGTGTACACAACGCCAAGAACTAATGAACGTGCTTGAGACAGTGGCTGGGTGGCAGCTTGACAACGTGCATCTGCTCATGACCAGCCGGAAAGAGCGGGACATCGAGACCTCTTTGGAGGATTATATCAGGGAAGAGGACGCTATCTGTCTTCAGAGGGACGTGGTGGACAGGGACATACAACAATACGTTCAACAAAGGCTGTCTGACGATAAGACTTTGGCAAAATGGAACACAGATGCTGCTGTGAGGCAAGAGATCGAGACTGCACTGATGTGCGGAGCTCGCGGCATGTACGTGTGTTTTCTAAGACCCCACAGAAACAAAGCTAACAATGGTGTATGTTCCGATGGGCCGTGTGTCAGCTCGACACGCTAGCAAAGTGTCGCAATCGAGCGATGCTGCGCAAGTCGCTGGCCACTTTGCCGCAAACGCTGGACCAGACATACGACCGCATTCTCACCGCTATAAGCGAAGAAGATTGCGATTACGCGAAACGCATCCTGCAGTGGCTGACATTCTCTGCGCGGCCGCTATCGCTTGAAGAGATTGCAGAAGTCGTCGCCATCGACGTTGCGCGCGATCCAGCATTCGACCGCAATGAGGTGCTAGAAGACCCGCTAGAAGCGTTGAACATCTGCTCCAGTCTGATCACCATTACAACGGATAATGTGGAAGGACATTCAAAGTCTGCACAGCGAATCATCGCTCTGGCACACTATTCTGTCCAGGAGTATCTTGTTTCAGACAGGATCAAGCAAGGGCAGGCAAAGCAGTACAGTATGCAAGAGGCCGAATGTCACAGAGCGATAACAAAAGGCCTTCTGATGTACCTTATCCAGATTCAGCAGCCATTATCAACAGAGATTCTTGAGGCATCCGCGCTGGCAAGATATGCAGCGGAGTTCTGGAGTAGCCATCTCCAAAACACTGGGGGCGCGACAGAAGAAAGTCTACTCGCAATGAGTCTGATGTCAACGGACAAGCCCGTATATCTCATGTGGATTCAGCTATACGAACCAGACCGTCCATGGTATCAGCCGGATCTAAAAAAAGGTCTGGAAAGGGTAGCTACGCCACTATACTACGCAGCATGCTTAGGCTTGAGTATTGTTACGAGACTGTTGCTCGACAGAGGCGCCGACGTTAACGCGCAGGGTGGATTTTACGATACCGCACTGCAGGCAGCTTCATTTGGAGGCCACGAGCCGGTGGTTGAAATGCTGCTTAACAAAGGCGCCGACGTTAACGCACAGGGTGGGACCTACGATACCGCACTGCAGGCAGCTTCATTTGGAGGCCACGAGCAGGTGGTCAAGATGCTGCTCGACAAAGGCGCCGACGTCAACGCGCAGGGTGGGACCTACGGCAACGCACTATATGCAGCTTCATTTGAAGGCCACGAGCAGGTGGCCAAGATGCTGCTCGGCAAAGGCGCCGACGTCAATGCGCAGGGTCTCTTCTACCGCAGCGCACTGTATACAGCTTCAGAAAGAGGCCAAGAGCAGATGGTGAAGATACTGCTTGACAAAAACGCCGATGTTAATGCGGAGAGTGGCCGTTACCCTAACGTACTGTATGTAGCCTCACTTGAAGGCCACGAGATGGTGGTCGAGATGCTGCTTGACAAGGGCGCCGACGTCAACGCGCAGGGTGGAGAGTACGGCAACGCACTGCAGGCAGCTTCATTTGGAGGCCACGAGCTGGTGGTCGAGATGCTGCTTGACAAGGGCGCCGACGTCAACGCGCAGGGTGGATTTTACGATACCGCACTGCAGGCAGCTTCATTTGAAGGTCACGAGCCGGTGGTCGAGATGCTACTTGACAAGGGCGCCGACGTCAACGCGCAGGGTGGATTTTACGATACCGCACTGCGGGCAGCTTCATTTGGAGGCCACGAGCCGGTGGTTGAAATGCTGCTTAACAAAGGCGCCGACGTTAACGCGCAGGGTGGGACTTACGATACTGCACTGCAGGCAGCTTCATTTGGAGGCTACAAGACGGTGGTCGAGATGCTGCTCGACAAAGGTGCCGACGTCAACGCGCAGGGTGGAGAGTATGGCAACGCACTCCAGGCAGCTTCAGCTGGAGGCCACGAGCAGGTAGTCAAGATACTGCTCGACAAAGGTGCCGACGTCAACGCGCAGGGTAGAGAGTATGGCAACGCACTCCAGGCGGCTTCATACAGAGGCCACGAGCAGGTAGTCAAGATGCTACTTGATGCAGGTGCTCATCAGTAAAATACAGACAACCCACAGGTGCGCTAATGCAGGCTCATGCATGCCAAGATACAATGGTGCGACCCGCCAGCTTGGTCTTGTCGGCAAGGATCATCTACTCCGCACTACGGCGCTCCCGGCATGCACGCTCCTGCGTTCAAGTGATCTCTAAAGCTTGGGAGGTTGATTTCCTTTATTCGCACTTTCTCCTTGGCCCTCCGATATCTTAAAAAACTCCTGAAATGACGAGCAGACGGGAGTATTGCCAAAGGGTCGTTTGACGGCGTTGACGGAACGATCAACAGCATAACCAACGCTGAGGAGATCCTGGTCGGAGCCTGTTGGTCTAGAGGATGAATAGTTTCGTTGACATCGCATTTGATCGAAAGCTCTATAGATTTGTAAATGAAGGGCTCTGAAGGCTCTGAAGGTCCGAACTGTTGACCTGTCTCGGGACATAGTGTCTCTTCACTTAGGGACGCACCTTATGGACAGGAAACAATTCCAATCAGGTCGTACGACACGCCCCACACTCGCCCACCGTGGTGACACCCTGCCTGATGTTTTTGCCTGCCGCAGGTGCAAGCAAGTGTCGAGCAGCGGCTGTGTCTCCCAAAGCAACGCTGAAGCAACGCGGATGGAAGGAAAGTGAAGTGAAAATGAATGAGAAAGGGAAGCAGTGACTGAACATGACTGTGGAGCGAACTGAAGGAAAGTGACAAAAGAGAAGAGATGTGAGTGTGAGTGTGGGTTGTTGTCAACTTCCGGAGCTCCATATGCAGGCTGCTACAACATAAGAGACGACCAACTTCCAGAGTTCCCTCAAGGAAGCCGAAATCAACAGAAGAAGGAGCTCTGTGCTAAGTTTGAATGAACGAACCCAGCGATGTTAGCATGGCTGTTCAACGTGGGTGGGAACGGACTTCGGGTGGTGGCTTCAGGTGGCGGCTTCAGGTGGCGGCTTCAGGTGGCGGCTTCAGGTGGTGGCTTCAGGTGGTTGACAGCGGAAGTTGGCATATGTGGTTGGCAACTGAAGTTGTTGAGACTGCGGCGGGTGCTGAGAGCGAGGCTGTCGAGAGCAAGTGACGGCGGAGTGGGCGAGGTATTTATGTGCGGAAGAGCACAGCGTGGCTAGACCTTGAAGGCGGCTAAAGGGCCGAATTCGGGGAGTTTGGGCCGAAAACTGGCCCAAGTCGTGGTGACGGCGAGATTGGAAGGTTGTGGAAAGTCGAGGTGAAAGTTGGTATGTCATTAGTGAGCTGGGTGCGCTGGAGACGGTGAGCGCACAGAGACTGGGCGCTGAGTCTCCCTCGGTTACCTTGGAATATTCGCTTTTGGAAGATGTTACAGTCGATGGTCCGAGTAGACGTGCGTAGTGTGCTAGTGAAGATCGTGCCCACGTGACGGGCCGATTCACATCGTTATCCAGCTTCCGACAGTCTCTTAAGCCCTAGGCTGGCCCACAAGGGTCTTCAAAATCTTGCAAATGAGCCTGAATGTTTTCACTCGTGCATTATGCGATAGCCTCCCTCGTCAAGCGAGTGCGCGTGACGGCACCATCCCTGTCCTTCACATACAACACGCTCACACCTCAGCTTTCAAAACTGAACGTCTTGTCAATCTCATCGTAAAGTTGAAATGTCTAAGGTGTCTTCAACTTGGTGCTTAGATCGAGCATACCCACCTTAGGATGGACGTAGAAGTCATCGTGTTTTCAGTAGAGCATGGCGAGACTGACCAGCGATACTGGCAAGGGCACACATACCAAACGAAGGAGAGCTTAAGAAGCTGACGATCACGATACCCCACAACAATCTGTGAGAGGCTGCGAAATAGTGGATCAAGGTTTCCCACCCTTCTAAGGTTGAAGGGTTCATCTGGCCTTGAGATCATCCTCCGACGCACTTCCAAGCCAAAACTATCCAGCACACTTTTCAACTGCACGACTATCAAGCCACGATTGCAGTTCATAACCATGCCTCACGTAACCTCCTTACAACCCAACTCCTCCAGCACCCCTAATCTTCAAATCCACTCCTCCACCACGAGCCCAAACAACGGCAAACGAGAACAACACGCATCTCAACCAGCACTCAGTGACACATTATCCGAACCTCCCCCCGAAGCTCCTGCCCAGCAGGCAGCAGGATAACGGCGCCCGGTTTATTGGTTTCACACTGCGCGGCTCTACTGTAGCCCCTTCAGACTCCGTTGCAGCCTGTGGCGTCAAACGCAAGTTCACCTGACAATACAAAACGGCGTGGATGGCGAGATCCCGAGATCCCGAGATCTCACCGGTGGTCGGCACTCGAAATACCAAGTCAAGGATTCCAAAGTTACCCTGGGCCTTGCGATTAGTCGGATTTTCGGATCACTGCGAATGTTGCCGCTGCGGGGGTGGGGAGTTGCACGTACGGTGTAGACATGTGTTTTGCTGGGACTGTTAAGCGAGCCGGGCGGTCGGGGTTGTTGGAAGTGGGAGCAGGATGGGGGCAGCTTGTGTGCTAACATCTGAACGCATTGTTGATGCGATGCGGGATGGTGGAATTGTTTAGATTGAGGTGTAATGAGTGATCGATCAGTGAATGGTTATGAGACATTGTGCAGTGACACAGAGAATCCCATGCATATCAGTGACAGCCACTCCCGGTACCGTTCATTTATAACGTTCCTCTTTTCTCTACACTGATTCTCACACTATGCATAAACACCGTGTGGTCCCCAACAACTATATTTATCCCGTCCATACAGTTCCCATTGTTTCCCCATACTCACATAACACCTCCAGCTTGCACATCTGCGCCATACTCACAGGCTACACTAGTAAACATGCCACGCTCCTCCAAACTCACGCGCGCAAAGACGCCCAACCCTACGATTGATAAATATACAATCCGGCGACCAGACTCAGCACGACACACAACGTGGCGCTGCTGTTGCGGCGCTCAGAACACGGGGGATGACTTCCCACACCGGTGTACTCGATGCAACCATTTCTGGTGTGACGTCTGTTGTGGCTAGAGGTAGGTAAAGTTGTCAGTCAGTAGCGCATGGTGCGCATTGTAAGCATCTTCGTAAATATTGTGTAGTCGCCTGGTGTGGCCAAATCTGTTGATCCAACATACTGTTTGTAAGAACAACATGTTTGCCATGTGCGCCGTGTGGTGGTGTTCAATTGTAATCGTGGCCTTATCACGAGCTCTTCGTTTCTCAAGGGGTATCTTCCACTTTACTCTTCGTCTGTACATCATCCTCCAACTTCAGCGACTCAACCTGTCTTGCACCATCAACATCCACCGGCCCCAACCCCAGCAAGCCAACAAGCGCCTCATCATCAATAACATCTCTCATCTCCGGCTTCGAGCCTGGCTGCTGTCCGTGTGCAGCCTGCAACCTCAATTCCGCAATCTTAGCATCATCGTACTTGGTAAACACCCTCTGATTCTTCTTCTCCGGCTTCGCATGCTCCTCAGCTTTGAACTGATATCCTCTCACTCTCGGCCCCTGGCCCGTCTTCTCGGGCAGCGCAGACTCGTAATATCTTTCAAACGCTGCAACGTCGGCGCCGAATGTGTCTGCATCGATGGAAGCGCGGATACCAGCGAAGAATGAGGACAGGACAGCGTGGTTGTGGATCTGGATGAGCGCCCAGCCAAGCATTTCTTTCGCGGCGAGGAGGTGCTGGACGTATGCGCGGTGGTGGGTGGTGCATGCATAGCACTCGCAGCCTTGTGATAGCGGGGTGACGGATGTAGCGTGTGTGTCAGACCACATGTCCAGCCCTAGATCTTGCCGCGAGCTGGTGGTTGTGTCTTTAGGCGGGGCGGGGAAGGTGAAGTCAAGCGCGATGCCGGCGTCGGTTGCGTCTGTCAGGAAGGGGATGGTGAACATGTCCATGCCTAGACCGACTTGCCGGAGGATCTCGTGCGGGCTGGCGGGCGCGTGGAAGGAGAGGCGCGGCAGGTGGTGGAGTTCCTCAGATAGATCGTCGAGGAGGTAGGCGTCGTAGATGGCTACACCGGAGATCTTGTCGGCCATGTCGTCGACCAGGTGCTCGAGGTACCAGCTCTGCAGGTCGCGGTCTATGGGCAGAATAGGCGCGAAGATACCCCAGCTTGGTTCCTCCTTGTCCAGTGAGGCCTTCTTAGCAATCATGTCGCGCGTCCATTCCTCTGTCCGATCGCTCATCTTGTCCTTCCTCTTGATCCCTATTGCTTCCTGGCCAAACGGGATATCGGCCAAGCCGACCACGATATCTGGTTGCAATTTTCGAGCGGCGGCGGCATAGTACTCTGAGCTCAGGGCCTTGAAGCCGACAGACGTCAACACACCCAGCTCTTTGTTCGTGCTGTGTATCGGGGACGGTATAGGCGGGTTGCGGCGCGGGCCGAGGACGAGGAGGGTGTCTTGCGGGAGGGCTACGAACTTGCGTAGCGGCTGCGGAACATCGTATTGGAACACTGGCGGTGTCTTCTGCGGGAGCTTCTCGATGACTGCAAAGGTCAGCGAGGAGCTACGTCATTGGTCATGGGCGTGTTTACAGTCTTCGAGCGCGAGGTATACGCCATTGAGGTTCAGAGTTTTCGAGAAGTTGTCCTGCGATATGTGCGGAATGACGCCGCGCGACGTGTTGCCAATGAAGCCGGGCGTCAGTATGCTCTTGCGCTTGGGGAGAGAGAGGCGGCCGAGGCGTGGTCCGAGCGTGACTGTGGTTTTGAGGAGCGTAAAGTCGAGCATTTCGGGCGGCAATTGGTCGGGCTTCGGTGCAGAAGCTGACCCGGGCAACAGTGCGGAGAGCAGCTCCATGGCACGAAAATGTACAGGAAGCGCTGCGATCAGCTTAAGTGTCGTGGGCAACTTTTTGGTGTTTCGCGGGGTCCAATTCACCGAATGGCGCGCTAAAATCAGGGTCCACCACGGCGCGTCATCTTCTCTCGTCTGCATCGTACATCATCAATCTTCGGTTACACTTCGCTGGGTTTTGAAGATACCGTTTCGAACGCGTCAATACCAATGAGGATACCAATGCATCAATGCACACATTATAGAGTGCTGGAGCTCAGTCAGCATCAGCAAAGCAGTCTGTGCGCTTCTGCCTGATTTGATACTTATTGACTTGTTGATACAAGGACTGCTACCTTGTCTTTTTCTCGTCTTCGTCCTCTTCCTTTCGCTCATTGGGCAAGCACCTTGACTCGCTCATCATGCCAACTCCACGATGGCTTCAGCATCCAGTCGCCGTTTTCCTCCTTCCTCTCATTACTTTCCTATGCCTCCCACAACTCTACAAGCTTCTGCCCTATGGCACGGACCCTTCATACGATGATACTAAACTGCAGAGGATCGCAAGTCTGATGGATGACATATACTCCATCCTCGTCAACTCGACCTTCATTCCTCACAATGCTATCACCCGCGGTCCACATCTCATCAACACAACAGCCATACCATGCAAACCCAGTGCCTCAGTGCTTCGCCTCATGGAGCTTCTGCCGTACGTCGATCTCTCGCTAGTCCAAGAACCTGACTGGATATACGGCGGGCACTTCATGGACTACCGGAACCCAGAACACCTTGCAGGACTCTGCGACCCCTTACGTGGGCAGAGTATTGGATGGACTGACTACATGGCGCCCTCCGATGTTGCATTGACGAACTGGGGTACCGGAGGATGGAACAACGATCGCACCTGGGTAATGATATACAACACCGAAAGAGACGCGATCAGGATCTTCGATGCTGAGATGTGGATAGAGGAAACTCAAGCCCAACATGAATTTGGCGAAGAGATGGAAGGCTGGTGGTTTGAGGACATCGGTGAATGGGGGATGTGGTCCAGAGAAGATGGCGCACCACACATCCTGCGCGCTATCGCGAACAACTACCGGAGTCTGAAGTGGACGCCGTGGCGTACATCAAATCGAGAAGAGGGCTTCGGCGTCCCACCGCAAACCATCGAGACACTTCTCCAACGCAATGGCTGGCCGAATGTATTCAATTCTGATCATTTCAATGCTGAGTTCATCCGCGCGCAACATAAGCCATCGGGCAAAGGCCACGCTGAAGCAGCACACAGGCTTATCGACAGTCTTGCAGGCTACAACAGGACCATCGTGGAAGACGACATCACCTCATACGAAGCCGACCCGGGTCGTATTTACTACATGCAACAGAGGCTCCATCATCACCGCGAAGCGCTCGCAAAGTCCGCAGATATGGAAGAGCAACAATTGCATGAGTGGCGCATCCAGCGAACCACCTGGGCTCTCAAGGATTTGCAGGCCGACCTTGAAACTGCACAAGCAGAAGTCGCAACGCTTTGTCCAGACGGTGCTTGCGTGAAAGAGGAGGACATGATCTTGTGGGAGTTTGTGGCTCTGCAACGCACGCACGAGGAAGCACGGTATACTAACTCTAGCAAGAAGTGTGAACATCAACTTTTCTATTACCCTTCCAATGATCCGGAATGGCTAGAGAAGTGCATCAAAAACAAAGCCACTAAGCGAACATGGCTAGACATGGCGTTTGAGCAGTCACAAACCGAAGCTTTAGCACACTGCGAAGAAACCGGCTGCGAATTGGTTCCCTTCCAAGATGTCTTTAGCCGTGTGCGAAACAAGATTGCGGAAATCGAACGTATCATTGTCAGCGACACCGCGGGACTCGAACGGATGGAAACAGAATATCAGCACAAAATCCCAGAATTTGGAACAAAAGCGAGGAATGAATTTGCAATGGACGATTCTGCGTTGGCGAACGGGAGATGGTATCTCAAGGACAAGATTGAACTGCTTGAGGATGAGATGGCGAAGTTGGAGAGGGGCGAGGGGTCTGAGAGGGAGAGGAAGTGGCTGTTTGACTATCTGAGGGATGATGATGAAGACTAAGGGAGGTCGCACCTTGCCCGGTAGTGATAGGAAATGGCTGGAAACAGCCGAATCTGACAGACGGACCAACCCCTTTTGCCATGTCACAGGCTCTACCGGCTCGCAGCAATCAGCGGCCGGCTCAGTCATTGGACCCCAGTACAAAGGATTACCACAACGACACCTCAACCACTATCCAGCCTACCGCTATGGAACTGCATGACTAGCGTACCGATATCTGACTTTAAATACGGCGACGCATCCGACGCGCTTCGCATATGGCTGTACACCATACGGCAGACCGTCGCATCTATACCGAATTGATCTGTCGCGCTAGCGCGAGCTACCCGCCGCATTTCTCTATCGAGTTCAGATAGTCGACAACGGGTTCGAGGATGTCGCATCCCCAGCTTATTCCGACCCATGACTCGTCGAAACTGTCATTGCTGCGCTTCAGACCATGAAATGTTGGTTGAACTTCTGCGGGTGGTGGAGTGATAGAGCAGACAGAAAAGGACGAGATTTGCGTGTCTTTCCTGATGATCGAAAGCTGCAGTGCGCGCAGGAGGAAGCTTACGCGGTGTTGCACTTTGCAATTCAGTACGGTAATGCGGTCGACGAGGCTGTAAGAACCTGTTTGGGCGACAAGTATAAAATGTAGGAAAAGATAAAGGATGGGATGACGGTAACTGAGGATCTGGTCTATTGATCGAGTGATGGATGTGTTGGCCATGCCACGCTCAAAGCAATCCACACGCGTCGCGATCCTGTGGTCCGATAGCAATCCAGTCCGTGAAGACATGAAGTTTAACAAGGATGATCAGGCCAAGGAGCTGGCATCTACACCTCTTCGCAACCTTACAATGACGCAACCTCAATGTTCACGGCAATTCTGTTTGGTTCGTTACGCAATTCGCGACCTGCATCAGATCTAACCAGCTATCCAACAGACCAAATACACAAGAGTAATCACAATGCATTGGCTTGACGAGCTGCCTCTTTGGCATTGCATCACCGGCTTGGCCACTAACAACGCCAGAAATGCTAGCAAGCCTTTCGGCCGATGGACGTACTCCGTTCGGCAGATCGTTGCTTTATACCACAAGGACTACATCCAATGGCTCAGGTTGCCAAACAAGTACCCAGCACAATGCTGCTTAGTTGAGTCTACAGATGACCGTCCCCAGCGCATCCCAACTGCCAAACTTGTAGCACACGTCATTGCTATGCTCGTTAGAGCCACGTATTGCCGCTCCACTATGAGGCCTATTGCGACGACGATGATCAGGGTGCCGGTACACATGACAGACCGTGGGATGTGGAGCAGGGAAAGCTGAAGGAATTTGTGGTTCTGCATTTTGTCAATCATTATCGAGCTGAGGTGGACAATGCGTTGAGGAATTTACTCGGGAAGATGTATGAGAAGTGGGAACGGAATGAGAATGGACTTGCAGTTCCAGGAGACTTGGTATCTTGAGAGTTTGGTGTTGTTCACATATCAGGAGGCAAGATGCGCGACCGGCGTAGGAGAAAGACCTGTGAAGGTTGTCGAGTTTATTTATAAGTGGAGTATGCAATACAGAAGATGTCCCTGACGCCAACCTAAATCACCATCGTTATTTCAACGTGATGCTGTTGATGAAGTGGCACCCCTCATTCAGTTCCAGTACTCGGCACCCAACTCACCACCAAGTCCCACATCGTCACCCTCCATAACGATCCTCCTAACCACCACACCAACAACATCGAGCTTACTATTCGTCGGCTTAACATCAAGTCCAGAATCCCTCCTCTTCCCGCTCTTATCCTCCCCACCGACCTCCCTCACAACCTCCCAAGTCTTCAAACCCGTATCAACAAGCCTAGCACGCTTGTAGCTAGCGTTACTCACAGCCCTGACCGCAACAACAAACCCCGCCTCGTCCTGCTCGCGGATCCACCTCCTCGCGCTATCATCCTCAGTCCAGATCTTCTTCAAACTACTCTCCGGATCCTTAAGCAGTCTAACCCGCTGCTCCTCCGCCTCAATAGTGCCCGCCTCCTGGCCCGGCGCAAGAGCTTTCTCAACGAGGTGTGCGCCGCCGAAGGACTCGACGAAGTTACCAGTGTTGGAGTCGAAGAAGATGACGTCTTTGTACCAGCGTGTGCCGATGTCGTCGTAGTCGCGGTCGTGCAGAGTAGATGGGGTCAGCTTGGAGCTGCGGGAGACAAGTTGGCCGCAGGGGAGCGCATCGGTGGAGAGTGGTTGTGGGAGGATCGAGAGCTCGGGGATGATGCTGGGAGAGAGGGGCTCGCTGAGGTGGGAGGGGCGGCGGGAATATTTTGCTGCCATGTTGGTGTTTGGTTGTTATGGAAGAAGGCTGAAGTAACGAGAGGTTTATGTGGCTTCAATTGAGCTTTTGGTAGGAGATTGGATATTGAAAAGGTGCTTTGGAGCTGGAGAAATGGTGTGTGAAGCTGATTGAGGCTGTTTTGTAGCTATGCTAAGCTGAGGGGAAGCTCTCGTGAGGGGTCACAACAAGCTCTTTATGTGACTTCATTTGTACCTCTAACCTGCAGCGACCCCGCCCGGCACCGCCGTCGGTGCAATTTTCGCAGGTCACGCTCATGTCGCGGCTACTTTTGGAAACGCTGGAATGTGAGGCCATGCGCAATGACTGTTGTGTTCCATGGACAATATGGTGGTGTGACGGAAGCCTCGTGAGTCGCGTGAGGTTGGTGATGCGGTCGGTACCTGTATACTTTCGCTAAATTCCGGGTGGGGCTGTGGGTTGCGTGCTCCTTCCCGGTGTCGCCCGATCGTTCCTGCGCTGCAAGACACTTGCAACCGTTGCAGCTGGCGACGCCATCCTCTGCTGACTGTGCACTGTGCGGTGGCATCATCCTCAAAAGCCTTGGGTCTCGTGCTTGACTTTGTGACAACAACTGCTCTGGCTGCGTCCTAGCACTTGCCTAGTTTGTCGTCGTTCTTGCACTATTGTACCAATTGTCATTCGACTGAAGTCACGAGAGCGAACACTCAGCTATGATAATCATACATCAATGCATTCGCTCCAGGTATAGGTATACGATCTTTACCTCCGTGTCCTCGATACAAGACCCCCTACCGACTTCAGTATCAAGCGTCAGCTGCGGCCTTTTGATGATGCGACGAAGGACGTGCCTCAACCTCATACGCTCACCGACAAGTTCGTGATCAATGGCCATCGAAATCATTCCTTTTGCCAATGGGTCGAACATCTATTGCACGCAAAAATTCATCTGCGCATGATGCCGCTGTCCTAACCACCGTCTCGCTGCCCTGCTGTATGGTCCTACGAAACCTACCGGACGTTATTTGATCTTTTTGACCAGTTGTATACAACATGCTTTGGTCATAATCTACATTCACACGCTCGTAACTTCGGCGTGCCGCTGTAAGTGTTCATACGCGTTTTCAACTCACTTGTGTATGAAATCGCGACGGCGTTCCGCAACCCTTTGGGATACCTCCACACTGCAGGACCCCACATTTAGACCATCGTCAATTTTTCGAAACGATTCACCTGGCTTGACACGATATTCGGTTGTATTTGTACTCCCCTTCCAACTCAAACATTTACGTCACACAAGGACATCAGTGGAAGAGCTCACATCCCCAATTGGAGTGATTCTGAAGTTCGGAATCTGCACAGCCTGTTCCGCATCAACTTCCGGACTATCTTTCAGCCGCCACCTCGTTATCTGCCGTGTGTCATGCGCCACCCGTGCCTATCCTCACTTCCTCGACCTATCTAGGGCTTTCCCCGCTCCTATCAGTGAGGATTAGGGCAAAGGCCCAGAGCAGTCTTCTTTCCTGTTCATGGTGGATTTGAGTGGTGGCTGCACCTGCACCTGCATCAGAACCTTCACGAGGGACACTCACCACTTCTAGTCAACCGTACACAGTGATTTCATCCAATATCCACCGTCGGTGAACTTGACCACTGCATCCTGGAGCTTCCGAAACGACCTTAACAATGTCTAGAAGGTTGTTGGCCAGAGTTTCACCAAGACCGGACGATACTAGGGATGTGCACTAACCCCCGCATTTCACGCGTGCCCCTGTCAAACTAGCGAACGAACGAGCAGCCCCAGTCTGTGTGGACAGTTACCGTACTTCCGGAACATTTCCGCTCTACTTTGTTCTGGCATATCACTATCTATCACTATGCACGTATCAAGGTCCACCAGAGATAGGTGACCTGAACATCGACCTTATCTTTCATCAACTAACACCGACCTTATCTTTCACCAACTAACATCGACCTTATCTTTCATCAACTAACATCGGCGCTTGTATAAGTTCTTGGTCATTTACTCGAAAATATGACAGAGATCCACTCAAAACCGACCCACGAACACATCAAAATGGCAGACTCAGTGGCAGATCCGGATACCAAATACTTCGCTACAACCACAGACGATGATGATCGCCTGGCTCAACTCGGTCACGTCCAAGAGTTGCAAAGGAATTATTCGATATGGTCGCTGGGCAGTCTTTGTCTCTGTCTGATGGCAACTTGGGAAGCCCTGTCGACAGTCATCGCGACTGCGTTAGCTACGGGCGGTGCCCCTTGTCTGTTCTTCAACCTGTGAGCCATCATCCATCAGGAATCTAGCGACAGGACCAACTCTCACATTAGCAGGCTCGTCTCAGTCATCTGTACAATTGCAATTGCTTGCTCCTTGAGTGAGGTTGCTTCCATCTACCCAACTGCAGGAGGTACGGCGCAATCCCAAGACCAGATGATACATTGGCTGACACTCAGATAGGACAATACCACTGGGTTGCGGCACTCTCTCCACCTTCGTCTCGAGCAACAGCGTCATGGTTCACAGGATGGATCAATGTCGGAGGACAAATCGTCCTTACTGCATCTGCTGCATTCGCGGCTGGTCTTCAGCTTCAAGCGTTGATCATCTTGAACGATGACTCTTACGTCCCAGCAAGATGGCAAGGTCTTCTATTTTACTGGCTCATCTTGCTATACGCCGCTGCAACCAACATCTGGGGTTCGAGGATTCTCCCTACTGCCAATCTGCTTTCCGGTAAGCAACCCGTAGCCGCAGACTTCCCCGATACACTAACCAGATTCAGGTGTACTGCACATGGCAGGCTTTCTTGCCATCCTGGTGACACTCGGTATCATGGCGCCCAAGAACTCCACTTCTTTCGTCTTTACAGAAGTATCGAACTCGAGCGGTTGGTCCAGTGACGGCATCTCGTGGCTCGTCGGTCTCCTCTCCTCTGTATACCCACTGCTCGGATACGACGCCGCATGCCATCTTGCCGAAGAGATGCCTCATGCTTCGCGCAATGTTCCTTTGGCTATGGTCGGCTCGGTCACGGTCAATGGCGTCCTCGGCATTGGCTACTGTATCATGCTCCTCTTCTCGGCCGGCACATTGGATGTTCTGCTTGCCACGCCTACCGGGTTCCCATTTATGCAGATCTTCCTCGATGCGACTAGGTCCGCAGCCGGTGCGACTGTTATGAGTTTGGTCATCACCCTCACTGCGATTGCAGCTACGGTGGCCGGAGTAACATCAACGTCCCGTACCGTTTGGGCCTTTGCACGTGATAAGGCCACGCCATTCGATCGCTACTTCGCATATGTCAATCACTCGTCTCACGTCCCAGTCCGCGCTGTCGTTCTTATTACAATCTTGCAGATGCTTCTCGGCTTCATCTACCTGGGCAACTCAACCGCCTTCAACGCCATCCTCTCGATGGCCATCCTCGGTCTCTACACTTCCTACCTAATCCCAATCATCTACTTCATGATCCACGGTCGTCCCAAGATGGCAAAACATGAGTTTGGTTTTTTCAAGATGCCTAAGTCATTGGGCTTAGGCCTGAATCTTCTGTCATGCGCTTGGCTCGTCCTGGCGATCATCTTCTCAACATTCCCAACTTCCATGCCCGTTACTGCGCAAAACATGAACTACTCCACCGTAGTCATGGTTGGCTGGGTAGTACTTGGCGGGATCTATTACATCATGTTGGGCAGGAAGAAGTTCGAAGTCCCCATGGTGGACCGCGAGGCGCGTGGCTTTTGAGCAGAGTGACTTCTATTCCGAGCGTAGTGCGCTATGATTTGTGTGCAATGCAACTATTCCAAGTATACTCATTTAACATCTCGTCCTCCAACAGCAGCTTTATCCAAGCTTACATCTTCCCCGCCATAGCCTTAGTAAACAACTCTATGGGCGCCGGCCCCTTCACACCTGATGTCTCCTCGAGGTCAATATTCGGATCGCTCTTCCCCATCGCCGTCTTATACGCCTGCCTCTCGCCGAATCTCTTCACCCACGCCTGGATACCTTCATACTCAGTCAAATCAATTGGCTCAAACTTCCGCATCGTAGTCAAGCACCAGCCCGTCATGACGTCTGCTGCCGTGAATTCATCGCCGGCAAGCCATTTGTGTGACAGCAAGCGGTTGTTCATGTGGTGCAAAGCATTCTTGACCCGTCCATCCGCGCCCAGATACCGGGCGTCTGTCGAGGAGTTTGGGATGGCGCCGCGCAGCATCGCGCGTCTGAAGATGGCGGGCTGCAAGGTGGAGTTGGAGAAGTGGAACCAGTAGAGATAGTCTGCAAAGTTCTTGTGCGAGGGGCCTAGGGCGAGCTTCCCGTTGGCGTATTTGCCGATGATGTACTCGACGATTGCACCGGACTCGGCCAAAGTGATGGGATTGGACGGGTCGGTGTGGTCTTCCAAGATGGGAGAAGCACCGAGAGGGTGCTTGGATTTGAGCTCTGGTGGTGAAAGGAGAGGCGAGCGCTGGTAGTTCACAAGCTTGTAAGGGATCTCGAGCTCTTCCAGGAGCCAGGGAATGCGCTCGCCTTGGCCGATTTGGAGATGGTGGACTGTAAAGTTTGGTGTTGCCATTTTGTTGGTCGTGGTGGTTTGTGAAAAAGGCTCTGATGGTGATTAGAGTCGAGGAAGCTTGTGGAGACTGGATTTGACATTTCGTCGCGGATCATGTCTTTATGTACTCTGGTCATCCTCGGTGGTTGTCGGCTTTGGTGGACGTGATCCACTCTGTAGACGCGTTTCCCGCTGACGGTGATTTGGCGATTCGACTCGGGTCCATGACGTCGCTTTTACCTTCTCCTCTTATCCTCCTCACCTCCTTCCTATCTCGAACTTCAAATACGACTCCAACAGTAGGCACCTATGAAACACACATGCAATGATCGCTCAGAAAGGTAGTCCATTCGTGATGCTGACACAGCCCGTCACGTGTGTTCGGCCGAAATTGCATGATTGGTAGAGACCACTCCGCTCTCAACCTTTACGATGCGGCTCATCCTGTTACAACACCACAACAAGTTTCCGAACGTTGCAGCAACAACTCTTCGGATGCTGCGATATCCGACAACGCAGGCAACAACTTTGCTGGGTGGAGCCATACGGACGAATGCGTTCCAGGTCCGAACGGCAACGCCGACAACATGGATCCAGTTTTTTCTCCTTTTAAATTCTCAAGAAGATCCAGAGCATGCAACTGCAAAGTCGCCTGACATGTTCGCGCTTGTTGACAATTGCAAATCCTAACATCACAAGGCTTAGTAATGAGCCTGCTGATCGTTACAAACAATCTTGTCAAATTTATATAGACAGATAATTGATGGTGCGCATAGTTACCAGGAGACACAGCTACCGATTTCTACCATTGAATCGATGAATCTATAGAGGATGTTTCTGATGGTATTCTGATGATATGCTGATTGTTGACCAACAATAACAGCTGAAGAAACTAGAACTACTCAAGAGCCATCTGTGGCATTATTGCTGATTAATTAACAGGCAAACTTGATTGAATCTCAGAAAGATGCTCGAACCCTGTGGGAAGCTACTCTTAAGAAGTATCAATAAAGATGCATTTTAAGCAAAGAACGTGACATACGATTCAAAGGTGATGAGGATAACAGCAACAAAGCGGACAGCTGCGGTAACGAAGCAAGCACTGATGCGGACAATCTGTTTTGGTTCCTTGATCTGCCAGCAGAGCTCTGCAAGTTCGTCTACGTTTTCTATTGCAAGGACGATTGAAAGACGCACAGCCGCGAATACGCGAGGCAGCCTAAGCATCCACGTTACTACGGAGGAAAAGCCGCAGGCTCATATCGTTCGCCGCCACCGCATAGCAACAACAAGGTTCTGTGCCAACAAGTTCGAAAGCAACTGATAGACCCTGACTCTTCTCCTGCCGGTACTCTGACAGCCTACAATCAGCACGAATTTCAACGGCAGCACAAAAGAGATTGCCCTGACCGCAAACATGAACACCATCATGAAACAGATATGGGTAAGGCCAATGCATGAGGCAACCTTTGTGAGAGTCTACCGCTGCTCTCACTAACGTCACGCCAGCTTTTCCGCGAAAGTTGGCCTTTCAGCTTCCTGGCTGGTCCTGGTCACCTGAGCTTTGAGGTTGCTAACAAAAATTTCAGCATCTTTCTGTTTCTGCCACTTGTACAGTTTTTGCAGCGTTAAGGCATCAATATCAACAGTAACATGGTAGACATGACAACCAAAGACAACGAAGATTAGGGGGTTGCATTGGCTGCAAGAAATAGCGCCTTGAGCTGCTTCACAAACACTAGATCAGAGTGGCGCAAGCAAGAGTGGGAAGACGACTACAACTACGTGTAACGCGACAAAAGCACACTTGGAGCTTACATGTTCTCTCTGCGTCAGGTCGTAGCATTGTACCATGTTAATGTCTTAGAGTGGCAAAATCTCTGGAGTGAGTGATTGCAAAGATGTGAAGTCATAACAGCTGACGAATGAGTCTGGCCGCTTCCAGATTACGAGGTAGTCATTGCGATCATGGAAGTCATCAACAAAGCACTCGAGTATCGGTTCGGACACAAAGGCCACTACGACAGAGGTATATACGAGGCTACTATTACTGGATATCGATCAAATTTGGATCGATTCGTTGTGTATTGTGCAAGATGATCTCGAATATTGGAATATCCAGAGTCTGCAAGTTGGAACTGACGATATCATCACATACTGATACCGAAGTTTGGTAGAGCGTTCACTCCAGATCATTACACCCACCCAATGAGCCCGACTTGCAATCCACAAGAACCTTCGGCAAACGCCTAACACCTATCATGCATCAGTCAAATAGCATCAGGAAAACAAAGATGGACAAGAACGTTACGATATTGTAACATCGCTCGCCTCATCTCCGTTTTGCTGCATGTTGACATCCTCTCCTCCAGCCAAGACCTTTGTTTGCACGTTCGCATCCATTGGGCCAACGCCAGGCGTTGTGGCTGCAACATTGCCCTCCTCGTCGATGAACTCGAAGTTGTAGCGCGAAAGGAGGTGAGGAATCGCCGAGAGCTGAGGCCCGTAGCGCGCGGTGTTGTCGTAGAGCTCGAAAAGCGGGACGGCGAGAAGCTTCATGTTCTTGGGTACACTGAGTACCTCTGGTACGAGATTAGCATGCAATCAATACACAGGGGTCAGGTGACGTACTGCTGCGCGGCAGCTGGATGAAGTACAGCTTCTTGCACTCCTTTGGCCGTGTGACGTGGGCGGGGATGAAGGGGTACATGAACGTCTCAAAGTTTGGGCGCCACCACTGCGCCAATGTGTCACCGACCTGCCACTCGTCGTTGACGCCCTCGCCTGTGAACTGCGTGCCGACGGGTGCGAGGCGCTCGTTCAGGCGCGCCTTGAAGCCTTCGATCTCATCGTCTTCAGCACGGAGGTAGTCGCCGGGGCTCGCTGATGTCAGCATGGTCTTCATTGTAGTGGCGAGAAGACGTACAGCTTAAAGAAGGCATTCGCGATCTGCAGCATGAGGATGTGCGGGTGGTTGTGCTCGTGGCAGACCAGAATAGCCTCGCTCGTCCGTCGCATGCCATGCTCGTTGTAGTGCTCTTCGAGCCGCTTCAGGCGCGCAAGTACTGAAGGATCTTCCTCAGGTTGGCCATCTTTGGTGCCGAATGTGTAGTTGCTGAGGGGATATAGGCGGATCGTCTTGGGCTGGTTCGCATTGAAGTCCTTTGGCAAGATGGGGCTGTCCAAGGTCAGCTTGGAGGAACCTGATTCGGCAGGATCCCTACGGGTATGAGCTCTGGGAAGCGTTCTGCGTTATTGTCGACATGCTGCTTGCTGTTGTGTTCAAGTGATTGAGTCGGGAAGCTTCGCGACAATCGGCGCCAGCAATCGCGACCCTGAGGCGGTGACAGGGATATCAGACTCGCTTGACGGGGCATGTGGGGCTTCGACTTTCACCAGGGTTCGACGACCCTGATGTCATTGGCCAAACAAACAACAACAATCATGACATCGAGCACAAGCTTCCCTCCCATACTAGTCTTCGATGCTGTCTCCGGAGAGTATCGAGACCCGAGCGATTCTGCTGGTACTACTGCCAAGGTAGATGCGCCTACACGCACCGTGTTGGTCACTGGAGGTACTCAATCTGAATGAAATCATACGAATAGCTTACTGATGGAAAAGCACAGCCAGCGGTCTCCTCGGCCGCCAAGTGCAGCGCCAGTTCGCGAGAGCAGGATGGAGAGCCGTTGGCACAGGCTTGAATCGCATCAACCCACCAGATGTTGTGAAGCTCAACATTCTCAACGTGAAGGACATCAATAGTGTACTAGACGATGTGAAGCCCAATGTCGTTGTCCATTGCGCCGCAAATCGCTTCCCAGACTCGTGTACCGCCAACCCAGCAGCTGCTCGCAACATCAATGTGCAAGCCAGCCGGGCATTAGCTGAGGCCACCGTAGCTCGAGGCATCTTCCTGATCTATATCTCCACCGACTACGTCTTCCCAGGCCGTCCGGGCGAAGCGCCCTACAAATCAACCTCAGACCCGGATCCACCAAACGTGTATGGCCGCACCAAGCTCGAAGGCGAGCGCGCCGTACTCGACGTAGCAACCCAAGCAAACGCCCGCAACAAAGCTGTCGTCATCCGCGTTCCCGTCCTCTACGGCTCCTGCGACGAGCCCAAAGAGAGCGCCGTCAACGTCCTCATGTCTCAGCTCTGGGCTGCGCAGAAGCTCTCATCATCAGAACCCAAGATCCAAGTCGACGACTACGCGCTGCGCTTCCCTACCAACACGGAAGACGTTGGACGCGTGTGCCGCGATGTATCAGACTTCTACCCCAGCACAGAGAACGCAGGCAGGGTACTGCCGAAGATCTTGCAGTTCTCAAGCGAGGATCAGATGACGAAATGGCAGATTGTGCAGACGTTTGCTGAGATCACGGGACTGCCGCTCGATAACCTTGCGCCGTCGAAGCCGGAAGACGAGCCTAGTGATGGGACGACCCGGCCGTATGATTGTCATCTAGACACCAGTGAGCTCAAAGATCTAGGAATTGATGCGAGTACCGTTGGGTTCAGGGAGTGGTGGTACGTGTTCTGGTCCGATATGAGTGATTGGAATACTAACGACACAACAGGAGCAAGGAACTCGGTGTGTTCCAGCGATAAGCATCTCGACGGTTGCAGCAATACCATACCCCAGTTCTAACCCGCTTTTCGGATGGTCCTAGTGGATCTGGCATTGCTCTGCCTCAGCCATGGTCTTGCGGACAGGCTGGAAAGAACGTCCTTATTCTGGCCCGGGATCGTTTGCTCGTGCCCAACACTCCGAAACAATCTTCACGCTACAAACTTCTGGCCTTGAACAATGACGTGAGGTGTTGGATTTATTTCTCCACGATTTTCAAGGAAGATTTAAGTCTGATTCTCGGCTTAGATCAACCCCCTGCACGTCTACTCGCAAGCCGCCCTCAATCATGTCTCCATGCCAAAGTTTAGCTCGCAGGAAAACTGCATAAAATCTATCACGTGGTTCTATCTGAATGATGTGAAATCTTCTGAACACTCCCCTGTCCTACGCAGCAGCCTGCACCAATGTCTCCTTCCCCTCTGTCGCACCCACCTCAAACGCTCCCAGACTCTGACAAGTGACCCCAATCCTCTTCTCTTCCCCCGTCGGAGCTGAAAACAGCGCCTTAATCCTCTGCAGATGCTCCTCCCTCGCCTCCCTCCAACTCTCCGAATGCCCCTCCAACCTCCTCTTCCCCTTCCTCTCCAAATCCGCATTCACCCACTCCAGCAAGTCATCAACATACTCCTCCTCCTTACCCCTGAGACTATGAAATACCTTGCCATATCCTTTCGTTTCGACTCTTTGATCGTATTCACGCCTCATGTTTTCTTCTCTCGGCAGCGTCGCAAGCCCAGCAAACACCTTTGCAACAACCATCGCCTGGAAGTCGAATAAAGTGAATGTTGCGGTGAAGAAGGGCACGCCAACGAATGCGAGACTGGGATCCGGGATGTAGAAGATGTCTTTGTGCAGGTTGTGGAACATCGTGCCGTCTGTGACTAGTATTCTTTCGTCTGCACGGTGCACGGGCGTGGTGTCGGAGTGCAGGTGCGGGAGGAAGGGGAGCATGATGTGATATCCGGTGCATAATATCACATGATGTATATCGCACAGCTTTTGTCCGGATTTCAACGTAGCGGTCAAGGGGATTGGGTCAGAAGGGTGGAGGGTGGAGGTGGTGGTGTCAGTTGGGAGTTCGAAAGAAACAACTTCATCCACCCGGATGCCGTTCTCGGGCAGCAGGGAGGCAGACAGATCGAATGTGCCGTTGCGGTGGGATTGGTAGATTGTGTGTGCGATGGGGCCGAGTTCGCGGGCGATGTCGGTGGAGGATACGGAGCCACCGATTAGTAGGAAGTTCTAAACTTCGTCAGTTTCTATTCCGAGAGATACGATTGCGAGGTAGAGGTGGACGCGTACTTTGCCTTGAAAGTCTTCGGGCTTGCGGTAGCCTTTGGAGTGCTGCACTCGGCTGGGATATGCGCGCTTCCAGTCTGCTAGGCCAGGGATATCTGGTACTCTAGCGGCGTGGTAGTGGCCTGATGCTACGACTACGGCATCGAATTCCTGATTTCAAAATCAGACAGAGGTTTGCTCAGTGGTAGAATGATACATACAGATGTGGTTGCATTCAGAGACAGACTTCCGTCGTCACGTGTTTGTAACGTTGCAGTTCGGACAGCCCACTTCTCACCATTCTTAGATACGTTCTGAACCTCGGTGTTGTACTGTGTGACGGCATCAACAGCAGTCTTTTTAGCTGTGTCTTGGATGTAGTCTTTCAGCACGCTATGTGACACAAAGTCCTCTGTGCCAGGAGGAAACTTGTTCAGTGTATTCTCAAGCAGACGTGTGGCTACGTTGTTCTTTAGCCCGATATAACATGGTCTGTTTTGCAATCAATGGCGTGTCCATAATCTTGGGCTGGTGGTTCCTACCCTGGCGGTGCGTGCAATAGTCGTTTAAGCTCCAAGTCATTGACCTCCTCTTTCGCGTACGTACTCCAAGCTTTTGATGCTAGCACTGATGGATATGCAGGCTCGAGTGGTTTTCGCTCGTCATAGAACCTGATCAGAATTAGCACAATCATGTCGATCTGGATCAAAAACTTACCAAATGCCGCCTGCAGCGCTCGAGCGCTCGAAGACGGTCACGTCTAGACCTTCTTTCTTGAGATGTGCTGCAGTCACAACACCCGAAATACCCGCCCCAATGACAGCCACACGTTTGTTACTGGTAGACATGCTGAATATATACAGTAGAGATGTAAGACAGATGAAAGTAAAAGATAACCAGAAAACGATTCGTGATTGAGGTCAGATTTTCATGGCCAATTTTCTGATGACTGCCGAGGACGGAGCCTAGAAGTACACAAGGTTGCAGCGATCGGCCGAACAGACAATGTTGCACACTACATGCATGTACGAACTGTATATACTTTTGCACACACTTCATCCGTGGTGGGCAGGCGTAGCCATTTACGTGAGCTAATCTGATGTGAGCAGAGCGCAATAGTGGATAAAGATAGCATCATTTGTTCCTCGCGTACGCCTCAGATCGAAGGATTCCAACAAAAACGCTTTGCAAACCGGCGTTCAACGCGGCGTCTAGAAAAGCGAGGTTTGTCCGGCGATAGGATTCGAGATGCTCAATGGTGAATGGACGTGCGCAATAAGCTAGTGAATTGACGTGATCGTTGAACCCCGCAACACCAACGTCGCGCGGCATGAACATGTGCTTCCGAGCTGCAATACCTAATGAAGCATTAGTAAGTGTCGTCTGATCGGATGAGGGGCTCGGTGATATAAGAGCAGCCACTGAGCTTGATTGGAATAAGCACAAGCTTACTCCAGAATACTTCACCATGGCACCTATTGCAATCCCAGTCAACTCAGACATCCAAGAGAAGGACACTGTCCAGCCCAAGAAAGATACATTGGCTCTTCCAGAGGCGGCAAGAAAGAGACTCGAGAAAGCTGGCGTTGACTTGTCCAACGGGTACCCGTACAGACCTGCTAAGCCATTGTACCTGGACGACGTGTACAAAATCAGGGACTATGATCGCGAATATGTGGATCCTGGCTCTAGAGCCGACCCAGAGAAAAAGGCTCTGCTCAGTGCGGCAAAGGAAGTCATCCATCTCACTGCTCATATCGGTACTGAGATCGTTGGTCTGCAACTGAAGGATCTTACCGACCAGCAGAAGGATGAGCTTGGCCTGCTGATTGCGGAGAGGAGTGTGGTTTTCTTCAGAAACCAGGACATTTCGCCGCAACAGCAACTGAAATTGGGTGAATGGTATGGTGAGATCGAGGTTCATGTGGGTTCTCTAGTGCGTCTTGACGACGACGTGACAATGGTTGACCACAAATGCAGCCTCAAGTACCTTCAGTACCAGGTGTACCAGGCACGACCGTGATTTGGCCTGCGTTGCAGGCTACTGAGATTCTACCCAGCTTCAGACAGACTGGAGGAGCGTCCAGGTGGCACACTGATCTCGTGCACGAAAGGCAACCCGCGGGGTAAGAGTGCAGGAGCTGCGGAGCTGCATCTGAACATGAACTGACAGACTTCAGTGTGACCCACCTGCATAACGATACCATTCCAAAAATTGGCGGCGACACTTTGTGGGCTTCGGGTAGGCATTCTTGTCGATGTTGAGATCAAGAGCTGACCGGCGTAGGCTATGCGGCGTATGAAAAGCTTTCGCCAGACTTCAGGAAGATCATCGACGGCAAGCAGGCTGTGTACCGCAGCGCTCACCCATACCTTGACCGAAATAACCTCACAGCCGGGCCGAAGTACATCGAGCGTGTGCATCCGCTCGTTCGAGTGCACCCTGCCACAGGCTGGAAAGCACTCTGGGTCAACCGAGCCATGACAGTCCGAATTGTTGGCCTGGACAAAGCTGAGAGCGACCTGATCCTTGGGTACCTGTACGATGTGTATGAGAAGAATGTTGATATCCAGGTGCGATTCAGGTGGACGCCGGGTACCTCGGCGCTGTGGGACAACAGGATCACAATCCATAACGCCAGCTGGGATTATGAAGGGACTGAGCCGAGGCACGGTACGAGAGTGACTGCGCTGGCAGAGAAGCCGTTCTTCGATGCAAAGGCACCGACAAGGCGACAGGCTCTCGGTCTTGCTGGTCCGGATGATATTTGATGGTATGTCGATGAACAAGACGCGAAGGAAGGGAAAAGGCGCGAATGTGGGGCAGCCGCTACCGCTAGCGCCACTTCCTAGCGTGTCTCGGGCGCGGTTGCGGCTGCTCCCTTTCACCTTCTTCGAGACTCAGCACCATAACCCAACATCACATCCATCACCATTTGCGCCAAGCAGGTCTTTCTTCTTGATTCTATCGATTGTTTTCTTTTGATCTGATTTCGTGTTCGCGCAACACTTTCGTCATGGCTCTGCAGCAACGAGCTTCAGGTGACCTACTCATGAATTGTGCACCAGCATAGTAGCTCTTCTGGGCACTGCAGACCCCCAGGATCCTCTCCAAATATACACGGTGATCCATGGAGTTCTTCTAGATACGGGCGCGGTTCGGGTTCCAATACAGTGGTCTTCTTGCAACCTAGTGTTTTGAGACTTCTAGGTCGCAGAATTGATTGGAGCGTGCGGCGTAGCAGCGGTTAGCCTGCAGGTACGGCGGTTACACCCATACCACACTGCTGTTAAGTATCCGCCAACATGCAATGTGATGCGGTCCAGCCTCATATTTCTGTTGTTGTTTCTGTTCTCCTTCTCTTTCGCCTTTGTTTTCGGTTCGGATTTTAGTTATGAATCGTGTCGCACCAGTTGCACGCTCAAGTGTTGACGACAGCGTCAAGTCGCCAAATGTTGAGATTGGGTCTGTGTCTACAGGAAGCCATGACGGAGCGTCTCGTGAGTTTGCTTTATCGGAAAGTAGCGATCGATCCGCAATTGACGCCATATAGCATCAAAGACCTGGAAGCCACCTGCTCTTCGCTCCCCAGTACTGATACTGACGATCCTGGTTTGTTGGGGGCTCATTGCTATTCTCCAGGTCTTTCTCGTCAAAAGCCAGCATGACGGAGGCGTGCTCTTCGCGCCCAAGATCGGCGAACTTCCTTTTCGTCAACAATTCCTCTATTTGTATCTTCCTACTGTGATCGCTGTGCTGTTCAGCATATACTGGGCTTGGATCGACCTGGAAACGAAGAGAATGGAGCCTTACTATCAGTTGAGTAAGGAAGACGGTGCTCTTGGCAGAGACTCTCTTCTCCTACACTACCCATTTGACTTCATCCCATTGGTTCCGATTAAGGCAGCTAGAAAGCGGTAAGTGTAATGTCTTTAAACATGTGCCACTTTTTGGCTAATTTTCGTAGCCACTGGCCGGTCTTCTGGGGGTCACTTCCTGTACTATTAGTCACATTTGGCTTGGTACCCTCGCAGGCGGGTATTTTTTCTGTGGAAATGATTACCCGCACTTCAGATACTGCTTTCAAGCTTTCGACGTACTCTATGCCGGCTGAGATACAAGCAAATAACCTGTCAATGCGCTTCGCGCAATCGACGTATGGGATCGCTACTCTGAACGAGACTTTGCCTGGCTTTATGGCACGCAACTACACACTTGCACCTTTCAGGCCTACAACGAACGAGGGTGCCTCATCAGAGAGCCAGTCCACTTGGACTGCCACAACGACCATGTACAGTCTCGATATGTACTGTGAGTCCGCACCTGCCATTCGAGAGAGCAGAGGCCGGAGCACCTCAGTCCAGTATAAGAGCAGTGGAGGCTGTAACGTCACGCTGGGACTGACAGGGAACTTGACCCAAGGTTCAAACTCCAACAGCTTCTACTCACCACTATTGAATATGAAGGACTATACGGCAATGTACATCGGATACTGGAACAACGGCTTCGCGGATTGGTCGCTGGACAGTAGCTGCCCATCAGACCAAAACGCAACCTTCTATGCTGCCTTTGCGAAGAACAAGGCACGAGCCGAAGATTCTCCTAACAACGTTACCGCAATCTTCTGTTATCCAGGCTACTACCAACAGGAGGTGAACGCAACTGTTGACGCCCTGACCCAGGCGCCCCTGAAGGTAGTGCCCATCGGAGCCAAAGAGCCCCTCAAGGGTGGCATCTTCAACCAAACATCCTTCGAAGAACAGGTTGGCTCAGGCTCATCGAACTACAATGTCAGAGGCGACACTATGCCAGGAAGCTCGATGCCCGACTATCTGGAGAAGATCGCACAAACAAATGTTAGTTTCCAAACAGGGTCCCAGGGAGGAGGTGTCGTACAGCCTATGGTAGGACTGGCTCTCGCAGTCAGTAATTGCCTTCTCGAAGAGTACCTGGACTGGAAGGTCCTTAGCAAGTCATACGCGGATGCTTACAGGTTACTCTTCGCCCGTGCTATGGTCGACATCTTAGGTAATGGCTTCGAGACTTCTGACGCAATCGTTGGAATCCATCAATATACTATCCAAGCCGTCATTTTAGAGCCGGTGTTCACGTACATTGTGGAGGGCTTGCTCGGAGCTATCTCGATCGCAACTTCGGTGCTACTCTACCTCTCCATCACGCGGAAGCGAAACCTGCGATCAGACCCAAGCACTATCGCAAGTGTCATGACCCTTGTGGCTGATAACGATGCTCTGCTCGCTGATTTTGAGGAGTTAGACTGTTGCACGCTCAATGAAGTATGGGAAGCTTTGGCAGAGAAGAGGTTCCGGCTTGTTGATGACGGTCAACGTACCGGTATTGAGGCGATCAGCTCTGCAGCGGATGCTATCTTCACTGCTCAGCAACCAACAACGCTATCCCAGCGCCAGAACACCTCACGAGAGATTGCGAAACCCGTCCGTCCCAAAGAGTTCAGTCTCTGGATGTCTATACCATTTGTGGGCCTCTTTATCGGCCTGGGCATCGCTCTTGCCATCATCTTTGCCAAAGCACAAGTCAATGGCCTACCGCTCCCTTCGAGTAACAAGCTTGTGCAGAACCTGCTCGAGAACTACATCCCCACTGCACTGGCAACGCTTATTGAGCCCATGTGGGTCCTGATTAACCGTTTGCTATGTATGCTGCAACCGATCGAGCAGCTGCGAGGTTGCAAAGCAGAAGCAAAAGACTCTATCGATGCCAACTACAGCTCATTGCTCCTCAGCTCACCTTGTTGAAGGCTCTGAGATCAAAACATTTCGTACTTGCTGCAGTGTGCGCCATGGCTCTTCTCGCGAACCTTTTGGCCATTGCCTTTGCTGGCATTTCCAACCAGAATACGAACGATATGCTGCACGCGATGGTTTTCGACCCACCATTCGAGATGAAATTCGTTTATATCAACGGCAGTATTGTACCCAAGAGCAACGAAGAGATTGGGTCTTTCGAAGCCTCTGGTGCCTTCCGTGGCGGCAACTCTCAAGACCAGTTTCTGGTCGCTGAGTCAAATTTCACTAGAGGAACCCCATTGCCTCCTTGGACTGACGAAAAGAGTTTTTACCTCCCGTACATGGCTTCCACCACTGCAAATGCCACAAAAGGCCGCCGCTACCGAGCAGAGACGACAGTCTTTGGTGCTGAGTTAGACTGCGACATGCTGAAGGCTGATGTTGACTACCATGGCCGCATCGTCAACGACATCGCAGACCCCCATCTCGAGTTCAACGTTACCACTTCATCAAACACCACTACGATATGTCCCAGCAACGGGTTTACCTTTGTACACTGGGAACCCTCAGACACTGCGGCTCCCAAGAGATTCCATGCAAGTTGTCAAAGTGGTCCGAGTGCTGCGGAAGTTATGTTTTTGCTGGATGCAAATGCCAATGCCACCAAAGCAGGGAAGGATGCATGCATGTCTACCATGGTCATGGGCTGGATCAGAGCTCCAAATGGTTCATGTGGAACGTTTGAAAATAGGGACTTGATCGATACCAATGCGGCTTTTGTTCGCTGCAAGCCTAGACTGGTCATAGGTGCAGCCTCCGTCCAGGTCGATGAGGACGGCCGATTGCAAGAGCCGGTCAAAGAACTTAAAATCCTTGATCTTGCCGGAGACCCGTCCCAGACTTTCAGCAATGACCCCGTCAACCTTATGAGACAGAGCAACAAGTACTTGTTCAAGTTCGGTATCGCGGACTCCGAGTGGCACAATGACAGCCGTGCGGGAGATTACATGAACTACTTCGCACTGCGAGACAGCAATAGCAGCAGGCTCGTTGATCCCACGCAAAGGCCCCCGACGCTTGATGACATCCAAAAGTAACTAGGAAAGGCGTACTCGAGGCTTTTTGCAATCTGGCTGGGCACCAATAAGGAGAAACTTTCGGTTCCACGGACAACAACAGACCAAGCTCCCATCAATGGCTGGACTGTGGTGACAGAACAACGACTCTTCCTCTCCACGCCGATGTTTGCTATGTCCGAAGGTATTCTGTTCACCTACTTCCTTGTTGCAGTCATGGTATACCTGCGCCGGCCTGGGCGATATCTGGCACGGATGCCCACTTCAATAGCCTCGATCATAAGTCTGTTCGCCGCGAGCGCCGCCGTGCAGGACATGAAAGGTACTTCGTATCTAGACCGAAAGGGTCGTGCAAAGCATCTCCAAAGTCTAGACTCACGCTACGGATATGGGAGTTATGTGGGCGGGGGAGATGGTCGAGCACACATTGGCATCGAGAAGACACCGTTCGTCAGAATCAGAGCGAAGTCCACCTGGTTCGATCAGAAGGTCGAGTCCTTCCGCAAAGGCCCTGCAGTGTGGTCGTCAGCGACACAGCATTCAATTTCATTCTCATTTGAGATATCTCAATCTACTCGCCCTTCACATGGTGAACATACGGAGTGATGCCGACCATCATGGAACGGCTCGGTTAAGCCTGCCGCACGTTGCCGCATTGTGTCCGCCAGTGCCTCTCTGTTTCGCGAGTGGACGAACGGAGATGAGGATCAAAGACTTTACTAGATCTTCAGCGTATGTGTCCCGCTCTGCCGCTCTGCGCTGCGGAGGAACGTAGCGACTGTGTCAAGCGGACATGTGGCAAGCACCTTTGGTGTAGAGACTCAGAGTAATCTCCACTGTCGAAGGCCGCACTTAAGCGAGGTAGCAGAAAAGGAAGGTGTGACTTCTCGAAGGCTTCGTAGATGTGGAGATGCGAGGAAAACTCGAGTGCAGATATGTTTGGTCTCGCGAAAGCCAAGGCTTGGGAGCTCACTGTCAAGGCAAGTACAGACGACATCGTCGTGCTTGCCATGGCTGACTCTGCGTGTCTCTCCCAATCTCAACATGCGAACATGCTGCGTTTTACCTGCCATCACGTACCCACAGCTTCATTGGCGACAATCCTCAACATTCTTGGTGGAGACAAGATGTTTTGTTTCGCGCAGCCCGTCGTCCCCGCTAGTCGTGAGTGCTTATTACTTCTGGACCCACCGCAACAAAAATAAGCCTTAATGGTGGGGCGCGTCATCGCCCAAGTCGATCGTCGTTCTGGTCAATCATCATCACAACCTTCACGCCGCGTTGTTTTTGATGAAACAAGGTGACGATGCTAAAGGCGGTAAGTGCAGGCCAATCAGCCCTGACTAGCGACCTCTCCAGCATTTCCCGGAGCGTCCAAGCGATCCGTCGTCCACGCTGCAGCGCAGCCACCCGCGCCAACTCACTACCGCTGCTGATCATTCATGTTGTCTATTTTGACTTTCCTCTAGCCATCGCAAGAGGGCGAGACTGAAGATTATACGGGGCAATCAATATTCAAGGCTCGTATGAAGCCGAGAGGCAAAAGAGATGGTAGCCAAAAATAAGGACCACACGCGCAGGCCGAGGGGCGGTGCACCAAGCATTAGCTCTCCTGCCATGCTCTTCCCTGCAGCAGCAACGCATGCTGCGAGCCGTGACACAACCTCACCGTACCGGCCCTGAGCGGCCAGGTTTGCGCCTGCGTTACGAAGACGGCGGTAACACGAATTGTACGACAGCCCAGGCACCGCAGGTGTCGCGAGAGCGGAGTTTGGTTCGTTGTCGACTGGCGATGAGCGCGACAGCCGTGTGCGCTGAGATGAGCAGCCCAACGAATGAAATCGCGGAGAGTGGTGTTTGAGATTTAGCTTCGAAGCGATCGCGCTCCACACCAGACCTTACTCGGTCTGGCTCTCCTTATCGATAGGCCCGGATTCGACCACACGCAGAACCCGGTCATTAGGAGCAAGGATCCCGCCGGTAGACGCCAGGAGGCGACGTCCACCCATGCCTCTCCACTTGAGTCGTCGTCCGCTCTTTGTTTCAGAAACAAATACCATCTGAGAGGCTTTGAGCCAATGAGCATCACGATGTACCTGGCCAGCGTTGCAGAACCTGAGCCGTCTTCACAGTCCGCTTGCTGTTACACTGCCGCTAAACCATGACGGGCGTCAGAGCCGGAAGACCCCTTCAATAAGTCGTTGCATGAGAGGCCATCCCTCGTCGATTAGCCTGTGCTCTTCGGCCATGATCCGCTGTGGCACCAGCTGCTGGTCCCCTTACCGGCCTGCACACGACTGCTGTACGTACAGACCGCCACAGACCAGCCCGCATAAAATGGTGGGTATCAGGATATATAGGATCCGGGGGCACACTTCTTGTTCTACATCGCAGGTTCATCGCAGCAGTTTCTCCAGCTTCATTCTTCATTTACATATCTTGCCTGTGGCAGATATCACATTCCTTCTCAGCTGAACGTTGATTATCGAAGAGCTAGTCTCACTGATTTACTCGCCTGTCTTACAGCACTCAAGACTTCCTCGTATGTACTCACTCTCCTCTTTCGGATGGGTTTTGGGTAGTCAAATCCTCCCAGTTCAACTCCTCTTTTACACACTGGCCTCCTGTTCATGCCTAGCATCTCCTCAATCCATCATGATGGTCCAAATTCGATAGGAATGTTCTACTGACTATGTACAGAAACAACTCGATCAGTCAACTTCAGACTACACAGTCACTACAAACAACAGAATCGTTTAGCAGGTCTAGCGGTTAACCAGAGATACCCGACTCTATACACTCTCTCAAACAACAAGATGTTCTCCAAGGCTACCGCCCTTCTGGCACTTGCTGCCAGCGCTGCGGCGCATATGACTCTCAACTACCCTGTCCCTTACGGCAAGGCCACGCTCAACAGCTCTCCGCTCGTTCCTGGTGACTGGCCCTGTAAGCAGCGCACCGGTGTTTACGAGGTCTCCGAGATGAACCAGTGGGATGCTGGTGAGACCAAGGAAGTCTCTTTCATTGGTTCCGCTGTTCACGGTGGAGGCTCATGCCAATTCTCCCTCACCACCGACTCCAACCCCACCGAGGCTTCTCAATGGAAGGTAATTCACAGCGTTGTTGGAGGCTGCCCCTCGAACGTAACCGGCAACCTGCCCGAGAACCCTGCTGGCACCGGTGCCGCTGTCTTCCCCGTCACCATGCCTGAATCCATTCCCGATGGCCTTTACACTTTCGCATGGACTTGGTTAAACAAGATCGGAAACCGTGAGTTCTACATGAACTGCGCTCCTGTCCAAGTGGGTGAGACCGGCGCCACTGCCTCCTCTGCCAACGCCGCCTCTGCACTCGGTGCCCTCCCTGACATGTTCGTTGCCAACCTCCCCGACACCTCTTGCAGCACAAAGGAGGGTGAGGACTTCAACTACCCGGACCCCGGCCAGTCTCTTGTCGATGGCGCCAGTGCCGACCTTGGTGACGATCTCTCGGGTGCTGGCTGCGCTTCCATGACCCAGATGGGTGCTGGTAACGGACAGATTGGCACTCCCACTCAGGCTTCTGGCTCTGGCTCTTCCGCTCCGGCTGCTACCCAGCCTGCCGCCACAGCCGTTGTCTCTGCTCCTGCGGCCTCTGCCCCGGCTGCCTCTTCAGCTCCTGGCTACTCTGCCGCTCCTGTCGCTTCGGCTTCGCCCGTTGTCTCTGTTCCTGGTGTCTTTGCCCCTGGTGCTTCCTCTGCGCCTGTTGCGTCTGCCCCCGCTGCTACCGAGCCAGCTACCTCTGCTGCTCCCGTCGCTTCTGCTGCGCCCGTTGCCTCTGCCGCTCCTAGCACTCCTTCCACCAGCGAGGACTGCACTCCCTGCACCACCGACGGTGATGTTGTCTGCATTGGCACCAGCTCCTTCGGTCTCTGCAACCGCGGCTGTGCTGTCGCTCAGCAGCTCGCTGCTGGTATGGCTTGCACCGACGGCGCCATTACTGCCGCTGTCTCTAAGCGTACCTTCCCTCGCGCTCACCTTCACAAGCGCCACGGCTCTGGCCTTCGTCTTAACTAAGTGCGATGCATCCATTGCTTGACGATTGTCTCTTTCTTATACGCTTTTTCGCTGTGATGGTTACGAAACGCATTGCATGGACTTGGATTGGATACCCGCCCTGGCTAGGGTTCGGAGATGGGTCGGTTGGTCTGCTTGTTTATACCTTTGGGTCGGCTCCCTTGCTTAGACGGCTTGGGCTTCTTTGGACACACGTTCACTCCTGTTGTATATTATTCTTCGTTCATGCCACGCCTTGATGGCTGGTGTGCCCTTTTGTTTGTTTCTGTAGAGCTCTGTGATAACCTCGACACCCACATACGTACCATCTGCGTACAGATATATATCAAAATCAAATGATACATTCACATCAAACAGCTAATTCTCCTTGCGATAAACCGTGACGCTCTCGCTACACTGCTCACAAGGCCTGTGGTGGTTATGCCAGTACAGCAGCACCGTGGCAAGTCACACATGCAAGCGTATGCTGCGAAATCAAGCAGTTCCTCGAGTCTCTCTTCTGTTTCGTTGCTTGGTGCCATGACCGTCTCATCGGCGGTTTTCGACGTGCCGCAGAGCCTTGTGATGGTCGACGCCCACATCAACGAAAACGCAACAACGTTGGCGCAAAAGCTTGAACCGATATGCTGACACGCACAAATTGTTCCCTGAGACTGACTATGCTTATCTGCAAGTTTTTGACAGAGTCAAAGCGGCGTTGCAATGGTGATGGTTTTCCTGCTGTCTTGCTGTCCGTCGTGAAATGGGAAAAATCGAGCTCAAGATCATGCTCAGAAGCACAATAGACACGAGGCATAGTTCATAGAACGTTGACTACGAGCCACTCATAATGCGAGGCAATTGCCACAATCTTCTTAGGACAGCAGAAAGCGTGCAAATAGCTTGACCTGCTCAACCGTGCTTGTGCGAAAGACGTGGAATTGGTGACTGCCCTCCAACTCACAATCATCCGTCAAAGACACAATATGATGCTAGATGCCGCCGTAAAACACTAACGACTAAGACACTTGCATCGCGAACAACACGTCCAGCTTACGAAGTAATGAGAGGCATGCAAAACAACTCGACCTCGAACATGCTGTCATATGTGTCTATGGCGGCTGCCCCATTGGACAGCCTCGTGGCCGCGTCTTGGCATGCTTGATCCCCTCAGCTCGATGCCTGCTGTGCGATAGGGTTAGCTACATACGCACACCAGCGCACTGCGAGCACGCGACGAAGCAGGCGACACACTTTCACACCCCCCTAGATCTATTCTTCCGTCGCCGGTCAGCACTCACAAGCCACGAGCCTCGGCCTTCGTTTTACGCCCCGTCGCCACTCTCAGGGTTCGTGCGCATCTCCGCCCCACTATCACCGCCTGGCGACCTTCTCCTCCACATTCTTCCAACGCCCACAGCTCCTGGTAAACAGCCCAGCACCGTTTGCCCAGCATGGAGAACAACAACCAGGATGTCGATCAGCAGTCGTACATGGACAATGCAATTCGCGCAGTGCAGCAGAAGAAGCCCATCCCTGAAATCGACTTTACCCTGCACACCATGGAAGACGGCACACAAGTGAGCACTCAAGAGCGTGTATGCAAAGGTATGCTCGCCACCAAAGCTCTGCAAGCTCTCTAGCTAGTAGTAGTTTCTTGCGACATGGACCTCCAGCAACATGACGCTGACCCCGCTGTGACTTTCAGACGTTCAAGCCCCAGCCTTCCACCCACCCACCGATGAACAATTCTTCTCGCCCCAAGATCGCACAAAGCCCAACATCCAATTTTTGAAGCAGCACTTCTACCGCGAAGGCCGCTTGACCGAACAGCAGGCGCTATGGATCATCAAGAAGGGTGCAGAGATTCTGAGGTCAGAGCCTAACCTCCTGGAGATGGACGCTCCCATCACAGTCTGCGGTGATGTTCACGGGCAATACTACGATTTGATGAAGCTTTTCGAAGTTGGTGGAGACCCAGCAGAGACACGCTACCTGTTCTTGGGTGACTACGTCGATCGAGGTTACTTCAGTATTGAGGTAAGATAGGAATGAATGGGTGGCAAATACATGCTAACATCTGCAGTGCGTTTTGTACCTGTGGTCGCTGAAGATCTGGTACCCCAACACGCTTTGGCTGCTCCGTGGTAACCATGAATGTCGCCATTTGACCGATTACTTCACATTCAAGCTCGAATGCAAGCACAAGTACTCCGAGGCTGTCTACGAAGCCTGCATGGAAGCTTTCTGCGCGCTTCCTCTCGCCGCTGTCATGAACAAGCAATTCCTGTGTATACACGGAGGATTGAGCCCCGAGCTCCACACCCTCGAGGACCTGAAGAGCGTATGTGTCAAGACGCTTACAGATGTGAGCGTTGCTGACTTTCCCAGATTGACCGATTCCGCGAACCACCCACACACGGCCTCATGTGCGACATCTTGTGGGCCGATCCTCTCGAAGAGTTTGGTCAGGAAAAGACAAATGACTTTTTCATCCACAACCACGTCCGTGGTTGCTCATACTTCTTCTCGTACCCCGCTGCATGCGCCTTCCTCGAAAAGAACAACCTGCTCTCCATTATTCGTGCGCACGAGGCGCAAGATGCTGGATACCGAATGTATAGGAAAACAAGGACCACTGGTTTCCCCAGTGTCATGACTATCTTTAGTGCGCCGAACTACCTCGACGTCTACAACAACAAGGCTGCCGTCCTCAAGTACGAAAACAACGTCATGAACATCAGGCAGTTCAACTGCACACCTCACCCATACTGGTTGCCCAACTTCATGGATGTCTTCACATGGTCTCTGCCTTTCGTCGGAGAGAAGAGTAAGTGACTGTCGACGCTTTCTATGTAGCAAGCTAACGATCTCCAGTCACGGACATGCTCATCGCAATTTTGAACACATGTTCCAAGGAGGAGCTCGAGGAGGAGACACCCAGCTCATTGGCTTCCGGACCATCTTCCCCACAGCCCCTTGCCAACCTCGACCCAGACTCGACGGAGTTCAAGCGCCGGGCAATCAAGAACAAGATTCTGGCCATCGGCCGCCTGTCTCGCGTATTCCAAGTGTTGCGTGAAGAGTCTGAGCGTGTCACTGAGTTGAAGACAGCGTCTGGAGGTCGTCTGCCGGCGGGTACACTCATGCTTGGTGCGGAGGGTATCAAGCAAGCTATCCACAGCTTCGAAGACGCCCGTAAGGTCGATTTGCAGAACGAGCGTCTGCCGCCAAGCCACGAGGAAGTTCGCAAATCTCAGGAGGTGCACCGAGAGCAGGCTCTCGAGAAGGCTACCAAGGAGGCAGAGAACGACAAGGAGCTCGGCAGGGTTGCACGAAGAATCAGCATGTGAGTACCTCCAACAGTCCCTTGTCTATAATTACTAATACACATAGGTCTTCTGGGTCAAGGAGAGGCTAGGTTTCAAGAGGCTATTGAGGCTGAGTGAGTAAGCTAGGTTCGCTGGTTCTCAGTGTTTGATCTGGTGTGGATATTAGTGCTACCTACATACCATGCTGGCGTTGTGCGAATCGGCGACGAGACCTAGAGGAAACGACTTTACGATGAACGGTAGTTATTTGCTAGCTAAGCGCCGTGCTCTGGAAGAGTCGGCCTTTCATTGAAAATATATTACTACTTGCACAGTGCAAGCTATACTTTCATCTTCAAGTGAGCTCTACGTAAACTGGCCCAAGCTTCAGCGGCCCGGAGATGAACCGACATCGATCAACCTCAGCATGCCAACTCTCCCCCACAGCAATGCACATTTCCAAGCCCGATGCCTCCATGGGTGGCCTCTGCGCCGCGATTGACGTCGCTGACCAAAGGACGAGCGATTGAACCCCTCCCCGCTGTCCTTCGTTGCAGCCATGCAACACCACGCTCATTGAATCTCCGGGTCCGCTCCGCATCAACACACGTTTCGCCCACGGCCATAAACCTGCGCCCCAACATCCCGCCACGGAACAAGGAGCTGTACAATGCGCTGTCCGCACTCAGCGGCGCAGCAGAGACTTATGTCAACATAAGTAGACTGCAATTGGCACTCAGTGGGCTGGCGGCGCAAGATGCTGTTACGCGAGTTGCTGGTGGGTTTCGCCCTCCATATAGTGAGGAGACATAGCTAACAGGAAGATGCAGTACTCGGCCTGAACAGCCAAGTTAGCGCCCAGCGACTTGCGCGCCTTCTTCTTGCGGATCCACTAGGCAACGAGGAAGGATGGGAGAAAGAGCTTGAGAAAGCTGGGGATGGCAACGAGAGAGCTGTGCTGCTGAAGTGAGCGCCTCATGTCAAGCACAAAATGGAAGAAAACCGCTGACAACGGCCAGGTTTGGAGATGAGAACGATGCGCACCGACCGACGCCGCTATACAAAGTCCTTTCGGCGCCCTCGAGAGTCCTGCGAGTGCATAATTTGGAGGTACTCGTCTCGACGCTGAACGTCAACACAGCGAACATGCTTACGACGGTCTCGACGGAGAGCTCGGAGGAGTCGGTGCTGATACCTAAGCTGCAAGCTACTTCAGCGCGAGGAACACCAGTGCCTTACCCAGTGCACAAGACGTTGGTCCTAGGCGAAGGACTCGACAGCGCGTTGGCATTCGGCAGGTTCTCATCGGACAGCGCCGCGGACATGCGCAACATGGTCAAGGTGGCTGTAGATCTCCCTGCACCACAGGAAGAGGCGGACACAGATGCGCAAGCCGAGGGCGCAGTAATCAACGTCGAAGTCGGCACACAAGCGCTCGCAAGCTTCCGCGAATCCGTGGCTAATTCACAAATTTTCGAGCGCGGTTGGTTCAGAAGCGGCGTACCCACAATCTCACAATGGCTCACTGCCGGCATGCAGCCTACCGAACCGATCAAGCCCGCTCTGAAAAACCTTGTAACCTCGATCGTCGACGACGTCGAAACAAAACTTCTCAAGGAAGACACAGCGCGTCTCGCACTCTTCGCATCGATACCCACTGACCGCGAGGCCACGGCAGCTATCACCAACGCATTAGACATCTGGGCTGAGAAGAGCCACACAGAACTCCGCGACGAGCTGGACGAAGCCTTCTCTGCACGCAATTGGCACAAGCTGTCGTGGTGGAAACTCTTCTGGCGTGTCGACGATGTGACCATGCTCTCGCAAGAGATCATCGAGCGCCGCTGGCTCATCAGCGCAGAGAAGAGCAGCATCTTCCTTGCTGGACGGATGGCACAGGCTGGCTTCCCTGAAGACCTGCCGAAGATTGTGTTACAAGATGTTCCGGTGACCACAACGGAAACTGCGCCTACGCTCGACAACCAACCGACCAACCTTTCGACCGAAGTGAGGAGGCCACAACCTTGGTCAGATAACATAGCAACGGCGCGTGAGGAGCTGGTAGCCGCGAATGTACCGCCCCTGCAAGCGCTTGCTCAGCGCCTGATTCTGCAGACGATGTCCACGACGTCTCTGTCCAGCGCTCTCAGCGCGCTACTCTACGTCTCCTCGAGCTGCTCTGTGTTCGAGGCAAGCGCCGTGGCTGCGCTTGGTCTAACTTTCTCGCTACGCCGTATGCAGAAGCTGTGGGAAGGTGCGCGAGAGAGCTGGCAAGGTACTGTCAGGGAGGAGGGCCGTAGAACGCTGAAATCGACCGAGGACCTGGTCAGACTGATCATTCGATCGAAAGAGCAGGGCAAGGCGCAGGTTGATGAGGGAGCGGTCGAGAGAAGGCAAGCTAGGGAGGCTGTCAAGGCTGTTAGGGAGGCACTTGCGAACATGCACAAGCAAGAAGAGCAGCAGAAGTAGATATGCATTGGTGTACGAATATTGTAGAAGACGAGAAATTTGTCTTACTGAAGTCGTAACATCATTCCTTCTGCACGAAACAAGGGGAGCTGCGCTCAAGCTCGTCGGCCCTTCTTGCTTAGAGCCTTGTCATGAACTTTGACCATCACTCTTTCACCCAACCCACTCCCCTTGACTTCTGCAACGATCTTCAGAGCTTACACTTGTGCTGCACCGTTACTGGACACGATGTTGTTGGCTTACTTCTTTGCAGGATAGCGCAGTGCGGCTGACGCCCCGCTTTTCTCAATGCCTTACCAACCTCAGCTTGCAGAGATAAGCGCGTTTCTGCATTACGATGACACCAACCAGTGAGCAGACGCCAACTGTTGGCCTGACGCGTTGATGGAGAAGTGTGCAGTATGTAACGATCAGGAGAAGCGGAACCCAGACGGTACGCGCCTAACGTTCGATGTTACACCTGCCGTACTGAGCCACTCCGCATTCGTCAACCGCTGCGAGTCATGCCTGGTCATTCTTGAGGGTTTTCGACAAGGTGGACAGACGTTGTACCAGAAAGACTTTCAGCGGCTCGCCCGAACTATTACGGCTCGATGTCATGATCAGCACAACGGTCGCCGTGACACCCTTGTTCTGGAGACGTATTTCTACGATGAGCGACCAAAGTTAGAGCTTGAGTTCTACAGCCTCCAGAAACATCGTATGTCGATCCACATCTCGGTCAAATTCAAACGATAGAAGTCGTTCCATGCTAATCAAGACTATCAGCTTGGAAGGCGATATTACCTCGATCTACAACCAGCGGCCACCCGCTTTCAGCTGAGTCGTTGGACTGGACGCGATCACGTCTGAGTGACTGTGACAGACTACATGGTGCATGCAGAGGACCTCCAAGAATATACCTGCCTAAACGCGTGCTCCTGATCCAAACAGATAATGAAGGCGATATCAACGTTCGCCTTGTTGAGCCCGAAGTTGGCGACGAGGGCGCTTACATAGCGCTCTCGCACTGTTGGGGAAACAGTCAACCTTGTGTTACTGCACATGCAACCCCCGAAGACGGGGGTTCCACACTAGAACACAGGAAGAAGGGGATCCCCTGGAGTACCATACCGAAAACTTTTCAAGATGCCATTACGCTTACTTCTTTGCTGGGTATCGACTTCATATGGATCGATTCACTATGCATCATTCAGAATGACACTGAGGACTGGGCTATCGAGTCTGCAAAGATGGCCGACATATACGAGTACGCCTCTCTCACCTTATCAGCCACCGTCTCAGCTGGAGACTCGTTCGGGTGCTTCGCCGCATCGTTCAGCACATCACGCAGCCTTCCAATCAGCCTCCCCGAAGACGTTGGAACTTGCGAAATCGCTGTCCGAAAGCCCATTTCACATTGGGACACCTTTGGCCAAAGCGAGCTGCATGCGCGCTTTCCTTTGATGAGCCGGGGCTGGGCTTTCCAAGAGCGATTGCTTTCCAGACGGGTGCTTCACTTCTCCGAGTCAGAGCTAGTGTGGGAGTGTCGAGAGCTCAGCACTTGTGAGTGTGGTGGTTTCGGCGAGCAAACAAGCCCGACTGGTGCCTTTCACCATGCTATCAGGGTCAGCGAAGATGAACGGCGAGATTCTACCGGACGTCAGAAACAGATCAATGAAGACCTCAGCATCCGCCGCTTCCAGGAAGACGAGATTGACAGATTGTGGAAGTCTACAACGTCCGGTCTGCGTCGAGGCTCTGCCAGATCTATGCAAGACTGGATGCTCAGACTAGGCAAGATCAAATCGTCCTTACCTCCATACTTGGAATCAGACCCCTGGACTGACACGTCAAGAATGCGAGAGTGCGCCAACTATGTTTTCGATTTCCATCGCGTTGTCGAGAAGTACTCTACACTAAACTTGACGAAGCGATCAGATCGCCTGCCGGCACTTTCTGGCCTTTGCAAGCGCATACAGCATGTCCGTGGCGAATACGCCGCAGGTCTTTGGATGGAGTCGATAGCTTTCGACCTGCTATGGCGCGTCGAACGGCTGAACGTGAACTCAACAAAGATACTGAAATCAGATGAGGACTACTGTGGGCCATCGTGGTCGTGGGTGTCAGTTCTGGACCCGATTATGTATTGGACAGACATTGTGAACTTCCACGACCCTTCTCGAATCTTCAGACCTCCGCCCGCTACGCAAGCAGATAAGCAGCAACACAAACCATTTTCGAGACCCACATGCCTCGGACGCAACCTTCAGGACGACTGTGTGCTCCTCAAAATTGCCGAAAAGGGAATGAATCCGTTCGGCAGAGTGGCTTATGCTATCCTCAAAGGCGAGGCGTCAATCACAACTGCAACTTTGCGTTATACTTACAGCTCATTCTGGCTCGACGGAACCAACCAGCTTGACTTGAGTCGCTACAAGCTCACTCTGGGTGCAGACGGAATCATTGAGCTACCCTTCTGGGCAGACTACGCCTTGGCGGTCGAGGGACCTGGACACATACCCAATGGGCATGATCTGACCTTGTTGTTGATACATCCTCGAGTTTGTCTTGTGTTGGTCGATACAGGCCTCGGCTTCTCCAAGGCACCGCAATTTCGGAGAGTGGGGATCACGAGAATCTCGGATGACATGGTCAATGAGTACAGGATTGACTGGATGGAGTTTTCCGAGGTGACGTCGTTCACTATTGTCTGATGACCTGACTACCATGGTTCCCAACTCGTGCCTTCGCTTCCTTTGCAACTTTTACTGGAACGAGGGTCGGGACATGACGAGAAGCTATTGAATTGCACTCACTTTGCGGCCCCAGTCCTGATGGACCAGCCATTGCCAAATACAATGTTACCGATGTTTGGAACCTGCGTCTTACCAACTACCTCATGAAGCGAGAACTTGACTACGAGTTGGTCAAGCGTAAAACACACCATTGTCCAAAGCAAGGGAACAATCTGCACCGTACATCAGCCATTGGGCTATTCTTTCGCTACTCAAAACCTCCTTCGTGATCCGTTCTGGGACGGAAAGCCTCTACTCATACTCGAACCAAAGCCGAAGAGCTATAAAGACATTCAGAACATCCAGCTCAACACCTTCGTGTCAGACGTCCATCAATCCGGCGGTCTGGACGATATCAAGGAAGAGGAGTTCCTCGTTGCTCTTGCCCCGCAAGTCCGCAGTCTCATTCTTAACATGGCAATTCCTAAGCACGTCTCCGCTTTTCCAGAGCAGTAGATACAGAGCAGCGTGAAAGAGGAAATAGAAATGCTAGTGATACTTGTGTGGAAGGTAATTGCCAAAAAAAAGCCGTTCGTCTCAACTATTGGCGTCAGCCATTCCCTTCTACTGGAGTGGTGGAAGTACGAGTCAACTTTCCTGCAAATCATTCCGTTGCACGCCCAAATAATCACGGGTACTATGCTCTTGTTGCGCTACCTGGATTGGTGATGAGGTAAATCAGGAACTAAGAAGGGATGATTATTGGGGTGGTGTTTACTATCGTCGACGCGAGCAAGATGACAGAGGATAGCGTGGGAAAGAGTAAGATGACGAGGAGGGAACGTGCGCTGGAGCGGGTCAAGGGTGTTTGGAGGCAGGTGATTAGTGGGCGACCTGGAAGGAAGGATTGCTGGTGTAGTGCGCGTCGGTGACAGACGCGATGCCTTCGGTTCGCTTCTGCCGGGTAGCCGAAGCACGACTCGCAGGTTCATGGGGGTGTTGCGTGTTACTTATCTGCCGACACCTTGGACAGAGGGATGCATTGTATCCTCAACTACTTTGCACACATCCCTCCCACCTTTCGTCTCGAGATACTGCAGCACTCCAGTGTTACCATACTGGTTTCATCTTTCGCCCTCCTCGTCCTAAAATAGCAGCAATCCATCTAGCTCGTCTGCACATAAATCTCCGAACTCCCACTACTCTGGTACCCTTCGGTCGCCACAATCTGATAATAGTGTGTCCCCAACGACATCCCATACCCGGCCCAAGCATTGAAGTGATTCTGCATATTCACGCTACCACTGCTGCGTTTCGACTGGCGGACAGACCAATACTGTTGAAAGGTCCTTGTGCCATCGATTGACGGCTGGTTGGTGCGAGTGGAGACCGAAACGTCATAGTTGCCGCCGTCGGTATAAGTGCTTCCTTTGCGCTGTGCACCGCTGCTGGGGTTGTACGTGCCATAATTCTCGACGATGTAGTACTCGACCAGCGGGTTGCGCGTCCAGCCGTAGACAGCGAGGTAACCGTTGCCTGCTGGCTGGAAAGAACCGCCGTAGTTGATCGTTCTTGATTTAACACATTACTTAGCATGACCTCGAGTGAATGGAGAAGCGGAATGACTACTTACCGGCCAGTGCCTGGGTTCCATCCCTTCCCGCCAACAAAGTTCCCGGTGTTGCGCCAGGTTACGGAATACTTGCTGCCTTCGCCCATGGTGTATTGTGCGTAGCCGCCACCGTCGGACCACCATGAGTAGAAGTAGCCGTTGTGGTAGCCTTCGGAGTTGGCGGTTGTTTGGCGCTTCGAGAGGGCTGTGGTGATGTTGACGTCTGCTTGTTCGGTAAGGACGTCAAGGGGCGCGCTGAGTGCGCCGAGAGCCGCGGTGCAAGCGAGGATGAGAGAGGTGAATGAGACCATTGTTGAATGTCTGGAACACAGCTTCTGATCTTGCTGATCGATTCTTCTGCGCGGTATCGAGTTGATATGGCTGATGCCCAGAGCTAGTTGAGCCTGAATACTGGGTTGAATGTTCGAGAACGAGTGCTTGCCTCATGAGTCGGCGAGGTGTTTCCAGATGTAGTTGATGATTAGATTAATCTGTGTGACAATGGCTGTTCTCCCAAGGCAATTCGATGGGGATGTCTCGGTTGATTTACTTATGCCCAGCCCTACTGCAACCGGTGGTGTTTTGACCCCCCTGTTTCCCCACAAACTCGGTGGAGTCGCCGAGAGAACAAGGGTCAGGTACAGAAGGAAACGGCAGTTTGATGGGTCCTTTCGTCTTTTTGTGCGGGTAAGACGAATATTAAAACGAAGTGGAACGTGAATTTTCCAGGACCATGGATGCAAGTGCACATGCTGGAATATTCTGAAGAATATGAAAAGCCATCATGCTATTATGGGACATAAAATAGGCCGTGATCCAGCTGAGGCTTGGTTGCGAAAGAAATCGTCCATGTAAATCCACACAACCAACGAAGTATGGGTATTAGTGAGTTACTTTGGTGTCCAATAGAGTTAGAGAAAAAGATGATTTATACATGCCTTCCGACGTTTTACCTAGCCACCATCTTCTGTGAGCGTCTCCCGTAGTCTCTAGAGAATAATACACCAGCCTGTTGGCCTCGTTCTCTGCCTGAGCGGTCGACAGGTCAAACCGAGTCTGAAAAGTGTACGAACGCTCTACCTGCTTGTCCTCTCTATCTTGGACGGCAGTAAAGAGATAGAATATCTCTGTTCCGGGCGGTGTAAGCTCATAGCTCGTCTCCTTGTCCTTGCCACCATCGGCCTTTGATAGCTTCTCCAGTGTCAGAGTGACCTTCTTGCAGTTCATCGTGATGTTTGCATCTGCAGGACGGGGGAGGCCTGGAGGGCTCATGGTCTCGAGATCGCCTGTAAGGAGAATCTGTAGTGTTTCCAGATAGAACGCGTAAAGTTTGTGTGTAGGGCTTCTCCAGCCACCAGAGACGGGCACTTGTACGATGACGTTGCGAACCCAGCCAAACAGCGGATGCAGAAGTCCGAGTATCATTTTCCTGGATATATTAGGATTGAATGATGGCTGCTATGTGATGATCGTTCAAAAAACAGTCAGTAGCAGTGTTTCTGTTAGCTGCTGGGCATTATCGTTGGTTAGGAGACAAGACTTCATCTCAACCTTCGGTGGTAATCGGTCAAGCATGTCCTTATGCAGTTGGCGGCAGGAGAAGAACGCTCAGTTCCAGTCGATTGTTGCCGGTCAAAGGATCATATAGCTGCAAACGTGCAAGCGAAGCTCGATGGGTAGGCTGAGGAGTGGGCTCTGGGGTTGAGGAGAGATGGGTCAAGCATGCAACGCTATGCATCGACCGGTTGCGGCATCGTTTGTGCCGGCTTTTCAGTGTCTCCGGGTTTTCCGTCATTCTTTTGGTCGGCTTCATTAGGGCGTGCAACAATTCGTGCCTAACTAAGCTGAAATGAGGTAATCGACCCACCATTCATCCCCCTAATACAATATTCATACAAATCAATGAACAGTGAGGTTTGGGACGTCATATTGGGTCAGTTTGATGCAATTTTCAAGATGAATCTATTAGGATAGGTGCTGAGTCTTGTATAAAGATATTTTGTGGTGTTGTAGGAGTCACCAGACCTTGCTGCGGATCTTCTCTCCACCATTTTCATAGAGATGTCTACATCTATCAGGCATCTCAATGATGCTGGACTTCTGTAATATACTTGGATTTGTGGGGGTTTTAAGGTGGCTTTGGAACAGGAAGCATCTCAGAATTGTCATTGTAGAGCCCCAGAGGGCCTTTGTAGTACCAATTGATTCCCCCATACATGTATAGAGTAAGAGGACTCTTCTTCTTCTGTCTCTTCTTGCATAGGTTAGATGAATACTGTTGCATCTTGAATCTCCTAAGTACTCTGGATCTTTGAAACCTCTCTGTTGGATTGAAGTGAGCCTCACTGTTGAAGTCGTGCCTTAAGCAAAGCTCGTAGACACTATTCAATTGGTTCTCGGGGATGAGCGGAGGTACAGGGAGTCCGTAGGGGTTGCCAGTCACCTAAGCAAAGCTCGGGTGGTCAGGGGTAGACTATCCGGGCGGGTTGTAATAACCTTCGTAATAGTCAGGTAGTCGCCTAGTCAAAGATCGTGGCGACTGGTTGCAATGAGTAGTACAGAGTATACTGTCTGGCTCGAGAGCAAGTGAGATTCCAATAACAAAGTTGATTGACGAGGTTGAACAAGATGCCATAAGAGCAGCGTGTCTACTTGTTATATACTTTAGCAGGAGGGTTGCTCAGATCGCTCGGTATCGAGTATACTGCTCGTACCAAGTATACTGACGCGGCCTAACTGCTCGAGTTGCTCGACTGAGATTGATGATCATACTGAGTATCGCTGACGCGGCCTCACTGCTCGGGTCGATCGATAATACAGTTCCTCGGCTCTTCCCGTATCGTTGCGTCGTCCTGTTCGTTCAGTGTTGTTTTGCGAGTTGCTCCTTGATCGTAACAGCCTGGTGGCAGTGCCAATCGATCCCCACACACACACCCTATAAGCGTCACCCGGGCACGATTGCCATCTTGAGTAGTTGCTGTAACCTCCTTCTTCTCCCACATACGTTTGCTGAACACGTGTTTGGTCCTGGTGGTGACTCCGATCATGAAGCCCTTCTCATCCATATTGTATGTGTGCTCAGCATCAACGTTGTATTGGGCGATTTTGGACTGCAAAAGGTTGAAATAGAGCTTGTATTTGGTATACTAATCGGCGTTGTGGCGATTGCTGTCCATACCCGTTGAGTATTGAGAGATGAGATGGATCGAGTGGTTGTTGATGAAGCGGGTAACCCAGCTCTTGCTGACTGGCTCTGTGGCTATTGACGACGCAAAATTTACTATCATTTCTCTTGTAGGTGGAAAATGTGGAGCAGTAAGCTCTTCTATATACCTGACAAGCTCCTCTTCCTGTTGTGGAGTAAGCTTCTGCTGGTTGGTGTTCTTGGTCTCTCGATCAGTTAGTATTTGCTTGTGTTTCCGCGACAAGGTTGTGCGATTAACACCATGCTAATCTGCAATATGCTGGTATACAAGTGTTTCGCTTGGCTTCAAATTTTCAATTTCCTCAAGCGCTTCTTTGATACCTGTCATGGTTGCTGAGATATTATGTGTTGAAGTATAGGTGTGTTTTAGTGATCGCGGTCGGCACGCGCACAGAAACGGTATCTCATCTCAACTTAGTTCGGGCACGAATTATTGCACGCCCTAATGTCGCGTCAGGTCGTGGAACACCGAATGCCCGCTCGCATCATGTAACCCTTCCTATCTCCTTACTTGTTTGTCACTTTGCATGTTGTACCATGTCATAGTCAGTGTGGTATCTGGATTCAGCCGTCCAATACGGTCGCGTACACATGAGGCTGTAGGTAAGACTGCTGTCAGCACTAGGCCAACAGCGACTCCGTCACTGGTAGTGGAAACCTCTACAAGGTGAGCAATGCAGTCAGTAATGAAGATCTATTCGGACACGCGATACAGGTAAGATTCAAAACCTCGCCTTTTGTCTCGTCTACCATTACCTTCCAGTCGCTCTGCCTCTCATCATGGCGCTCTCTCAGCGACTCTTCGTTTGGGTCATTGTGCCACTCGTTGCTCTAATTGTAGTGCAGATCTACGTGCTTGACTATCTACAGCTAGCAAGCCTCAATCTTTTCTTTTCCGGAAAGATACCTGCACGTTCAGACACACCAATCGTCGTCTCGGCCTTCACGCACTGGTCACATTTTGAGAAGATCTCAAAGCTTGCAGTTGTTCTTGCTGAACTTGGCTACCCTATTATCTTCGTTACTGGTCGAGTATTTGAGAAGGATGTCGAAGGCCTGCACCCTCGAATCACTTTCCATCCGTTGGTCGATGGCGAGGATAAGATGAGCACGGAAGACTTCAGCACCTACGCATCGAAGACGCCAGGTCTAGAGCGAGAGATGTTCATCACAAAGGTTGCTCTCATTGGAAGTATGGACCCGGCGCACGACACCTTGCAACAAGTCTTTCAAGACTTCCGCCAAAGACATGGCGACAACAAGCCGTTGGTCTCGCTCTTCGACACGCCGGTTATTGGTCATCACCCGATCTTGCTCGGTGCCCCAGGCATCAAGCCAGACGCAAGCATTATCATCAACTGTCACCCTTTGATGATGAATTCGAATGACAGCTTTCCGTTCTATGTAGGCAAAGCGCCACATACGGGCCCAGATGCGAAGGCTGTTCATCAGCAAGCGATCCTAGATCAGCGGAACGACCACCAGACCTTCACACTTAGTACCTGGTACTGGGAGGCTTTGAATGAACGTGGAGCACAGACGAACCTTTATTTGATGGACTCGATGCACGCTGTGACTGATCAGATATTGTCGCTTGGCGTACCCGAATTCGAATTCCCTCGCAGTGATCTCCGACCCACCGTTCATTATTTTGGCGCAATGAAGAAGCCAAAGAAGCTGAATGCTGGGCATGTGGATCTTCCCAGCTGGTGGAACGAGATTGTGGAAGCGAAGCAGCAAGGGAAGAAGATTGTTGCGGTCAGCCAAGGCACAATCGAGACGGATCTAAACAATCTGGTGCTGCCGACATTGGAAGCACTGAAGCACAGAGAGGATGTGCTAGTTATCGCAACCACTGTCGCGATTGATCCAGTCGATGTGCCCGACCTTATCCTGCCACAGAACGCACGAGTGGCGAAGTTCGTGCCTTATGATCTTTTGTTACCTATGGTAAGCTTCACAATTCTATCTTGCCTTCAAGATTAACAAATGACAGGTTAATGTTCTGGTGAACAACGGTGGATACGGTGCCGTCATACAAGCTCTTGAGCATGGAACCCCTTTGGTCGTCGGTGGTGAAGGCCAAGACAAAGCCATTACTAATGCAATTGTCCAATGGTCCGGTGTTGGCATTCACGTCGGCGGCCGGTCCCCCGGCATCGAGAATATCCGTAAGGGCGTCGAAAAAGTTCTGGCTGACGATTCATACAAGCAGAAAGCCAGAATGATGAGCAAAAACTTTGAAAGGTATGATGTTGGGACTGTTGTTGATGGTGTCATCCAAGGTGTCGTCCGAAACTGGGCAAAAAAGCAACGTTGATCGACATATTGTTGCAAACCTGCAAGTATTGCTGTTTATAACTACACTGTCTCGAACAAAGCAGTCTACAGCGGTTTCATACACGATGCGGCCTTACAATGCACTGTGTTACCAGCTTAGCTTCTCTCCCCACTTTTACCATTCTACATACATAAATAGCTTCCCTCCTTCATAGCTATTCAATCAACCCAGTTCCTCATGTTCCCTACGCTATACGTGACACAATGTGTGGCTATTGTCATCACCAACATTTCTTCTTGTGTTCCAGCTCTACCACTTTGACTCAAGTTTAGCATGTCCAACACAGAAAGCGCCATGGCGCACGATCTACCAAATCTCGCAACACTGCCTTTCGAACTGCGCTTTAGCATGTATCAGCACATCTCACCTGCACTAGAGGCACCAATCTCTAACTACCAGGAATGTTGCTGGCCAACAAATCCTTACTGCGAGAAGCTGAGTCTGAGTTGGCGAAGCAAATGCGTCACTTTATCAGTGACATAGCACTCGCATGAAAAGACACCTACGGAACCGAGCTTCATATTAATCAGCCTCATGGCCTTGCTGGACTAGGGAGCGTCACAGTATCTACCAACAATGGATCAAAGTGTAATTACGAAGCTGTCAAAACCTCGACGCAAGCCAGTCGACCTGCCTAGCAAAGCCACAAAAACTGACCATGTCGGTCAAAACACCACATCACAGCAGTTAGATGTCACTTCGTTGATATCGCGCTTAGAAGTGTGGCACCTTGCAGAGACAGCTCCTGATCCATCTGCGGCAGAGAAATTCATCAACATCGCCGAGCTTCGAATTATGCTCTACAATGGGATGGCCAATTCTGCTTCAAATCCAGTCCGTAGTTTCTCTGAATTCTTCCTTGCGTCTAAGACTGTGTATGCCGAAGCTGAGACTGAGGGTGTCAAGTTCCGCATAAAGTACATCGAAGCAGAAGAGGCAAAGTGGTCGAGGTTCTACGGAGATAACTTCTTCATCGGTAGGCCGCACGGCTTCCGCGACCTGAACACTGCTACTGTCAAACTGTTCCGTGAAATTTTCAGGGGTATTGACACTGGTGATTGCAAAACCAGTTTCGAGTGCAACTACGGTCGTTTTCGAGCACAATGTGTCTTGTAGTGTGAGCCTCCAAATTGTGTTATACGGTATGTTGCAGTAAACCGTCTGGAATTGTGTGTAGCTCCGGATGACTTTGCAGCTCCCATACGCATCCATCATGACTACATATCCAGTCCCCGTGACGGGATGAATGGGACTCTCGATGGGGCCCAACTAGCAACGTTGTGACGGTTTATGGAGTGAAGAGGTCATGTCTGCCATGTGTGCTGGTGCAGTGCTCTTGCCTGTTCCAACAGCACTTTCTGGCTGCACGACAGATACGTCATGTAAACAGACCCCGCTGGGGGTCGAGTGAGAGAACAGAAAAACACAACAATATACCGATTTTACTGCTTCGCGCAGTTACCCCTGATTTAATGCTCTGCGCGGTTACACCTTCATTTATTTGCATCTACTGCAACAAACGTTCCCCTGGAGCAAGAGGTAACATTCCTTCACTCATCCGCTAAGAGCTTGGCAGCTGGTTTTCTACTGGGGGAGTCAAAACACTGAAAGCTTCGATTGTTCTGAGAACGATATAATTGCAAAGTTAATGAAGCGCCTGCAGGGCTGAGAGTGTGCGATGATCCAAGAAGCAGGGCTCAACGTTGGAGTGGTGGCAACCCAGAACCCAAACACAAACAAGGAGGAGGATGTAAAGAGATGACAGCGAGGTGTTAGCTTTGTCGCTCAGGTTGACCGAGGAAACATCAGGAATAGGTATCGAGACGACATCTCGGTTCACAAGTGCATCCTCCTAAGCGCCAGTCATACAGTTACAACAAACGTTTAAATATCTTAGTTGACCTCAATTAGCGCCAATTGGTTGCGTTACTGATATGGTCGTTCGTTTTGGTGATCGAAACTGTATGGATCTAAATATTAGAAGCGCCTGTACCATTCCCTTAATAACGCCAGGTGAGTGCATATATGGGTTCTGTACCCTGCAACAAGCGCCATCTAAGCACCAAACATCTTCAAGAGAGCCTCAACTTCCTCGATAACTTTCTCAACACTCTGACCGGCATCGACAGGTAGCACATCCAACTCATCTGCAGATGGCGCGCCGTAGATAGCAACCTGACTTTTGACCATCTCGGGCTTCATGTAGTGCGGGTCACGGCTCTGCATACGACGCACAAGTTCTTCCTGCCCAGCCTGAAGATCTACGAAGACGACCTGTACATCTTGTGACTCTATAGCGCGGAATTTGTCGCGGTACTGCTTCTTCAGCGCAGAGCAAGAGACGACGACCTTCTCATAGCCCAGATCGTTGACAGTCTCGAGGGCACGCTTGTTTAGCCTGTCGAGCCAAGGCGCGCGATCATCATCGCCGAGCGGAATGCCGGAGGCCATCTGCTCGACAGCACTGCAGGAGTGCAGTTTGTCGCCTTCAACAAAGGGTGCCTTGAGGGTAGCACTGAGGTGCTTCGCAACTGTCGACTTGCCACTGCCACATGGGCCGGCAACGACAATGACTTGCTTCATCTTCTCAGCAGTGCTAGAGGAAGGCTGCTTCCATGCGCCGGACTTGAACTGATCGACGAAGGTCTTGACAAAAGATGCGTCGAGTACTGGTGCGTTGTCTAGAGCGGGCGACCATTGACGCGCGACTGCGGTCTCGTAGGTTCTCGATGGGCCAAAGGTATCCTTGTCGTACTTGGAGGCGAAGAAGTCTACAAGCTTGAAGGTGGGGTTGGCAACAACATCGTTGCTGGAGTTGCGCAATCGCTCGACCCACTCCTTCGGCTCAACCTCGTCGAACTCCAGTCCAGCTTGTCGCAGAGCAGGGAGGAGATCGTTAGTCCATGAGAATGTCTTTGCGTTAGTGACGTTGGCAACAATTGGCTCAGCGTTGCTGAGAGAGATCTCAGAGACGGCTTTTGCGATGATGTCAACCGGTGTCCAGCTGGGAGACTCCTGCAGCTTGGGCAGTGCACCGATGGTGAGCGCGGACTGCATCATGAGAGGGATGGCCTCGTCCTTGTTCCAGACACCGTGAACAGTGTCAGCGACGATTTGACCGACCCGAAGCACCCTAGCCTTGACACCAGCCTGGTTGGCAGCCGCCACGCAAAGGTTTTCTGCCACACACTTGCTTTGAGCATAACCCATGCCTTGAGCCCAGTCCAACTGTGCGACCTGTTCTGGCGTGACCATACTTGGGCATCTTGCGACAGTGCTAACGGAAGAGCAGAAGTCGAAAGTCGCTTTGGATGCAGGGGTGGCGAGACAAAGGTTGACAAGATGGTTCACACCAGCGATGCAGTCCCTTTCAAAGGATGGCAGACCCCAATTGAAGTTGACGGCCCATGCACAGTGGATGACATTGGTCACCTTCTCGGCAATGGCCTCGTAGGTCGCAGTAGGCAGCCCCAAGTGAGCGTCGGAGAAATCCGAAGGCAGGGTATTGATCTTTGCGCGCGCTTCCAAAGACATGGTATGGTAGATCTTGCGCTGGAGAAGCGATTGTGTAACACGATGGGCCGCCTCCTTACCGCTCTTTGCGCGGACAAGGCAGTGGACAATCTCGGTGTCGGCGCGAGACACTAACTGCGCAAGAACATGAGCACCAAGCGAGCCGGTAGTACCTGTAAGAACCACAGTATGCTTACGAGCAGGCTTGAAATCGCTGTACTTGGCGATGAGGTCCTGCATGGTTTCTTCGACCGAGGTCTGCTCTTCCACCACCCCAGCGCGGAGGCTGTCAAGATGACCGCTCAGGGAAGCGATGGATGGGTACTCAAAGACGACATTCTCGCCGAGCTTGTTGTTGCCGATGTCGACAGTCTTGAGAATGTCTGTGCGAATCAAGATGGACTGCAATGAATCCAGGCCAAGCGAGAAGAAGTCGGCAATTCGATCAATGTCTTCTGCCTGGGGAAAATATTTGGTAACAATGGAACGGATAAAGGCCTCCAGCTCAGGTATGTCGAAGGCTTTAAGATCTCCCTGTGCGGTTGCTGCCAGGTCGTATGCGCTTTCGATTTCGGGCGCAAACTGCTTGTAGAACGCTTGCCTGATGATGCTGCCTTTGTCTGTTCGAGGAAACTGGCAATCATGTGGTAGCACCTGAATCATATGTCGGGTAATCCTAGCATATGCTTCGGCTGTTCGATTGGCTTCTTCGATCACTGGCCAAATTTGGTCGATGATCTTGTCGCTCGACAAGCCAGTTGTCGCAGGACTGGGAACAACGAGCATTCCAAGATATGGGCGGGCAGCGCCAAACACCACTGTCTCAGTGACAGCTTTGTGCGAGCGGATCGTTCCTTCCATCATGACAGGATTGAACTTCTCGCCATTCACGAGGACAATGGTATCGTCGAGTCTTGCAACGTATTTCCAAGCTTTCTCGATTGTTGGGTGCGGCTCGAAGAGGTCTTTCGTGGCGTAGCTACCGTCAGGCCTGTTGGATGCAACCTTAGATGGCCACCCAGGTAGTACGGTGCATTCGTATAGGTTCGGACTTTGTGGAATCCACTTGAGGAAGGGCTGAAGTTTTGGCGACTCCCGGACGTAGTTCCAAGCTTTGTCACCATCAGGTCGGAAAGATGTCATGAGCTGACCAACTTCAGTGCTACGTCTATGTTAGTAGCAATCCTTGATATCGTGATTGAGTAACCCACGCTCCGTAGTGACCAACGAGCTTAACTCCGTTGTCAACGAGCAGGTTGCCCAGTGTGTCTGGGCAAGCGCTACCACCGTACATAACGATCTTGAGCTGTTGCAATAGTGCAATACCCTCATCAGTTTCCGCAAGAAGCTTCAACGCGTATGGAACACCATAGAAGATCTCAAACTGATGCTTTCGTAAGATCGAAGTCAAGTACGGTTGTGTGAGCGGTAGGTCTGCGTTGTAAATGTGGATGGACTTTCCGGAGTAGATGGCACGGAAGAAATTGCAAATACCATGGTTATGGTACAAAGGCAGAGTGATGAATGCCTTCATGTCCATGTGGATTCCGTAGTTCGCAATGCAGCTCCTCTGAGGCTGATAGATGGGCTTGGGAAGACCAGTCGAACCTGTCAAAGTCAGTAACAGTCATCCCAAAATGAGAGGAATTTGATACGTACCACTAGAGTGGATGATGTACACATTGTTGGATGCCTCCACGTTGTGATCAAGCTGGTAGTCCAAACGGGTGTCTGCGTGTACTTCGATAGGGAAGTCGAACAATGACTGCTTGGCAATTTCCTCGACGTAGACAGATGGCATGTTCGCTTGTACATCGGCAGCGGTCTGTAAGAACCGTGCATCTGCCAACAGGTATGTCGCACCAGTAGTCTCGATTAATGACTCGATAGCCAGCTGTGATATCCTTGTTGACAAGAACAGAACCGTGTGACCAAGCTTGGTAAGAGCGAGCATGGTGACTGCATATTCGAAGTTGCTGGGCCCAAGCAGAGCCACGGTGGTAGGCTTGGCATCTGAGCTCGTCCTTGTTGGGATGAAAGTCTGGTAATGCCTCGCAACCCGGTAGGCGAATACATCCAGCTGTTGCATCGAGTAATCAACAAAGTCGACACCTGAGCTTGGGTAGGCGACAATGGTGGCATGAGGATATGTGCGTGCTCGGTGCCGTATCAGCGCATCGACTGTCTGAATAGGTGCATCGTCAACTGTGTCGATGCGCTCGACAGTCGTTGTAATGGACTTTGATGGGGTGGATGGTTGAGGAGTGGGAAGTGCTATCTGTGCTGGTGCCATGGTTTAGGTGGACTGCAGAAGCAGATAGCAAACAGCAGGGAATGAACAGATGAGCTGAGTGAAGAAGACATGATGGATGATGGACCCTCTTTAACATTGAAGTTGCTGCAATGGTAGTGTGTCTGTGCCGAAAGATTGTGGGGAAGGTGGTTGCTGAGGTCTGAAGGAAAGCGCGACCGGGTCGGGGGAAGCTTGCCGCTAAGGACGCACAAGCGCTCAAGCGCACATACGGATTTTGATATGATTGGTGCGGTATCAGATGTTATTTCGCAGCGGTTTCGACTATTCATGAGCACCGAGAAATCCGTCAAGCTAAACAGTCTGAATCTGCGTTTTCTCACTGCCGGCCACTGACCCGAGGTCTTAGCGCCTCCCCAGACAATAACGGCTGCCTCCGCATCTCGATGCCACGACAAGCTGGGGATGGCTCGTATGCATGGGTTCTCCGCACTGTCGACTCCACAGTCCCAACCTGTCACTTGCACGTAGGTCACCGCAATCTATAAGATCATTGTCTCCGGACGTGCTGTGGAATGCATCATCACAACCTCCTCAACGAGCTTCGCAGAGACTGCCTACCCCTTGCATCTTGATTTGTATCTTCTTTCCTTCCAGCATCATCTTATTTAGCCACCATGACCGCTATTGAGAAGAACGAGATCTCGTACGTCGACGAAAAGTCGGAGTCCGTTTATGACACGAAGGCACACCAGATCGTCCAGATCGACAACTTCCAAGTTCTTGGTCTTCACCCAGACGATGCAGAATTCTACACAAACTATTCCGAGAAGAAGAGGAGGAAGGTCATCCGCAAGGTTGACGTTCGCTTGGTCCCTATGTTGGCTGTTCTCTACCTTATCTCCCACATCGACAGAGCCAACATTGGCGTACGTAGCGCAATCAGCCGACCATCGAAGCGCACTTACTGATCTGCTACAGAATGCAAAGATTGAAGGCATGGTCACTGATCTGAAGCTCAGTAATATAGAGTGGAACGTTGTGCTCTCTGTTTTCTTTGTGCCATACATCCTACTGGAGGTCCCATCCAACATGCTCTTGAAGAAGTTCAAGCGCCCATCAGTCTACCTTGGTATTCTCATCGTCGCATGGGGCATCATCATGACCTGCATGGGTGTGGTCAAGGACTTTGCTAGTCTTCTGGCCACTCGTATCCTGCTTGGTGTGTTTGAGTAAGTTCATGCCAATCAGATTTCCCACTACCTGGCTGACACAGTTGTAGAGCTGGATTCTTCCCCGGTGCCGTCTACCTCTGCTCCTACTGGTACATGCCCAAGGATCTGGCGACACGTATCTCATACTTCTACTGCGCTTCGGCTCTTTCTGGCGCATTCAGTGGTCTCCTTGCGGCTGCCATCGCCAAGATGGATGGCGTTGGAGGCTATGAGGGATGGAGGTGAGTTCGTTTATATTAAGGTTGGATTGATTGTTGACTTTGCATAGATGGATCTTCCTCCTCGAGGGTATCGCCACTGTCATCCTTGGTGTTTCTTGCTTCTTCCTGCTCATCGACTCCCCTGCTTTGAGCGGAAGGTGGCTGGAGCCCGATGAGATCCGATTCCTTGAGCTGCAAAAGTTCATCAAGGATGGCGGCAAGTTTTCCGAGGAGAACCAGGAGAAGTTCCGTTGGAACGACCTGAAGATGGTCTTGAGCAACTGGAGGTTGTACATGCAGGCGTACATCTTGCTTTGCATCTCAGCCTGCTCATACGGAACCAAGTTCACCCTGCCCACGATCACCAAGGGCATGGGCTTCAACAACACCAACGCTCAGCTCATGACTGTCCCACCATACGTCTGTGGTGCTATCAGCTCAATCGTCTTCGCGCGTCTATCTGATAGGTTCTACTGGCGTCTTCCCTTCGTTGCCATTCCACTGTCGTTGATCGCCATTGGTTACTCGATCATCATTGGTTTCCAGGGTAACCTGCGCGCCAACCTCGGCCCCTCCTTCTTCGCCATCATCCTTACCTGTATTGGTATTTACCCCGTCCAGCCCGCTGGAAGTTCTTGGGCGGCCAATAACTTGGCACCCAGCTCTCGTCGTGCTATTGGTGTTGCCTTCAACATCTGTATCGGCAACATCGGTGGAATCGTTGGCAGCTACATGTACCTTGAGTCGGAGAAGCCCAAGTACAACACTGGTTTCGGTCTGTCGCTCGCTTTCGGTGCCTCTGGATTCATTGTTGCCTTTTTGTTGGAAGCGTCCTACAAGTGGGGCAACTCCAAGAAGGCTAGGCTTGACGAGGATGAGATCAGAGCGAAGTACACTGACAGGGAACTTCTCGAGATGGGTGACAAGTCGCCCCTCTTCAAGTATATTTTGTAGTGCATGAGACATGGAGCGGGCATCGGGCTAGAACACTGGCCTGAGCCCGGCAAGGAGATAACCATGACAACGCTGAGAACCATCTGCATTTCATAAATTCAACTTTAGACGTAGCATAGATTTCGCTTCAATGAATGATGATGCTATCCATCTGGGTTTGTCCGACGCTCACAGTTCTTATCTGGGATCGCTCATGGTCGTCGTCTTCGCAGTAGAGAGGTAGCGTCCAGAGACCCTCGGCTAGAACCAGCGGTCTGCATATAAATGCTCTTTCATATGGAGGTATATACTACGCTTTTCCGCGCTGTCTGTAACTTTTTTAGCAGACTTAAAGACCACAGTGTCGAGAGCTGACGTTACTTCGCGGATCGTCGCTATACACGCGGACAAAGCCACATCTCGCAGCAATGGCCAATGTACCAGAAGACTGGCGTAACCGCAAATTATCGTTGTGGAAGGATTGAGATGATTTGATTGATCTGATGAGCTATGGCAAGGATCGGTCGGGACTATATAGTGGAAAGGAATAGCAGTGATAGGATGGGGAGACAAACTGCACTAACCAAATGAACTGGACAATCAGTGCAGCGGACCGCTGGCGAACAGTCTTCAACTGAAATAGTTGAGAATGGAAGGGTTGCACAAGGCTAGCTGGTTTTGTCGGTGTCAAAAACGTTGGGGCTGCCCTTGCTCACTCTGCGACCTTGGATAAAAGCTCTCTCGCTATGATTTTCTGGAGAGTAGCACCAAGCTCTCATCTTGGATACACTATTCGGGAAATACTTTCAAGTGTCTGTGCGAGCTTTGCGGTAGCCATGAAGAAGTCCATGTAGGAATTGCTACCATCATCGATCCGTGGTCCGCCACAGTCATTACTTTGTCGTTAACATTATCAGGCAGACGCTGTGTAATATCGGCGATATTGTAATGCAGGGGGTGGCGAATGCGAAGTACAGCTGCATGTATAGGGTGTACGCAGCTCAGAACACCCTCCTTTCGCATTGTGGATGAAGATAATCCAGGCTTTCGGAGGGTAGCCCATGTGATTCCTTGTCCTCATACAACTCAGGAGCAGCGATCACAGATCATGCTCCACCAAAGGGGTGCTATGCCTGTCTGTACCTCCTACTCATGAGAAGATAGTGCGTCAATAGAAGCAAGAGCTGATCAAACTCCACTGCTGTCGTGTCGGTTTGTTTCTCTGCTTTTACGAGCGCGCGGGCGACGGGTCTGCTGATTTGCGGGGTCGTGGGCGACAGTGTGCGGGCCGAGTACTGCGTCACTTGCGTTGACTGTGCGGTCGGGCACGATGCTTTGCTGGATAAAACCTGTTCACTTTCACCCCAAATCTTACTATGCCATACCCTTGGCCGAGGAAGTAATTGTATCACGAGAAAATGGTCATACCTACTTTGGTTCGAAGGTGCACAAGCCCAGAAGACTTTCTCAAGTGGAAGTTGGAATGCTCTTGTGAAGCTTGGTGGCATGGGGTAAGTGTGCGAAGAGAGATTCAAAAGCAATAGAAAAGTAGTGGGAAAGAAAATTGAGGTAAGAGACGAATTTACGAGTAGTAAGGCTGTTTCCGTGATTCTAGACGGTCTCTCACCTTGCCAGCACAGGCCAGATCTCGGAAAAAGTTACAGGGTATCCAACCGGCTTGATGTCGCCTTCATCTATGATCTCCTTCTTGGTGTAAGCTCTTCGCACCAGCAAGCTAGGTAGTGAGACATGCAAAGGTTGGCAGAGGGTGTGAGTGTGAGCGACCGTTTTTCGATGTCCATAAGAACGGTTTGCTACAGTCGTCCCGCTTTTCACCACCTGTCCCTCTTACACTCCTCGCAGCTAAATTCTATACCAAGTTTCCCTTCTTCAATTTCTCCAAATACCCTCCAAGGTGGCAGTATAATCAGATATCTGCATCCACCTCCAATAGCCCCAAGGGCGGTACGTCGCGACTTCGGAGAATCACCTACTGCCAGGGAAGGCTGATGAAACGCTGAGGGGTCGGGTGGTCGCTGCATGCGGCGGATGTGTGCCGGCATTCGCCCAGGTCTCCTTGGCTGGAGCTGTCGGCAATGATAAGGCAGTCAGGTTCCACGGCGACCTGTTCCCAACTCTCAAGAACGAGATATTTAGGCAAATGTGGCGTGCCGGCTCGTCCATCATGGGCTTCGTCAGAGGCAGGATGTATACGATGGATATTGAGGCAATATCAGAGCGCTATCAACGAGTGATGCTTAAGTACCCAGCTATCAGACACCACCCATCCAGGTCAAAGACTGCTCATTATAACTTGGTAGAGAGGCAAACGCCGACGAGTCCAGATCGAGCCAATCCGTAGTCTGCCAACCGTCCAGGAAGTTTTGCAGTCCAGGGGTTGACGTGTCAATAGGACTGCCAAAGAGCGGCTGCCAGAGCTGCGCAACAGCTACGTCTTGTATTGATTGTTCATCAGACATGTTCACCCGTGCACGGAGTGCATCAGGTCCGGTTGGGATTGCAGCCATGGAGGTAACAATCTGATTCGGCTCTTGCATCGCTCTCGCAGTCTTCCTCTTAGCCTCGGTTCGCAATTCCTGTAGAATGATGCTGTATTTGCGTGATGGCGAGTTAGTCGCAGTGGCCTGAGCGAGGTGGTTCATGCATTTCTCTGCCTGGTCGAGGATTTCCCGACGTTCAGCAACAGTAGGATCGTTGTTGCTTTCTTGGATGGCCCAGACATAGACAACTACTAATGCACAGAAGCAGACGTAATGTGTCCACCAGAAAGCATGGAACAAGCGACCCTCCCGAGCCATACGATCGACTGCTTCCAATACCGACTGGGCAGCTTTGATGCACTCTGTGATGCTTTCTCTTGCGAGCCGTCTCAAATCCTCACTGTGACGCACGGTGTTCTTCAACAAGAATGGACGATGCGCAAGCATAACCGCATGCGAGTACGACATTCGCAAAGCCATGGCTTGTCGGCGAAAACTAGGTATGAGACTGCTTGGGTTGATTGCACCCAAGAACGGAGGAAGTGACGATCTCCACTGCCGGAGTTCTGCTCCCAGACGGTGAGCTGCAGCTAGTCGCTCTTCATCAGGTATCGCTTTGATTGAGTAAACCTCCCTTGAGATTCGTTCGGCGATCTGGGCAAGCTTGGCATGTGAAATCAAAGAGTCAATATGACAGTCGTTATCGCTCTCCCTTGGACCAGTGGAAGTCATATCCTCGTCGTTGACTGCGTCCGGGAAGTCTTGGTCAATGTCATCGTCGTGGTAGTGCCGCGGGCGCCCGAAGATAACTCCAAGATATTTGTCTAGCGTGTAGGCCACCCAAAACGTTCGTCTTTTACATTGCTCCTCAATGTAGTCTCTTCGATAAGCTGGTAAAGGACGCTTGCGGTCCTCACGTCTGTGCAAGCCCAGAGCCGATAACACTTGCAATGCATGGCCGAAAGCATACCATGCCTGGTTGAACCTTGATGACATCAAGAGATATAACACCTGGATGAGTCGCGCTTGAGCGGATTCGAGCTTTGGGAACCCAGTCTCCGTCTCTGTCAACCGAAGTGCTTCGCAGAAGATTTCGTCACTCTGTGCTGGTACTGCATCACCAGTAGCTGGCGACAGGCCACTCTCGCCTCTAGCCCTCTCTTCGTGTATGCAAGCGACAGCCAGTACAGACAGCACGATTGAAGTTTTCGCGTAGCCGAGGCCCGTGAAGAGTGGCTGGCTTGATGTGAAGTTATTCGACACCGTATCGAACCACGACTCGACCGTAGGTCTGTGGAGAAGTCGATAGGTTGCAATGCAGACGTCAAAGTATAATCCGAGTAATTCATGACCTCGGTCCAGCGGTGGTATTCGAACATCACCTGGTCTCTGGAATGGCTTATCACCAGCGCAAGTGAGCAGTTGATTGTCTTCGACAGAGCCCAGTTGACCGCTCATGACCTGGCTGCTTTCGCCATTGGAGAACCGTCGCCATGCGCGATGGAGGAAAGAAAGTCCGGAAGTCGTATCGGAGTATTGACCTGCTACTTCGAGACCTGGCGAACCTCGAGAGGGAGCTTCTGGGATAGATTCTTGATGTCGTGTCGCCATAGCAGCCAGTACATCTAGATTATTGGATCCTGTCGGCCCGGCGCCATCTTCAATACCACTTGAGCTGCCAGTTGGGAAGGGTTGGTGCGCATTGCCCCTTTCAACACTATTGAGGATCGGAGGCGAACGGGTGGGCCTTGCAGCGTCTGCTGGCTGGACTGGTATTGACTGCGATGCATCGACGTTCACAACATTCTGCCGCACACGACGTGGTGCTGGCGCCTTCCCTCGCGCGTAGACTGCCTCATATCGACAATCGAGTCCTCGGCGATCGCACGTTCTGCATGGCTGCTCACCCGAGCATTTTGCCTTCTTTGCTTTGCAAATATCGCATGCGCGGGTCACTTTTGACTTCTGTCGGTACTGAGTTCCGTCAAGGGCACGCTTCTGCGGGATAACACTTCCGTGCCCCGCATGTATAGTACTCGGAGCCACTGGTGATTGCGAATTGTGCTGATGCGGTGCTTGTTCCGTGTTGGCCATCTCAAGGGGCTGCAGAAGGATATCGAAGACCAATGTTTGCGATCAGCCAGTGATAAGGGAATCCGTCTGAAAGGCGGGGGCAGGTTCCGAGGTCATCTTTCCGTAGGGCAGCCGAGGTCGGCTTGTGCCGGTAAGTCTCGCTCGAGTTCTAACAGTTTATTACCTAGTAGGGCAATCCTGAAAAAAGTGTCGAACTACCCGCGGCAAAGATTATGGGCTTCCCCACGTTCTGGTGTACACACAAGATGTGGGTACCCAACATGGTGGGGTTGTCATTGGAAGTTGATGTTGGTAGCGCCCCACTAGCGTACTCGCTCGCAACCTCTCCGCAGTTTCCGTCTCCTGTTCAACAGTCACTACGGATCATCAACATGACATGGATCAGTTCCACAGCAATATGGAATTTCCAATTTGTTCAAAATGCTGTCGAATCCGCTTCAATGGGTTATGTACCATCCTTCTGTAACCCTCCTAACACTTCCAAAGCTCCGCAATAACAACAGAGCTTATTCTCCAAATTCTTGACGTACACGAGCGACTCGATTCCCAAGATGTCGCTTCCTACACACTTCACCCTCAACACAGGCGCCAAGATCCCCGCTGTTGGCTTCGGCACATGGCAAGCAAAGCCTGGTGAGGTCGAGCGTGCTGTAGAGACAGCGTTGAAGGCTGGCTACCGTCACATCGATTGCGCAGCGATCTACAGAAACGAGGCCGAGGTCGGTGAAGGTATCCGTGCAAGTGGTGTGCCTCGACAAGACATCTTCATCACAGGCAAGCTTTGGAACACAAAACATGCGCCTGAGGACGTCGAGGCTGCACTCGACAAGAGCTTGGAGGACCTTGACACAGAGTATCTCGATTTGTTCCTGATGCACTGGCCTGTGTAAGTATCAATTACCACTCTGTTTGCATGCAGGCTAAAGTAAGCACAGTGCTTTCAATGGCAAATCTCGCAAGTGGTTCCCTCTGCGCGAGAACGGCGTCTTTGACCTGATCGATATCGACCCTGCCGATACATACAAGGCCATGGAGAAGCTTCTCAACACCGGCAAAGTACGCGCTATCGGTGTCTCCAACTTCACCATCAATCGCCTCGATGACCTGCTCTCCAAGACCAGCGTCGTTCCCGCCGTCAACCAGATCGAAGTACACCCTTACCTGCAGCAGCCTTCCCTCTTCGACTACTGCAAGAGTAAAAACATCCTCATCGAAGCATACTCACCCCTCGGCAACAATCAGACCGGAGAGCCACGCACAGTCGACGACTCGCTCGTCGGTGAGCTTGGCAAACAGTTGGGCCTCGATGGTGGGCAGCTGCTTGCGAGTTGGGGCATCCAGCACGGACACGTCGTACTGCCAAAGAGCGTGACACCACACAGGATACAAAGCAATCTGCAAGTACAGGAACTGTCCAAGGACGCATATGAGAAGCTCACTGGTCTAGAGAGGCACAAGAGGTTTAACCAGCAGTCGAGGTGGGGTTTCGACATATTTGAGGAGCTGGGCCAAGCAAAGGTCACCAAGATTGCTGAAGATGCGGCTGAGGCGAACAAAGAGAAGTTCACTACGTGAAAAAATGCATAACCTTCTTCCCCTCATTCGATAGACACGCATAGGCTCGACCCAATCTTTGTACAGTGCGCCCTTCACACCAGATCATAGCACCTCACGTCCTTTGCTACCCTCCATTGGTCCTTGTTTCAACGCGCCTTCTTCGTTTTGTCTTCACTCCCACCAATTTCCAGTAAGAACGCAATCCTGATGAGCGCCACCCATACAGTGAACAACATATTGAACCAGTCTCCGCCATGCCAGGTGCTCAAATCGGTTCTGCCCTGTAGCCTGAGCAGATTATACAGCGTAGCAAGAAGCGAGATATCAACGCCCAGCGTCGCTGCCTGGACAATCCTCCATACCTTGGGATCGGGCGAAGCGCGCAACAGCACTCCGTAGATGATACCGCAGAAGCCGTACAACGCAGCGGCTTGGTGAAGCAGCGGTCCGTGGGTCAGTGGATTGTAAGGCTCAATGGAACGCGGTACGACTGTCTCGAGGATGGTAGCGGGAGAGAAGATGCATGTGAGCACCGTGAAGAAGAGGACGATTGGATCCACGGTGGTGAACCAGGTTCGGTAGAAGGAGTGTACATGTGGTTGAGGCATGATAACTGCGAGGACTATGGGATTGCTGAGAGATCGGAATCGTATCTTTGATGTCGGTATGGGTACAACGCTTTATAACTATATGAAAACTTGCGTGCCGTCTCACCTAAGCAGCGCCAGAAATGGATTCGTGCTTACTCTTGGCATGCACAATACAGGTAAATGCTCTTGCTTACAAGCTGTGGCTTCAAAATACTCCTCAATGGAAATTTTCCTGGGTGCAGATATAACCTAGATTCAACAACATGCTATTCCATTTTCAACATGCTGCAGAGGTAGGTGCTTTTCCAAGGTTGATAGCCCTGGAGAGCACAGTTGTCAACAAGTCAAGTCCAAATCAAGGCCAAGTATATTTGATCCCGGAGCGCCCTCTGGTACGTGCCGCTCTGCACGTCCCTATAGGAGGTTCGTGAACAAATCAAGTCCGAAGATTTGAGGATTTGATTTGTTTGTTGCTAATTGTGCTGGAGAGTAGCTATGGAGCGACAGAAGCACCATCATGCAATGAGTGTGATAACGCTGCGTGAACTTGAAGCTTCAAGATGTGCGCGCGTTATTGTTAGTGTTCTACCTTCGACAGCAGGGCTGCCTTAGAAGGCTCCAACTTGTGAGGTTGACGTCATCGACCCGTACAGTACAGGCCACTGAGGCGACTACCCGCTTTCCTCTATCGCAACAACTTCTTCTTCGCGCTCTAGTTCACCACAGTTATCGCTTTGTTCAACTGTAACCAAGGCCTTTTGAAGTTGTTAGCACAGCCTCCACAGTATTGAACAAGCTGCGAATATCCCTTGTACGATTAGTTACTGCACGCATTGAAGAGGTGAAAGCTAGGAAAGCTTCACACGAGAAGAAGAGAGTGTATTAAAAGAGAGAGGAGCTGAAAAGACGGACTCGAGATGGAGAAGAGAAATAGGAGAAAAGTTCGCTTCACAGAGCTACAACAACTTCGGAAGAGTAATGATTGTCCCGTCGATCCAAATTTGCTTTGTTTCCATACCTATGAACGATCTCAATTTCTCATGTAAATGGCGGGTGCTTGCGCGTATTGCTATGCTTGCCTGCGGGGTTAGTGACACGCGAAAACACTATACGATATGTTCCGTCTCCTCCACGCCTCCTGCGGCTGAGCACGAACCTTGTCTCTCAAATGCAGCGTTGCCAAGCTCCAGTCAGCCTTAGCTACGAGTCTGTCTCGACTCATCGAAAAAGCCCGCAGCACTTGTATCAGTGTATACAAAGTCACATGACGAGCAAAGTCGAGGACGGAGCTGGCATAAGTGAACGTGGGCTGCTAGTGCTTCGGTCCTGCTAGTTTTCCTGTCGAGGACCCATCATATCTTTCACCACAGCCTTAGTACTTGGCTCTCCTCGACTGGACAACACATGCATCGCTCTATATCACTGCTTTCGAAATGTCTATGAGCGGATTGTCTGTGGCGCCTCAAGACCTTATCACAGCTTCTCCGATCGTTCACCCCATCCTTCTCGGCAAAAAAAAAATAGAACAGCAAAACGTTCGTGTTACCCCGCGTGTGCCGACGGCCCATGCGGTTTGACAAACCCTATAGTCGCAGCCAGCGCATCGTACCCTACAGTGTCACCGACACCAAACAACAAATACGGGCTTGCTAGGAGCTAGAGGGATATCGAACGCATAGTAGAAAACCCATCGGTTGTCTCGAAAGTAGTGTTCACGATGCCCCATACGTGGTGTTGACTGTAGAGTTCTCATCCGTTTCCACGATTTCCCACCTGCCTGGCTCGGTCTGGTTCATGTAGATACCTTGGTACTGACCAGGGCAGTTCGACGCCAATCCGGATGAGCAGTGCCGTGAGAATCTCAGATTTGGTGGCGGCATCGTTACTCTGCATCAAAGAGTGGGATCTCTGACGTATTCGAATTCGACTGGCCTGGTTTCACTAGGCACGACTTTGTCAGACAATCCTAAAGGTGTGAGGATACTCACTAGTATCGACAGCGCGGCCCCTAGAGTTGAAGTCCAAGTCAAAGTCGTTACCGACGTGGACACATGTCGGCTGCTCACAGCGTCTGCGCGAAGGAGGTGTGGCCATATTGTGTTCGAGATGTAACAATTGAGAATAGACCTGCGCCACAATTGCTCCACTTTTCGGCGATGTATCAAAACACTAATAGCCAGACACAGGTGGCCCAAATTTGTACCATGTGAGAGGTATAGATTGGAGGCTGTGTCTCAACGTGATGTATTGCTAATTGTGTTGTTGTTTTGCCTGATGTTCTTGTCCAGGAACTCTTTGTTGATGCTCGGGTACCTCACCCAGCACCTATGCTATGTTGGATCTGTCGCCGTACTAGCCTAATCTGTCCTAGTCCTAAATGGTTTCCTTCACACAAACCGGAGCTCAGATAGTAACAATACCACACGTGTCATCCATACTCATACCGATTGCAACTCTCAGCCTAGAGGTAAGTGCACTTGTCCTCGGGTAGTGCCTACAACAGTAGGATATCATGTGACACAGACCACGTAGTTACAAAATTTCTCAGTTCAATACCGGATCATCTGTTCCGGTCGTCTGAGTATCTCAATACGTTCGACAATAGTACTTCATACTGGCCTGATGCAGTGTCAAATTGGCCTAGAAATTGCCCCTGTCTAACCCTTGTTTGAGTTTCTTTGGACTACTTTTTACTGGCCATACTTCGCCCAGTATCCGTTTTCCACCAAGCTCACAGCTTTCTTCGTAGATTGATCCAAATCCTCTTTCGGCAGCCCCAAATTCTCTGTGTCCAAACCGTGCGTCTTCTCAAACAGGCCCGCGTCTTCGTAGAAGTACCTTGTATACAACACCCGTCCAAACGCGACACGATCGCCATTCCTCAAACGCTCACGCGCATTCTCGTAACGTTGTTTGGCTGGCTCAGATGTAATGTTCCAGTCGCTGTCCGTTGTTCCGGTGACCCGCTTTACTGATTCGAACATATCTTTCTGGTTGACCGTAAACGACGACACGTATACCATGCGGTTGCGATACGTGCTCAGTGTTGTTGGAGCACCTTGTTCACCGCTCGTATCAACAGGCAGCGAAAGTAATGCAGCGACCGCACGACCAACTTGCGGCCATGTCGAAGTGTTTAGTCTTTGCGTTCCATGGTCAAAGAACGTGGCCTTTCGCTCGTTGATGTCGATGCCGTACAGCTCGCCATTCGAGAGTGAATGCTCGTACCAAAACCCACAGCTGATGCCGATCCAGGATGACACCCCGAGGGACTCGATGAGTTCGCGATCTTCCTTCTTGCTGGTCCCAATGGTTTCGTTTGCTACCTCATCGGTGTTGTACATGCCGAACTCATTCGGAAGGATCCAGGGTACGCCTGCAGCTGCTGCAGCCTTGATGAGTTTTGCTGATGTATCCTTCGGCGCGAAGATGGAGGTGGTGATAATGAGAGCATCGTGGCCTTTCAGTGCTTCGGTGATAGAGCCGTGGTCATCGTAGTTGACTCGTACGACCTGTATGTTGGGTGGAAACTCTGCCTTCGAATCCTGGCGCGAGATTGCGGTGATGGTGAGGTGATTCTTTGCCAATAAAGCGTGAGTGAGATATGTCCCTATTGTGCCAGTGACGCCGACTATGGCAATGCTTTTGATGGACGATGTCATTGCGGAGACCGTTCCGAGTCTGACAATAGAAGATGGTCATATGTCTGGGTTTTGTACGGTGCTGGATGTTGAAACTTCAACTGCTTGGTCTTCTTATATTCGCAGCCAGGAAAGCTTACTTTTCAGTTCTTTTGATATCGGATGCTTCAAGGCACCGATCACCGTCAGCACTACGAGGTCTTGCTGGCCGGAAACGACTCCGTCACTATCAGTGGAGGTGCTGTTTTGTGCAGATGCAAGGCTACCTTAACTCCGGGCGGAGATTAGCGGCGACTGACACAACAAGCCAAACTCCTCGCATCTTGAACTTGGACACCGCTTCGCATGAATCCTCGAATCCGTGTTACGTAGCTACTCTGTAGGTGCCTTAGCCGCAAGCTATATCATGTAAGTATTCCCCAAAATGCGTGTGGTCGGCGTAAGCCATAATCACGTACAGCGAACATATCATTCCACTTCGCTACCCGCTTGATGTTGGCTGGTCATCATTGAAGTACCAAGACAAGTCTGTCGAATGTGTTCAGTGGAGAGTTTCGATTCATTGTTACATTGTTTCATACCTTCTACATAACCCCAGTCCCGTAAGACACTTTCGATCTTTCGATTGACGGCCTTCCTCGCCACGGCTCTCTCCACTCCACGCGCCAACACACTATCGTATTTTGTGTGCCTGTGGCGCACATGGGCAATGACCCCCAGCAAAGTCTTACGCTGCAGCGGGATCGTACCAGTCCTGCCAACGCGACCTGAGTACTTCCTAAAGCCGTGTCTCAGCACAAGCTTCTTTTCTTCCTCTGGCATTTCTGAGAACTGCTCTTCAAGCTCAGTGGCCGCAGCGTCGATCAAGGACGCATCGCGCTTCTCAACTGCAGCGCGCCGAGCTGCCAAAGTCTCTTTGGCCTTCCAATGCACCTGGTGAAGGATGAAAGTTGGCACTCGCAGACCAAGCTGTCGTTTCTTCGCATCTACAACGATGTACAGCGTTTTGCCTACGTCGTGAGTGAGCTTCCGACAGTGCAATGTCTTGTATCGAATGCCCTTAGGTAAGAACCCGTAGCCTCTTGGCATAGGTGTGCTTGGGCATACCATGACCTCCTTCGGTGGCATTGTGAGTGTAGGTTGAAGTATGCTTGTTTGCTAGATGAATAGTACAGCTGTGCTGGTTTGATGTCTCTTCCGTGCTGCTGGAAGCTACAAGCTTCATTCAGTACGCTTTTGTTCAAACAGTAAGTATGACACTTGCGTTGTATATTGTGTCTCGTGTTCTAGACTCCTTTGTGCGAGAACAGGAACTGGAATGAGAGATAAAGGATCTCAGCTTTGTTGTTGTCAATGCGTTGAGACGTGCCGGACGATCGGCTGTCTCTGCCATTGTCGCCGATGGCACGTGCGAACGTAAATCCCAAAGTCATCGCGACTACCTCCACAGCTCTTGTTCTTGTACCGTTACTAACTTAACCATTGTGTCTCCGTCAATTGGTCCCAATTTGCTCACAGACAGACATGATGGACTTCGACTTTGTGTCTTTGTCCTTGTGTCGGTTCTTTAGACCCTTTGCGGGTCATTCGGCACTCAAGCGCTGACGGCGCGTCGGACCCACTCCTGAGCCACCAATCCTCAGCCTCTGATGGGGCTTGATTATCTCCACATTCACAAGCTCTACCCAAAATAGCCATAATGACGACGCATCCCTGAAATCTATAAAGACACCAGCCACAGGGCTGATTCGCGATCCTCCAAAGTCTCATCACACACACTTGGGTTGTGGCTCCTCCCAGATCTAGACCTTTACACCAAGGACATGCAGCTAAGGAGGGCTGATACAACTCTGGGTGATGATCAAGAGCTTGCAAATGTCACCTATAATGACAAGTACGTCGTGGTCTACGACTTCGGCAGTGTAGGTACGTGAAATCTTCCGGACATAACTCAGTCATAGTGCTGACAACCTCCAGAGCACGAAACCGCCGTCACTGAGTTCACAGAATTGATCAAAGACCTACAATCTGCTGGACTGAACACAGAAGTTCGACATGGTTACGACCAATCTCTCCTAGTCTTCGTGCAGGTGCCTCGAGAGTTGCTAGGTAATACAGTATACAAGTCAAGGTGAGTTGATAAACCTTTAGCATGAAAGAGACCGACTGACAGGCTCAACAGGGTGAAAGATTGGCTGTACGGCATCACCAAGCAACACCCCGGTGGCACAGCTTCGAGCGTGGTTGACGGCGCTTTCGAGGCTGAAGATCTACTGTCAGTTTTCCATCTCGTCAACTGGCGCAAAGAACTTGGAGGAGCAGGCATTACCCCAGGATTTGGTCAGTGGGAGAATGTGTCTTGCATCTTCCCACTTCATAACCAGCCTGTCAATAATCAACTGCTCACCCATTTGAGCAAGCGCTTCTTTCTCGACCTCAACGACCTCGACCGAATCCGCGATTTGTGGGGAGCGAAGGTTGCCTTCTACTTTGCGTTCCTCCAGACCTACTTCCGCTTCCTTGCCTTTCCATGCGTGGCTGGCGTCTTCGCCTGGGCATTCTTACCACAGTACTCGTTATTATTTGCTTTGATGATAGGTGTGTGGTGCACTGTCTTCCTGGAATACTGGAAAATCAAGGAGCAGGACCTGGCGATACGCTGGGAGGTCCGTGGCGTTGGCAACCTAAAGGCCAATCGACCACAGTTTCAACATGAGACCACCATTGTTGATGCGGCTGGTAGGCTACTTCACCACTTTCCCAGATGGAAGCGGATTGTCAGGCAGCTACTCGTTATCCCTTTCGTACTGGTCAGTACCTTGTTCCTCGGGGCACTGATAGCTATCGTCTTTGCTATCGAAACTTTCATCAGCGAGGCCTATGATGGGCCGTACAAGTTCTATCTTGTGAGTTGGCTGGAGACTTTCATGATGCCTAACATTCCAGAAAGCTGACTCGATACAGGAATACCTTCCGACCGTGCTGCTCGGTGTCTTCCTGCCGTATGCGACGAGCTTCCTAGAGGACATCGCTAACAACATGACCGAATACGAAAACCACCGGACTGCAGACCATCACGAGATGTCTTTGACGCAGAAGATCTTCGTCCTTAACTCGATCACAAACTACCTACCAATCTTCCTCACCGCATTTCTGTACGTTCCGTTCAGCAGCCGAGTTATACCCATGTTTCAGTCCTGCATCGATACGGTGATAGGTAGCAAGGAGCGTGGAGCTATCAAGTTCACGGCCGATCCTGACAGGCTACGAAACGAAGTGATTGCTCTTACCTTGACCGGACAAGTATCGGGCGCAATCGAAGAGCTGGCACTCCCCTGGTTCAAGACTCAGTTCAAGCAGTGGTGGCGTGACCGTCAGGCAACAAGGGTGCATCAGCGAGGAGGTTCGGGCCAGCATTTAGCGCCTGATGATCCTGGAGAGGCCAAATTCCTTCGCAGAGCGAGGAAGCAAGCACTCAGGCCTGAGTACAACGTTCAGGACGACATTGCAGAGATGGTCATACAGTTCGGCTACTTGGCTCTTTTCAGCCCAGTCTGGCCCCTCGTACCCATCGGTTTCTTCATCAACAACTGGTTTGAGCTTCGGTCCGATTTTCTCAAGATTTCCGTCGAATACCAGAGACCTGCACCTACACGGAGTGATGGCCTTGGACCGTGGATCTCAAGTTTGGAAGCCTTGACTTGGCTCGGAAGCTTGTCTAGCGCTGCCATTGTCCACTTGTTTGGTTCTCAAAAGTTTCTCGGGGAACGTATGGGCTTGAGCCTGTGGGCCAGTCTCCCTATCACCATCCTGATATCCGAACACATCTTCATGGGCTTCAGAACTGGCGTACGGTTTGCACTTTGCAAGCTTGGTTCTGAGCAGACCAGAAAAGAGAGGGCCGAACGATATGCAAAGCGCAAGCGCATCTTGGACGAGCTAGAAGCGAATGCAGAGAAAGTATCGCATCTTGGTGTTACGGAGATGCAAAGACGGAAAAGCGTCCGGATCAACGCTGCTGATTTGTTTTGGACGAGGCAGGCCGATGAAGGCGCCAGTGAGAATGCTGGGCTGTCGATCATCAAGGCTGCAAAGAGTGCCCAGGAAGAGAAGGAAATCACAGGAAGAGGAAACAAGATAGACTGAGTCGTGACATAATCGAGACTTCTCAGCTTCTGTACTTGACGATCACCAAAAGAAAGCATTATCGAATAACAAGCGCACTTCACTTTCGCTATCTTCTACTAACAACGAGCGTACAGGATCGCCAGGAAAATATGAGGACCACGATGCAGACACTCCCTACTGTAGCGCTGCCAATACCGTGTTATACTCAGCCTTGGGCTTGTAGTTCGCATCGAACAGCAGCGGGTTACCCTGTGGCCTCCAAGAATCGCTGTCCCTGACGCCCCAAACCGTGATACCAACGCAGTTCGACTGGTTCAGGCAAGCCTTGACAACGTTGGTCCAATCAGCCGTCTGAGCATTCTGGATGTCGACCTCAGTCAAAGCGCACTCAGGTGCAGCAGCACACAGCGCAGCCATAGCAGCGGGAGCGTTCGCGCCCTGACCGGAGGTCAAGTGTGCCTGCGAGCCGATGCCGTCGATGGGGATACCGGCGCTGCGCCAGGCGTTGACGTTGCGGATCATGGCTTGCGTTTTGGCGTAGGATGCAGAGTCGAGGTCTGGGTTCTGTCAGTCGAGTGTGAAGAGAAAATGGAAGCGGGACCGTACTGTAGTCATTGATGTACAGCTTCGCAGCCGGATCAGCCTTCCTCGCAGCCTCAAACGCGATCCTCACAAAGTCCTGGCCGAGGACCTACTCAAGTCAGCATCTATCCCAGCTTTTCAACCCGATTTCTATCCCACTTACGTTGTAGAACACACTAGACCTAAAACTCCCATCCTCGTTAAACATCTCGTTAATCACATCCCAGGCATACACCTTTCCCTTGTACCGTGTCATGAGTGTCGTGATGTGGTTCTGCATCACAGTCGTCAGGGTGGCTTTGTCGCTAATCGAACTAACCCAGGATGGAAGCTGAGAGTGCCAGACAGTCGTGTGGCCGCGGATCAGCTTGTTGTTGGAGGTTGCGAAGGCGACGGTCTGGTCCGCGGTGCCGAAGTTGAAGTTGTTGCGGGACGACTCAGTGGCGTCCCATTTCATACTGTGCGTACATGAGCATTTGCGCACCCACACCAAAACACGACATTCAGCCCAACATCAGGCTTGTTGAAGCAACGAAAGTATCGGTTTAGGACGACCGCGTACCTGTTCTCCGGCGTCACCTGTCCAAAGTTCGCCTTGATAATCGCGCCGTTGCTGCCACTGTTGAAGCGGCCCGGGTCCGTGGCGGTGCCGAAGTACTTCTTTCCCTTGCGCACTATGGCATCGTGGATACTCTGTGCTGCCTGGCGAGAGAAGAGTGGCTCGGGCTCGGCTGCTGGGGCGGCCACGGCAAGGCCGCTAAAGAGCAGGATGACGGTGGAGGAGAATTTCATGGTGACGGTTGTTGGATCGGGATGGGATGAATGAAGGAGTGGAGGGGGTTGGAGGATGAGGATTGGAGCGAAAAGGTCAAGACGGTCTTATATATGGCTGTGGAGGTGGTTGAAGTCCGGCCTACAGGAGAATGTGTTTACGAGATCAACATTGACATAGTTACACAGTCAGCCTGAGCAATCTCGCTTTCTGGCATGACTCGCTGGGCACGCCGACATTAGTATTAATCATGTCGATGCCGGCGTTGTCAGTTCATATCGTGTAGTGGGGAAGGACGCCTGGCACTTTACGTGAAGCTTCCGGTGGCTGTTGCTTGATTGTTTTGGCACGTGTCTTGGGTGAAGACCGGTTAAAGACGAGAAACATTGCCAATGCGAAAGCTGAAAATGTTTCGGCAGATACATGCTTTCGTGGAGGGCTGATTCATGTTGGAGCACGGTAGTTGCCAGTTGTCACATGAAGGTTGGGGCGGTGGTGAAGAGTTCAAGGTTTTGCGCGCCGAATTGTCTTAATCCAATTCTATTCACGATACTAGGCTCCATCTAGGTCAAGTTTGGGTTCTGTTCTGAGGAACTTTGCTTTGCCGCAGTCTGCTGCAATCTACCAGGCAGTGCTGCTGCTACAGCAGTTCTCACAGTATGCTAGACACACCCCCTGCCTCACATCTGCAGCAATGTAGGCCAGCAAACGCTTAAGGATTGGATGTCTGATATACTCTGACGCGATAGCTGCTCGAGGCCACGCTGTTTGTTTCAATTGTGCGAAGCGATGTCACTTGAGTCGAAGGAAGTGCGAAGAGCGGTGGCGAGTATCATGCTGAGATTGGTTGAGAAGATGTGGTTCGAATGCTGGTTCATGCAAGTGCGTTTGTCCTGGGTTTCGGCGGTGTTGATGCGGGATGTTGAAAGTGGCAGGCGTGGTGTGGTTGATGTCATCTGATGGGGAGTCAATGCTTCGATCGAATGAGCTGGTCGAGGACGCATGAGAGCCGTGTGTATCGACATCTGTACGAAGCGGTCAGACAAAGAACTTACATAGAGCATGCACACATACCGGTAGCAGTGGCGGGTCGCTCGAGTCCATGTGCACATAAGCAATGAAGCCAGCAGGAGCGATGGAGAACTGCCAGCGAAGCGTTCATTCATAATTCGAGCAATGTCGTCATGTCATGCTGGAAGGTTTCGATTCAAGACCGTTTAGGTGAATTATTGAAGACGTCTGCTTGTAGCAACTTTGCTGTGCATATATGCGGTTCTGGTCTGTCGTCGTGTGTTGCGCAGCTGCATCGGCTCTGGTTTAGACTGTAAGTGCGGAAGTACAGGGGTTGAGAGACAATTTGCGATGTGTGCTCGTAGAATGGTATCAGCTGCTAGTTTGTTGACTTTGTAATGCAAGGAATGACCTGAGTGTACTGATGAAGTATTGATTACTCCGAAAACTGATCGAGTAGAGACAGTCGCTACCAAAGCTATATGAACATCTTTTGAAGTAAAAACTTGCTCAAAGATGTACGAGATATACTAAGAATGATTACGCACGATAGAAACCAGATGTACTGAAAAGCTGTCAAACGAGTGTCCATGAGACGTCCACAAGAACACAGCCCCGTCCAAGGTACAGTTCATGCCAACACTCTAGCAGACCTCGCCCAACCTAGGCTTGCCGCCCTTCCAGTCGTCCCTCTCGTAGTACCTGAATACAAGATCGTAGCCCTCGAGATCGTGCACAATACGATCGACACGGCGGTAGCCGGGGATCGTCTCGACGCGCTTGCTCTTCCCGACGTTCTTTCCAGGCAGCTCGTCAGGAGAAGGCTTGGCCTCGAAGAGAGTGATGCTAAAGCGTCCGGGCTTGAAGATGCCGATGACATGCTCAATAACATCGGCCGTCTCACGACCGCTCTGACGAGCGGGGACGTTGGTCTCGAACGAGGCGTAGGAGCAGTGAGGCTCGGGAGTGACGTGGACGGTGAAGTAGTGGGTGGCATCGGAGCCCTTCTTTGATCCGTTGGGCGCGCCGCCTGGAGCAGGCACGACGCCGTTTGCAGAGAAGCCGCAGGGCGTGAACAGGTAGGCGTCGATGCGAGCGTCCGGGTACTTCGAGGTAGGGTAGACGTCAGCCAGACCACAGTGCTCAGAAACGACAGTGCCGAGCGTGTGGCCCTCGGTGGTCAACTCCTCCGGGAACGTAAGCTCCTCGTCCGAGTTGAAGCCAGAGTGGTCGGAGGAAGTCTGCTCGAAGACATCGAAACTCTCATCAGAGATGTGGGTAGTGGCGGTAGAGTTGAGAACCGTAGAGCCACCGAGGCTCTCGCACTCGCCCTCGGGGATGGAGCCAAGGGACTGGATGGCATTCTTGCGGGCCTCACGAGCCCTCTGGACATAGCGACCTTCCGCGACCGCACTCGCGTCCTCGAGATAGAACTGACGGGCGTTCTTCTCATCGAGGTCAGTCATGAGTATCTCCAGAGTCTCGTCCTCCTCTTCATCGGTGTTCATCTCGGGCAGCATGCGCTCAGGGAGCTTCACGAACTTGGTCTCGGTCTCGAGGCGCTCAATCTCCTTGGAGCCGGGGCTGGGAGGCGGTGTCAAAGTCGTGTCAGGACCGGTGATGTAAAGGTACCAGTGCTCTCCGTTCATCTTGCCGATCATGTAGGCACTGCCGCCCTCGAAACGCTGGTCCAGGAAGCGGACTTCGTCGCGCCAGCTACGGTGAGGTCCCTGCTGCGCCTCAGGGTGGAGGAAGTTCTTCCTGCTGTAGAAGACACGGTAGGGCGTCGCCGTAGCTGCGAACCCGGTACCAGGCTGAGGCTCGACGTAAGGGAAGCCTGCATTGACAGCAGCAATCTCCAAGAGACGAGTGAGACCCCAGAGGAGAGTGGTAGTACCGCAGGTCTTTAGCACAACCTTGTGTGGGAAGACGAACATGCTCGACTCGGAGAGCAGGTAGGCATCGACATGCTCAGACTCGATGACGGACAGAACCTTGCAGTTGACGAGGTCGAGCATCTCCTTCCAAACCTCAGCGGACACCTTCTTGAGGCCAAGCGGGCCGGCCTGACCAGGCAGGTCGGTGGCAGAAGAGCTGAACCATACTTCCAGGAGCTTCTCAGGACCCTCGAAGGAGTTGGTGGAGTCGAGGTCGACGGTGGCCTCCTTGTTGATGGTCAAGTGTGGCGTGCCGAAGTGCGAGGACGGCGACGCAGTGTAGTGCTTGGGGATTTCAGTAGCGACCATCTCTTGGCTACGAGGCGTCGGTGCGCACGGGGTCCGAGTTGTCTGAGCGTTTGCGTGGAGCGTGTACGTCGAGGCTCGTGTAGAGGTTGGCTGACTGACGAGCAGTGAAGCACAGTCTGCTACTCAGACAAGCAATGCGGTGCTTGGCTGAGGAGAGAAGGCCCACGAGGGACTGGGATCGAAGAGGCTGGCTGGTGCCAGCAGCAGGTGAGTGCTATGCGAAACGACCGTAGAGGACGTTAGGGAGGTCGGGAATTGGGGGGGAGATACGAGGCTTTGCGCCGCGGAATGGTGTCAGTCGTTGAGCCTCGACCAACTAGATTCCGATACCCTGTGAAAGTATCGGGTCCAGCAGACGAGGGATCTGCTCAAGGGTGGGTAAAAGGGTGGGTAAAAGGTTGGTGGTGGGCGTGGGAGTAGCGGGCGTTATCTAGGCCTGTACTATGTCAGCAGGCTATTACAGTAGACGCTTCACTCAAAAGCTGGGGTTGGAATCGCGCAGTGGAGACTAGACTCACTTCGCAGGCTTGGATAGAAAGCGTACCAGATCCTCTTGACGCATGGAACAGCGGAGTGGGGCGGCGAAAGTGGTCTGCGGGCTGTCACAGCCTATGCAGTATCAGAAAGCGTGGAGAGCAGGTTCGCCAGCTTGACGGTCGAGCGCACTGGTGGCGTGGAGTCAAGAAGACGGTGCAATTTCTGTTGGGGCGCAAATGTGAGTCGGTGTGCGAATTTTCGTGAATTGCGGGCAGCCAAGAGGCAGTGGGCGGATACTGGACCTGGAGCTGGGAACGTACACTGAGCCGAGGGCTGGTATGAAGGGGGAGCAGGTCAAAGTAATCGCTGCTGTGGTGTTGTTGGAAAAGACAGCTGAGTCGCGTGGACATGGGCGAAAATTGCAGCAGATACCGGTGCTGGCCCAACGTCACCGCCCGCCGCTCTGTGGCTGGAGCTGGCAAGCACGTCCCAGACATCGACGATCCGGGCCGCTGTTCCCCCACCACGACACAAACGCTCGATTCGAGCGTTTGCGTTCTCGCGATTTGATCAAACATCTGAGAATTGCAATGCCACTAACTATCATTACCTCCGCAATGCCAGTAATCTGACTATGTCCGGGCTGCTTTCTTAGCCCCACTATTTCGCTGCGATGCTGAAGTCACAATCCTGTATGTAAACGACGTCTGGCCTTTAAACCATCATCTCGGAAGACTTAGTCTCCAATCGACCGTCCAGCAGTCGACCAAAGCACTCTCTTAGATCGTCTGTCAATTGCCTCGGTGCCTCCCAACCCGGCATCTCGGCAGTCTCTTGGTGCCTCCTGACCCATGCAACCGGCCACGATGCAGCACCCCACATCAGCGGTGTCGTGGTTGCGTGCGTTCGAAAGCTGCTGATACCTAGAGGTACAGAGCAGTAGTCGTCCCAGCTCGTCGCCAGAGCCTCGATATGGGCTCTGCGCAGCCAGCGAAGTCCAGCTTCGGCACCTGGAAGCCACATCCTGGAGGAAGTCAGCATACTAAGAAAGTATAGTATAGCAGCGTGCAACTTACATCATTGTCCAGTTGAGGATGTCCGTTGGACTCCACGACCGTTTGTCGGCGAGTGTAGTCTCGCCTGCGCCTGCACCACCATTCTGGGAGGCCTTTCCTGTATCGTCAGAGCGCACACGCTCGTGTCCAGCTGCCTCGTACTCGCGGTCCTGCATCTCCAGCTCACCAGGATCCAGGAACGGAGACCGTGGCCTTATACTTAATAACGGGCCCGGCCCTTGTGTTGCTACGAGATCCAACAGGACCGCCAGCAGTCCCACCGGCGAATCGCACAGCGAGAATGCCAGCGTCTGCGGACGCATGGAAAACAGCTGATGCATCACCGGTCCAAGCGGCCATCCCCCGACTGTCCCCCGACCCTGCACTGCAGGCAGATCCACTTCAGAGGGGACATACCCAAAACTCAAACTCGCCCATCTCGCCCCCGTCAACCGTGCCAAGTGCCACTTCACCCACTCCCACGGCTTTCCCCTAACCGTCGGCGCACAAAACACCGGATTCCACGTAAACACTCCCAACACCCTCTCGCTCTCCCTCACCGCCAACGCCCTCGCAACATCGAACCCCCATCCCCCTCCACACACGGCATACTTCTCGTACCCCAGCCGTCGCATGAGACCAGCAAATACTTCAGCCGCCCCGTGCACACCAAAGTCGGGGTCTTCGCTCGCATCGCTGAAGCCGAAGCCAGGGATGCTGGGGCATACGAGGTGGAATGTCAGCTCACCCTCTTCTTTCGGGTGTGTCAAGAGGTCGATGATGCGTTGAACTTCAATGAAGCTGCCTGGCCAGGAGTGGCAGTAGAGGAGGGGGATGGCGGTATGGTGTGGCGAGCGGGCGTGGACGAAGTGTGTGCGGATGGGCTTCTTGTCATTGCCGTCTCTACCGGGAGGCAAAGGTATGAGCGTACGGAATTGTGGGAGTGTGGTGTTGAAAGCGGATTCTGAGCCGCGCCAGTCGTATGTTTCTAGCCTGTTATCTCGCTGTTAGCTCTGGAACCGACGTCCCATCCCTTCAACTCACCAGTGGTCCAGCAGTGGCTCAAGCACACTCTTCGGAGCACCGAGCGTCCACTGCTCCTCTTGACTCAACGTCTCGATTTCCTTGGGTAGTCGGGTGAGTCCGAGTTTCTGCTTCGTCAAGTCGAGGTACCGCGAGGATACGTGCATGCTGTACGGTATGATAGCATCGATATCCTCTTGTATCGTCTGCATAATCCTGCTCATCTTGGATGGTTGTCATGTACGAGGGCGTCGACGAACAAAGGTCACATGGCGTTTGCGAATATCAGAGAACAAGCAACAGAAAACAAGCAACAGAAGAGCGCGAGCTAATGCATGTATATGCTGTCCACTCGGTACATACACCAACGTACTGTTCTCGACCCAGCAAAACACCAAAAGAAGCCAGGCATTACCTTTCACGGTAATGAACTCCTGGGATACGTCAGGCATGCATGAGGAACGCGTACGCAAATCCATCCGGTACCAGGTTTCAAACGATAAACATAAATCTAGAATATGTATTTTGATAATTTCTTACTTCTGGTTCGTCGTACCATTTCATGTTCATACGCTTGCTGCGTAGCTATCGCCACACTGTGGCTATGCGCCGCCACTCAGGGTCCAGTGATCGACATACAGACATCCGTATCGGGCGAGGGGAAGCGAAGGATGGCCAGGCACGCCAATCAGATGGCGTACCTGATTCGAGGCTGCAGATGTACCGAGTGACTTTTGTAGGCGAGGCCGAACCGTGTGTACCTCCACGCGTGCTCCAGCACCCAGCCGTCTGCCCGTGGAGATAGCATGCAGCAACCTTCCAGCGTCTACACGTCCCTAACACCCGTCTGCGCACCGCCACTTGCACCGCGCCCTGCCTGACCCTGCGCGGACGCTGCACCCGGCACCGCACCTCTCAAGTTGAGACTCCCGATCCTTTGCACCAAATTACTCCCCACTGCATCCACCGCCCCCCGTGGAGCCAACAAACTCGGCGTCTGACTCTCGCTCTGCTGCACCCTGAATAGCCTGATACTCGTGTTATTCCACACGCCCGCAGTGCCCTTGGCGACCACCATCTCGCTCGCGAAAACGAAGCCCCAGAGCAGGGACTCGTACCAGCCGAGCGAGAGGGTCGACCATTCGAAAAGATGCACCCGGATGGGCGACGGGTCGATACCGGCGACGCTGGTGGATTGGATGGTGGAAAGGGCGGTAGTGGTGTCGGTGCTGGATTCGAGGAGGGGGGAGAGGGTTTGGATTAGCATCAGGGTTGTGTGGAGGGGGAGCTCGGAGAGCCAGGACTCCAGCTGAGGCATGTTAGCATTGTAGATCTTAGCCGCTAGGGGAAGAACGTACCCATGTCACTGAGGGTGTGAAGAACTCGTTTGCGCCCAGGATTGGTGTTGCGTTGACGCTGGCGAGGCTTGTTACGCTGTTTTGGCGCGAGAAGGTGGATTGGCCGACGGGCATCTTGCCGCGTGCCTTTTCGGACATGCCTCGAAGCTGCAGAGGTACAGACTCATCGACTGACGATGCAATCGATGCGCTTCGTGATGCACCTCGCGAACCGCCTGATGGCGGTGCCTGCACTGGCGATCTTGGCTGCGGCGGTGGGCTTGTCTCCTCGGCATCAGAGTCGTCCTCCTCATCGCTCCCGATGGCGAAAGCGCTGTTCTCTTCTGGAACGTTATCCAATGATGGTGTGCGGGCGGCTGTAGGACTTCGCAGGCTGCCGATGGAAGTCTGCCTTGACAGCTCTGCTCCATTGCCTTCTTTGCGCAGCTGGTTCTGGCGTTCAATCTCTTCTTGCCCGCTCTCGAGTGTGAAGTCCCGTAGTGCTTGAAACTTCTTCTTCGACCGTATGATGGCGTACACCAAGTTTGGGTTGTCTGGCGCTTGTCAGTCATTGCACGTGGTCTCTCTTGAATGGGGATGTACTTACGCTGATACTGGTGCTCGACCATTGCGTTGATCGCTTCCAGCAACGAATGCAGGAGGGTGTGGTTGTTCTCGTTAGCCAGCAGGAAGCTAGGCGACGACATTGATGCGAAAAGCTGGAGTAACTTGGAGCTCGGTGCACGTCCAAGATTTTGCATATATGCCGCAACGTTGTTGAGGATGGCAAGCAAAGCCGGGTATATAGCGTCCAACTTGCCCTTGCCCGTTGTGAGCAGCGTGTAGATGGACTGTTACGGTCAGCTGAAGTTAGGATGTGGGTGTAGCAAACATACTGTGATGACATAGTCGGCGTAGGTGCCGTGGAAATTCGGTATCCGTATGCTTGGTGGTAGTGACTCTTGTCCTCCGAAGGTCTTGTTCAGGCTCTTGCCGAACTGGGGTTCCACGCTCAATGTCTGCAACACAAAGACGCACATGCGCACCAAACCTTGTTTGGAGGGGTCGTTGCGCTGGTCAATCGCATAGTACAGTACGAGTACCACGAAGTCATGGGCTCTGTCTGTATCGATGATGAAGGAGCGGAAACGCTTGTTGCACTGCAAAGCTTCCCAGAACAGCATGATCATCTCCGGCGCCCATGTCAGCGACTTGTGGCTGCCGGGCAGGTATGATGAGTTCGCCTGCAGCTGGCGATTGTTAGCTTCGAGCAGCAGTATGGTTAAGAGTGCGACGAACAGGCTGATTCAAGATTCTTGTCATGCCATCGACAAGGAACTGGAAGTCCTGTGGGCGGTGTAGACGACCAAGGAAATGTCTGAAAAAGTTCTTCGGCGCAGGCCCATTGCCAGCCTCGGGTATGGGGTACAGTATCAGCACCAGAAGCAGTTGTAAGCAATACGTAACCAGTATTTGCCTCTGGTCCTTGAACACTACATGGTCGTACGGTACGCGCCATGTCGCAGGGTTGTACTTAAGGGTCTGAAAGCATCAGTATAAGCACTGCGATACACCGCACGAGACCTACTGTGTTCAGCATCGAGCAGAGTACTGACAAGACAACTTGCTTCTCTGGGCATGTAGCCATGTATGTAATGGCCTTGACGCCCTTTACTGGTAATATAGCTGCTCTGTGTCAGCATTGCCAGGTGCCATATGTTACTTCCTTTGCCTACCAGCTGACATGTACATGGACTTGCTTGCGAATGTAAGCAATAGTCGCAGTATCTCTGTTCTGTTGCTTTCAAACTCTTTTGTCGAGGCCACCGGTGTGTTGCAGCCAACGCCGCTCTGCCATATCGCATACGAGACCTTGCTCTTGCCGCCCTGAACTTTAGGCAATGTGAACTCAGAGAAGAAGAGTAGATCCATCAAGGTGTCAATAATCTCTTCGGCCAGAGGCTTGGCTTTTGTGAACTCTGGCTCGGCCTCGGTTGGTGTTGGGTCTTGGTCAGACTCGTCGAATATGACCTCGCTATTGAGCAACTGACCCCGCCGACTGCGCTTTCTCCGCTCAGCCCAGAAGAACGTGTCCTCCCATGACTCCAGGTGGTCTGCCTCATACACGAAAGGCAGCAGCCTCGTGAGCACTCGTATGCAGTTGAGCGCATCCCGCTCTGGCGCAAGCTCGGGGTCGGGGAAGGAGGGGTGGTTGCGCAGGACGACGAGGCGTGACGTGACGGCGAGTATGAGCGTTTCGAGGTTGGCTAGGTTGTTGTCGCGGGTGCGCCGTATGTCAGCAGGCGAGAAGAGCGAGAAGACGTCCTCGGTGCTCTCTGGCAGCTCCCAAAAGCCGGTCCAGTATTCATCGTCGGCGGGTATCTGCTTGGGCTCCGACAGGCGGAAGATGCCCTGCTTGAAGGTGAGTTTGGAGTCGGACGCGCCCATTGGAATGCATGTCACGACTTCATGTGCGCATTGTATGTGGCATGTGTCGTATTGGTGCTATTAGGGATGCACCGCGGACCGTTGACGTCGGCGGTGCAAACAAGGCAAACGCCGTCTCACCAACCCAAGCTCTCACATGTTTGCGCGATAAGGCGTGTCATCATCAACGAGGAGCCCAAATCAGATGCACATTTGAGGCACCTCGATACGGCCTCATGTTTGCATCATTCACCTATAATAGTAGACTGAAGCTTAGATCAATGTGCCACGTGGTGTAGGGAGCTTCCTTGCTGACGTAACGATTAGTGTTATTGATAGATTCCCAGGCACCTCCGCCACCGCTACACTTCACCTTCCATCCTCATCTCTCGCCCACTGCACCTTCATCAACCAGATCCCGCCTGCGTAAACATTCATCGTCGCCCGTACTCGTAAACACCGTCGTCTATAGCATATACACCAAGTCCAAGCGCACTGTAGCGCGCCGCGGTCCTCCAGCATGCCGCCTAAACGCAAGCTGCAGACAGCGGCGGAGGCCGAGGCTGAGGACGCGTATGGGGACGATGATATTGGTCCTATGAGTGACCAGGAGACATTCGATACCCTCAAGGATCAGTTCGATGTCAGAGCCATGACCAAACGGGCGCGCGCAGCGCAACCAAAGGATGCCGCTGCTCATCTGTTCAGGAAGTCTGATCAGTCGCATGCACCTCTGAAGCCAGATCAGCAAAAGCGCCCACTCTGGGTCAACGATGCGGGTGGTATCATTATTGAGTCCTTCCACGCCCTCTTCGACGAGGCACAGGACTTTTTGATCAACATTGCTGAACCACAATCGCGGGTATCGAAAATGCACGAGTATCAGCTTACCACACACAGCCTGTTCGCCGCCGTCAGTGTTGGTCACTCAAGTCAGGAAATCATCGACAAGCTTGATAAGTACTCGAAGACGGCTTTGTCCGACTCCCTTATCCAGTTCATCGAGAAGTCCACCTCAGCTTTCGGCAAGGCAAAGATCGTATTGAAGAAGACGCTATCGTTCATCGAAAGTGAGGACCCTACCATTCTGAACAAGCTTCTGCGTGATCCTATTGTTGCCGAATGCAGAGCAGATCAAACTGAGGGCCTGATCAAAGAGGCTGCTCCGAAGATCGGTCAGATGGCCATTCCAGGTACCAAGCTGGCTGCCGGAGCAAACCAAATCGCACAAGCGTCCGGTGCAGAACCAGCACCTGCCGACATGATTGCAACATTACGAGAAGACGATGACGATGACGAGGTGGCCCAGGTTCATTCATTCCAGATCAAGAGTGATGAAAGAGAACGAGTCGTCAAGCGCTGTCGAGCCATAGGTCTCCCCCTCACAGAAGAGTACGACTTCAACAATGACATGAAGAACCCCAACCTCGAGATCGACCTAAAGCCGCACGCTCAGATCCGTTACTACCAGGAGAAGGCTTTGAGTAAGATGTTTTCAAACTCTCGAGCACGGTCAGGCATCATCGTTCTGCCTTGCGGTGCAGGTAAGACGCTTGTCGGCATTACAGCAGCGTGCGGTGTCAAGAAGTCGGTCATCGTTCTTTGTACGAGCGCCATGAGTGTTGTGCAGTGGAGAGCCGAGTTCATCAAATGGTCGAACATTAACCCAGAAGACATCGCAGTCTTTACGGCAGACAACAAGAATGTCTTCCCTCGCAATGCTGGTATCATCATCAGTACATACTCCATGATCAGTACCGTTCAGAAACGATCACACGACGCCGAGAAAGTCATGACCTTTATCAAGGAGCGAGAATGGGGGTTGCTGATTGCTGATGAGGTGCACGTTGTGCCCGCCAATATCTTCAAGAAGGTCACCTATCAGATCGCGTCACACGCAAAGCTTGGACTCACCGCTACACTACTGCGTGAAGACGACAAGATCGATGATCTCAACTTCTTGGTGGGACCAAAGCTGTACGAGGCCAATTGGCAGGAGCTGTCAGAACAAGGCCATATTGCGCGGGTGCAGTGCGCGGAAGTATGGTGTCAGATGACGCCAGAGTTCTATCAAGAATGGCTCAAACCGGCATCACTACAGAAGCGAGCGCTGCTATCTATCATGAACCCACGAAAATTCCAAGCGTGCCAGTTCCTCATCGACTACCACGAGTCGCGAGGAGACAAAATTATTGTATTCTCCGACAACGTATACGCTCTGGAGAAGTACTCTCGAAAGTTGGGCAAGGCGTACATCTATGGTGCTACACCACAGAACGAGCGCCTCCGTATTCTCGAAAACTTCCAGCACAACCCACTGGTCAACACTATTTTCCTTTCGAAGATCGGAGACACCAGTCTGGACTTGCCTGAAGCCACATGTCTCATCCAGATTTCATCACATTACGGATCACGTAGGCAGGAAGCTCAGCGATTGGGTCGCATCCTTCGAGCGAAGAGGAGGAACGACGAAGGATTCAACGCTTTCTTCTACTCGCTTGTCTCCAAAGACACGGACGAGATGTTCTACTCTTCCAAGCGCCAGGCTTTCCTAGTCGACCAAGGCTACGCCTTCAAAGTCATCACGCGCCTCGAAGGCCTAGAGTCCCATCCCAGTCTCGCCTTCAACACACCGCAAGACCGCCGCGAGCTGCTTATGGACGTTCTATTAGCGAAGGACGAGGATGCCAAAACAGAGAACATCCAAGGCGATTCTTTTGGTTCGAGTTACGCTTCTGGTCTGGGCAAGAAGAAGAAGGGTACGGTGAGAAGGACTGCAGGCGCACTCAGCGAATACTCGGGTGGTCAGGATATGGCGTATCTCGAGACAAATAAGAGTAGGAATAAAGAGCTTAAGGGTGTGAAGGGGGTCAAGAATTCGTTTCTCAAGGGTTTGGCTAGGTCGAGTGGGAAGAAGTAGGGCGCTTCTCAGATCAGGGACTGAGGTATCAGCACTACCACATAATCTCAATGACTTCTTTCCGATTCGCAACGCGCACCCCCAGGTCCTCGACAGAGGCTGAACATGTTGGCAAACACTTATACCTTGCTGAGGGTTTATGAAGGCTTGATAGGGACTTGCTGCAACATCTTGTGCAATAGTCTGCTCGTCCTTGTTGGTGTTTCGTGAGGTGGTAGATGTCAACAGCGATACTTGGTCTAGGCTCTGTCAGAGTTGAACACTGCTAGAGAAATCGGAGCTATGGTGTTGCTAATTCTTGGGACCCTTCAGTAACGCCTTCCTAATATGAAAGTCCCATCTCGTCTCCTGCAATCCACACAGGGAGGTGCAGTATGCTTGATTTCCTGTATGAGAATCCTGCTACCTTGTCAAGATGTCGTCTCAGGTCCATCTAGATCCAGGGTCGCGCGGTAGGGATGTTTGGAGGCCCACGAGAGGTTCTGTCTCGAGCACCTCGGTGTTCTCGATATGGCGATGTGCAATCTGACTATCTTCCTCGTGTATGCCGAATCTATGGTAGATCTTGGTGCAGATTGGGTTCTCTTGGACACATGGTTGGCCGGAAGTGGCTCCGCGGATCGGAAGTCGATCCACAAATTAAGAGCTGGACAGCTCGTAATCGGGTTCGGACGTGCCCTCAGTGCCGTCGTCCGCTGCTGATCGGAGTTGGGCGACACGGTCATGATAGTTTGCGATACGTGGTGATATCTCGGATCTCTGGCGATATTTCGATCGTACATTGACCCTGCTTGGGCAGTTCAGACGAAAACAAGAACAGAAGCAGATTACAGCTTTTTTTGTGGCCCTGCATGAGCAAAGACCCTAGATGCCGTTCGACGTGCACTACTGCGACGGCTTTGTACATGCAGAATTACTGCAGTACTTACCACCGTAGCCAAACCTCACTCTAACAATGCTCCCGAACATTTTCCTACTGCGATATTGTACTTGCATGTCACTGCTACGGGCAAGTTGACCGTGACAGTCATGTCGCAAACGCTGCTCAATGTCCAAGTAACTTCTGGTCAACCGGTCAGTACTCCGTTTGCTGCGCCTCACTCTACTTCGCTCATGATGCTCGTGTGCAGACCTGACGCAATCTTGATACGCACAGCGGGAGTGCTGATCCTCGCTAAGTGTACAGCCATCCAGGTCGTTGCGGAGGCAGGTGCGTCCCCCGGCAAGAGGTCCCCGCAACTTAAGGAACATGCTTTCCCCGCTTCATCCTACGCGCTAGCGTAACATCTAAAGTCACCAACATTCTCTCATTGGGTCAACACAATGGATCAAGTATCTCTCGGACTGGGCCTGGAAGGCTTTCATGTTCTCATCACAAGCGGAGCTGGCCTCATCGGCAGAGCTGTCAACAATCAAGCGATAGGCAGATTGATTATTGGATCAGGCCTGACACGGGCCTCTCTATCGTCTTTTGACGCTTAGGTGGGCAATCAATCTGGAGACCGCTTGATTGTTGACAACTCTGCTCATCGGGCGTGTTGTTGTTGACCACTTTATCGCAGCAGGCGCAAAAGTCTCCTCGCTGGATACCGTATACCCTTCGATATCTCAAGAAGGCAGTGCTCCATTAAACACGGCTCACCCGGCACTCGTACCGTCCAATGCGATGTATCCAACGAAACCGAAGTGCAACACGCCTTTGCGACAGCAGTCGCTGCTCACGGTCCGGTCGATATCGCCATAGCGCTGGCTTCCCTCGGCCTCTCGGTCCTGGACCCTTCGCCGTTTGCTGATGCATCGTTCGGTCAGCTGCGAAAAGTGCTTCACATCAACGTCGCTGGCACATGGTTGACTGCACGCGAGTGGCTGCGCGGCTTGCGACAAACAAGGCACAGCAACACACCAATGAAGCATCCTAACCTGGGCATTATAGGCAGTGAGAGCGGCCTCTTTGGAGAGCGACAAAACGCTGAATATAGCCTTGGCAAAAGTGCTGTACAAGGCGGACTACTCAACTCGCTTCCGAGTAGACGTCCTAAGGGGGTGGCCCGGTGCTCGTGTCAATGCAATCGCTCCAGGACCGGTTCTAACGGAGCGATGGGAACAAGAATGCAAGCAGAATCCAGACCAGCACTATCTTGAAGCCCAGGCAACGTTAAGACACTTACCCTCGTTCACACCATCATCCATTATATCTTCATTACCCGCCCATCAAGATCGTCAGCGACACGCACCACATCAATATTTGTACATCGTAGCTGAACCGTGTAGACTGCACTAGGCGAGCCAATTCCCATCAAAGTTGTCGCCATGACCATCTTGTCCATCGCCAGCCACAATTTCAGCAGTCATGTTCATGGTCAAATCATCGCCGTTGATGATGGCAAGCAAGGCAAGGTAGTGTGGACACGAGACGAGGCGTCCCAGCCCTATGGGTAGATCCACTTGAGCTTGTCCGCTTTCTGCACATCAGTTCGCAACCACAAACCGCTCAGCTCTACTATCAACGACACGAATGTCTCACTCTCCTAAGAAGTGTAACCTACTACAGGTCTCAAAAGTTATGTTTTCACAAGCCGGTTTCGATCAGGTCCGTCAGCTTTGCGCCGATTCTCCTTCCCAGCATCCCGGATCCTTAGACACAAAGCGTCTTGACATGACGGGTACGACCCCCCAATGTTGTTGGCCCTAAACCATGTTCGCTGCCACCTTCTCTCAGAACAGCGATAGTCTTCACGCGGACGAGCAATCAATTTTTGTTCGCCTTTTAGGGGTGTTTGCGCAGGGACATGACTTGCTCGGAGTATTGCTCCGATAGCAAATGACGCTCTGATTCGCTAGAGTCAGTGCTTTCTTCTGCTTTCAACTTGCAGCATCAGTCAGCGGCATGTTCCGAGCCCACTCGTCTTATTGATGACAGGAGATCGTGACCCACTACGGATTGACCGAACCCAAGGTTGGATGCAGTTCGCGGCGAAGATGTGCCAGATCCGACCTCACCAATGCGATCTAGCCACAACGTTTCTCGAATCAAGACAACTTGACCAAGTTGGCAGCGGAAGCATACATGCGCAGGTTACCTGTTAGATCGGAAAGCTAACGGGCGGCGCCTGTCGGGCGACCTGACCTCCCAGTCTGTGCGAACGGACCCAGCCCCGCAGCGAATAGCTTGCCGAAGTTTACCAAAATCCTAGAGGTCCTGGCATGCAGATCCGCGAAGCGCTGGTCCTGTGAATGTCAGACACCGAGAAAGGCCCCTCGAACTGCATAAGATCTCGCCGCTGCAATGTCGTTAGTCCAGAAGTTTGATAGGCTTCGGCATTTTGTGCCTGCCCAGGCCAGACGTTGTTCGTCAACAACCTTGCTGCGGTGGCTGTGGAGCTCGTCCCTCCATCCCGCCAGCATGCCTTCCCCACAGAAAATCCTGCCTCTAATATCGCGAGCGCATTTCCTCATGCGGTGTCATCAATCTCTCTTTCTCCAAATCGATTCCAATCACTGACTCGCGAATCCTAGGGCTGGTGCCCACTTACTATGAACGTCTTCTCTCTAGAATGGTTCATCTCCTTCAATACACCATCTATTGACGAGTATCGCCGTTATGTCTAATTTCCGAGCTCTTCAACCAGCACCAATGGACCAAGAGCCGACACCACAACCGCAATCTCGACCGATCTTGACATCAAAACCCAAGCGTACCGTGACGCTCGGTGCTTGTGTTGCATGCAGGAAACGAAAGTCAAAATGTGATGGCAATCGTCCAGTGTGCACTTGCTGTGCCCAAAAGGACACGCAATGCGTCTACGAGCTTGGTCCTAATGAAAAGCCATCACAAGCGATGAAGCGGAAGAACGAGGAGATGCAGGGCGAACTCTCGAATCTGCGCCAGCTGTATGACTTCCTTCGATTGCGGCCTGCGCATGAAGCCATGGAGATCCTCAAGCGCATCCGGGCGAACTCACCAGACGTGCCTCCATCCCAACACATCCAGGAGTTGGCAGACTTTGTCCGCCAAGGAGATTTACTTATCCAGCAGCCGTTGCACACACCACCGTTAAGTAACCCTGATCGCGATCCTACACACCCTGTGACACTCCCTTCACTTCGTCAGGCTTTAGATTCCCCTGGCGCACTGGAACCTTGCAACCTACTCTACCCTAGCATGTACCCCATGGGTTTGGATGGCCCGGCCACCCAACGACGAAGACACACTCATGGTCTTTCAGCTCGGTGAGTGATGTGCGCGCCGCACACGGGAGCGATTTTGACCAACTCCAGCACAGATAGCCAAAGCTCTCTGCCTCGACCCACTTCCATTGAGGCCATCCTACAAACTCCTTCAACTGCAGCTGCGGATGACCTGGCTGCAGATCCACGACTGGGTTTCGTGAGCAATTGGACACGGGTCACGGACGATACTGGCTTCTTGGCTCACCTCTTCACCATCTGGACTGAGAGGGAATACGTCTACTACCACTTTCTGGACAGGGAGGCTTTCCTTGCGGATCTGTCGTGCGGCCGTAGCGACTTCTGTTCAGAGCTCCTTGTTAATATTGTGCTTGCATCTGCTTGTGTAAGTGTTAAGCCCTTAAGTATGCTGTACTTATGCCAGATCTATCCTGACACTACGACAGTTTCACTCGTCTGCAGTCAAAGACCGCAACAAGCCATTTTCAGAGAATTCGATCCAAACTTCTTTCTACTACGAGGCGAGGCGGTTGTGGGATCTTGAGGAGGGCAGAGACTGCTTGACAAAAGTACAAGCTGGCATGATCCTGTGTAAGTACACAAACTTCGATCTCGATGCCCAATCGAATATTCGTGAATCAAGGCTCTGTAACACTTGCTGACGGCGCCCTTTCCAGATCTTGTACTTGCAAAATATGGTCGAGACAGAGATGGGCAAAAGTTCCTCCTGGAAGCGTGCATAACTGCGCAAAACCTTGGCCTATTCGATCACGAGTCGCCACACCACAGTACAACACCTTCGCACATCTCGGTCGACAGATGGAGGAGAGCTCGAGCGGTGACTGCATGGGCAGTGCACAACTTCCAGCTGTATGTCAAATCTAGATCTCTGGCAATGCCATCCGCGAGACTAACAGACATCAAGCTCAATGTCGATCACGTACTCGTTCCCTGTTGTTATCAAGAATCTTCCAGCGGTGCCGATTCCATACCACGATGTCGAACGTGAGTCAGGCGTTCCCAACAAGATCCGCGAAGATCCGCGAAGCTGACTCTTGGCAGCTCTCTTCCGCTCTGAATGTGCGTTGCACATCATTCTACTCGACTGCGTCAGCATCATACAAGACAATGAATACACCAACCCACGCGATACACGAAGTGCTGACCGCATTGAAGCCTGCTACTCCCGGCTGAGGTCTTGGTGGTACTCGCGGCCTACTAGCCTGGATGCCGACAAATATCCATCGCAAGTCCACTTGCTTTGCGCGTAAGTCGATCGAAGATCTCTTTGTTTGGCAATCAACTTGCTGACGGATACACAGCATGCAGTACAATGTCAATGTCGTCAAACTCTTCCGACCAGTCCTGGACCGCGAAGCATATTCTGAGCAGGCTGCGCCGTACATTGATCGTGCTAGGACCGCCATCTCAGCCTCGCTGAGAGAAATACGGCGCCTTGTATCTCTACACGACACGCATCATGGCTGGTCAAACGCTATCACATTCGTCATCCACGGCATCACGGTTGCAAGTTTCGGTACCCTCGATGAGATGTCGCACAACAACCCCATCCTACCACAACCCGAAAACGACGAACGATACCAAGGCCTTTTCACTTGTCTCCGCGCCCTCACGGTTCTACTCAGCTACAGCTATTACGCACAACCAATCTTCCGACTCTTAACGCAGAAGTGCGCCGCGCTGGGTGTGCGATTACCCGCGGAGGTACAAGGGGCGCTGGACTACTGTACGAGCGAGGGGTGGACGAAGAAGGCTGCTGAGTTGGTCAGCAGCCAGTACATTGCGGACACACGGTCGGTCGCGAAAGACACAGAAAGTGCGAGGATGGACGCTGTCATTTCCAGATGGGAAAGCCTCAGTCTCGAGGACAAGAAGGCGTGGGCAGCACGCAAAGGGAAGGACCGAGCAGGGGTATGATGCTTTTTCTTGCTTCTTCTCTCCTTGGTCGTACGCGAGAGCTTACTCGCACACAAACGATACCCCATGTTTTGATGTTCGTAGATGTATCTATAGCTTTGAAAAGTTTGCATCTCTATCTTTCCTCGAGCTCTCCATCCGACGACCACCAGCACACAATATCGCGACTTTTCGCCGAATTCATGTCCCTTCCACAACGTCCTGCTCTAAAATGACATATCGACCCACTCAACATACAACTGCCTCGCATCGAGTATCCTTTTACGAACTCTTTACAAACCCTACCAACAATTCCTCAATCGGCCCTGTCACCCTTGGCATATCGGCCCTTTCGCATATCGACCCTCACACTTGCACCGTCTGTCAGCCTTCGCAACAGGTCTCCGCCGGCACAGCTCCACCACAAGATGCAGGACCAAATGCATAGTAATACGGCCGTACCTCTTCTTCCGGCGTCCAATTAACACACCCAGCGATTCACTGGCGCTCGGAAGTCTTTCCTCAGGCCTCTTCAGTCGATCGTGCGCGCTGCTAACGTGCGTGCTGCGGAATGCATGTCCCAATAATCCTCGCTCATTCCACTTCGCCGATCAATAAACCGGCCGCCCCCCCCCCTTGTCCGCCTGGCGCCTGCGAAGGGATGCAAGACCCCTTGCCGCGGACCATGGTTATCGCGAAACTTAGCGTCGGAACTTAGCGGATCAAATCCGCCGTGCGCGAGAAACTGGCGTTCTCTATCCACTTCTGCACTACTGTTGCCCGGAAGCGGTTAGATTGTAACGCCCGAGTCGCCAAAACGTCCGACGCAGGAGTGGAAGGGAGGAAGCGCGAGTCAAAGCGAGATGGTGCAGAGGCCGCCGGATCGAACCTCACGGTGCAGGGAAGAATGCTCCGCGGCCCTCGCCTCAAGCTTTTGTCTATCGGCAGGGAAGAAGTTTGCGGCTCCGTGCGGAGCTTTTGATGCTTTCTAACGCTTTGCAAGCTTCGCGTTTGGGTATTGTTGCTGGTGTTCAGAGTGCAAATGTTGAACGGTAAGGGTCATGTAGGGGAGAGGATCGAGCCATCGACTCAACGGTTCCACGTGCGGTGGATGGTGGTTGGTCGGGCGCGGTGTCCGGAGTGGTGTCACTGGGGGTTGGGAAGTTCGTACATCAGGCGTACGATTTGGACAACAATACACTGACCATCTAGAAAGATGGCGGACATCATCAGATCAACGAAGTCGAGGATCTCACTGAGTTTGAGGAGGCCGCAAAGGTAAGTTGCGTTTCTTGGAAGTCGGTTTCGTTTTCTGACTTCAGAGGGCCTCAGATCACATCCTGATATTGAACTCATTTGGCCTGCTTTGAACAGTCGAATATACGCTTCCATGTTCACCCTTGCCAGGACTAATACGTTTTGCCGTCTACAATGTAGGTTTGGTCTGACACATGGATGGGTTTGCCCTCCTTGTCCTTTGCCTCATTGTCGAAGTGTTCAAAGTAGAAGCACTCATTGGGCCCTCCTTCATACCTGTCCCGGGGATCAGTGTTGAGAGCAGCCATCTCCGTGCTTAGGGATAACTCGACCCGACAGAACGGATCTGCAGCCCATGTAGGCATCTTCTTGTAGTCCCGACGTGCAAGCTCTCCCTCGAGCGTGCCATCCCATCGGCTGTCGAGGGGCTTTGCGAACTGAACAGCTTTGTCCTCGTTGAAGATAGACACTTGCCATAGCTTTTGGCTGCGGCATACGTACTTTCGCCAGGGATTTTCATTGGGTGTGGGTAGCAGGGTTGGATCGTCTTCTGCTGCTAGCACTGAAGACGGTTCGATTTTGGTCAACGGGCTGTCGATGTTATCGAGAAGTGTAGTGACATGGGCAACGGCGTAGAGACGCGGTAGGAGAGGAACGATCCTGCAAGCCACGAGTAAAAGTAGCAGCTCAGAGGTAGACGTGCAAGCCTCATGTTGGAAAGTTGAGCCCGGAGGCAGTCGATGCTATTTTACCTGGCGGGTTATTGTGCGGGCGCTAAGATTGGCGGAGCGAAGTTGAAGTGAAAGTGAGCGGCTCTCAAGTGTCGCACCTGGTTAGCACTAGCTTGAGTAGTCATGCGGAGAAAGGTATGGGGGAAATGACTATACGCAAAGCGCAAACGACGGTCTCACGGGTCAAGCCCCTGGTCTGCATTGGCTGGGAACCATTTCATACTATGACATTCGCCGAAGGCATGTAGAGCACGAATGAAGGCAGAGCCTATTTTCGGGGATCAGAGTTCGTTTCTCAGCCTCTTCCAAATCCCATCAGTGATTCATGCTTTAAAACTTAGCAATGACAACATGCTCCCGAATCACGTTCTTGCCATCCTTGTTCTTATGCACAACACCGGCCTCCACCGTCTCGTTCAGATCCCGTTTGCGGCGTTGTGAGATATGCAGGCTTTTCAGCTGCTCATCCAGGCGATGCTGTTGTTCCGGTCCTTCGAAGGCGCGATTGGAGACGTAGAAGAGGATGTTCGGATTCGCCCACACGCCATTACCAGCCATCCATATCTTCACTTTCCAGATGTATTTCCAGCCCAGTTGTCGCCTATTGCAAAGAAGGAATTAGATCAGTTGTTGAATGTTAAGTGTGTGACTTTCGACTTACCTGTGTTGAATGATGAAGTAACCTGCACCGAGACCATTGGAAGAGCCTGCAACGCTATGTCAGTCACATAAGTAGAGCGATATTTATAAATGCAGTGACGTACCTAGAAGCGCGAGGGCGGCCTCCATCTCCAGCAGGTCTGACTCCTTGGGCTTAGCGTTCTTGATAACGAACTCAAAGTCTTTGCCTGGCCATGCTGGTACTTCGTCGATGTTGTACTGCTGGAGAGCGCATTTCATGATGTACTGCGTTTCCGGATTGATAACTGACACAGCCATGAAGTAGTTCAGCTTCTGCGAGCCAGACGCAACTCGATTCCACACTGCAATCGTTAAAGTCCATCCGGCACTTTCGTAGGATATCGGAATACTCACTTCCCCAGGCAATGTCTGAACTAGATCTCAACGCTGGTAGCTCCTCGTGTGTTGGCTTGCCGCGTCTCCAATGTTCTCCAGCGGCATCCTCGGGGCTTTGGCGGTGAATGAAATAGACGAGACCATCAGTTGGGTTGATTCCAACCTTGGCGTAGGCCTGAGTAACCTAACCACGATATGTTACATTGAACAAACACCTACACACCAGCGGGGAGGATACCAACGTACCTGAAAGTTCTTGCCATCGGCGTTGTAGTGCTGGTCTTCCGGAAAGGGCAGCTCACCATCCTCATCACGAATGATAGTAGGTCCATTCATGTGCTCGACATAGAAGCCGTGTTCATCTCCTGAGGGTAAGACTCCACCCTGGACTAGCGTTACCCCTCAGCCCTCGCGTCGCGCGCTTAGCCCCAGCTAGCGCGTAAC